TCTCACTAGCATGGGGCGAATAAACCCATCTCCTCGTTTCTATGGTAACACACCATGTCTGTAGAATGGGTGTGATTCAGGCTTTCAGGGGTTCAGGCAGCATTTCTACACACACTTTCACACACTGGCAGCACAATTAGTTCCCTGTTATAGCTGTGCCGGTTGCGGAACTTGTGCCTGGCTGGATGGATGGGAAGGAGTTGTAGGGAGAGGTGTGTGTGTGTGAGAGCTGGTGAGGGCTAATTTAACAGACGAGGTTCCCTTATAGCCTTTCCACTGACATCCTTTTAACACAAACTTACACACCTCCCTACCTACTAAAAGCACATGCACAATTTATATTAGCACAGCTCTTGCCAACTATTGCATTTGCAGATGTGTGTGTTTGTGTGTGAGAATGAACGTCTTCCAGGCTACTGATGGATCAGCAGAATTGTATCTCTGTTCTCAGCAGACGTCCATTCAGCCCAAATCTAGTATAAGACAATAGAGCAGTCTTCGAATCCCAACATCCTTTATGTCTTATTGTATATCTGCCTCTTTAGCATATCTCTTGCATATAATGTTTGCTTAGGTTTTAACTCGCCATGTCTAAGATTTTTCCAAATGAACTTCCTGGACATAACAGGGTGGATAAAGCAGATACACTCATATACTTCAATGGCCATTTGTAACAGACCTACAGATTGTATAAAGACTTTATTGCTCTGCTCATCTACACATAAATACCAATACACACCAAAACATATATTGAATGAGTAAATCCTGTTGTGTTTGACAAGCTCCCCTTTAAGCAACTCTTAGTCTGGCTGTAATGTCTCTGTGGGATGGAATATGAACCAGTGTTGAGGAGCTGTGAGTCCTACAGGAATCAATAATACAGCAATAAGTGTCAGGATAGGGGGATGGGGGGAAGATGATGAGAAGGGGAGGAAGAAAGGAGGAGGCAGCTCAGCCCTGCGTGCCTGGAGTGAGAAGTGTTTGAATCAAAGCTCTTTCTCTCCATCTTCCCTTTCCCACTGCATTTTTTCTTATCCATTATCACTCACTCCCCCTCTGTGTGAATATTGTATCTATTTGAACATTTAAATGACCGCCTCTTCCCCGTTCCCCATGTGTGAATTGGATATGATTAGATTGTGAATATTGGAGAGTGACATCGTGACTGAGCCAAGGTCGTTCCTGCTGTCACGGCTACAGTAAAGCTTTCCATTTCAAAGCAGTGTGAGCGTGTGTGTGTGTGCACATGCCTGCCTGTCAGTATATAGCACATCGCCATGACATGATCAGTGTGTGGTGGCTGGTCCCCCTCCTTCAGTGTCCATCATGTTTTATTTATGAGAGCTAAGCCTTCACCAGCTAATCCAGGAGGCCTAATGCTATACTGTAGTTTATTAGCCTGCAGCTAATCCTCAAAGCATGTTATTAACCACATATTGCAAAAATACTGTCCTTTTATACACATGCATTACTTGACTGTTATCAACAGGATACAAATCAGGTGGGCTGGAGTTGCATGGCTTCATTGGCAGATATTATTTGGGCAAGGTTTAATCGACAAGCTATTTAATATCTTTAGATTTCTTTTTTGTCAGAACATTACAGTTTGTAGTTTAATTTCCCTCTCCATATGGTATAAAATATAGACGATGCGCTGCAAACTGCTTTATTCAGAGATAAGGCGGTGATGGTGCCCTGCAGGAAAGACACAATGATATTAGCTCTATTAACTCTAAGCACTCTAGTCTGCATTAGTACTGTTGTGCTACAATCTGGTTTGTTTATATTATAAAAGCAGATACAGATACAAAATGAGAGATAAAACATCAAAAGCCAGTGATGCTCCAACCTAACACCAGGGCAGATCAGAGGAATGCAATGACTAACGATCAGTTCAATGGAGCCTTGTGAAGGCAAGGGATGTGTTACTGAATGGGCATAGTGTTGCGCTAAGCTCATGACTCTGCACAATACAGATCATTGCTTTGAAATCTCTTAAACTGATACCTACACTGAAGTTAAGCTATTTGGAATTCCTAGCAATGTTAACATGGTGTAATGAACTTGGTGTCAATGATTGGGTTGTAGGAAAAGAGGAACATATTTACAGCCTAAAATGTTGTGCTTGAACGTCAAACACATGCTGCCATTGACAGGTGTGAGCATGTGTTGACGGGCAGAAGTGTTCAGAAGTGGGACAGGTGGTTGTGGAAGGAGAGAAAGCATTTGCTGTTTCTAAAGTTAAGATCCAGTTGGGAGCTCTTCTCTGTGATGACTCATGACTTTCTACAAATCTAAAAGCAGTTTGTAGAAGCCTTCAAGATGTATGCAGCCAACCCTCTTCTGCTTACTGCCAGCGTTTAATAAGTTTCTCTCAGCAACTGATTCAAGACACAACTAAGATGTTTCAAACACTAGATATTAGGGCGATTTTTTGGCTCAATGGTTTTCTTTTATGTAGATTTAGCTCATTCTGCCCATAGTTCCTGTCACAAGTTCAACATGCTGCATTGGCGCACAAAATGCCTCTCTGTGAGGCACCAACTGTGGCTGTCTGTCTTCACTCAATATTGCATCTGACGCTTGTCGAGTCAATCTGTCTCAGACATTATGGCTGGAACTGCCTGATTACAGCGTTAGTCATCATCAGTATCAGGGTCACCATATAATATTGTTCTATTTTTTGCTTTTTCCATCACCATGCATACATATTACTTTACTGGTAGAACAGGTGACGGGAAATGAAGGCTGCTGTCATCCACTCTGAATATAATATCCCGAAGTTAATACTCCCATTAATTATCTATTGAAAGCTTTGGAAATGGCACACCGTCGTAACACACCATAACCTCACTCCCTCATGCCCCAAACTCAAGGGTAAACCGAGAGATAGACAGAAGGGCACATTGGGATCAGTGCTCTTATCACCATGACAGAGAAACCATGGCAACCAAGCCTTTACCCTATTATCTGTGACTGACCTTCAGTGTGACCTCAACTTCGACCTTCACCTCAGATCGTAGATGCTTCTCTGTGTGTATTAAAGCATTTGTCTACCCCTCAATGATTTTCAATCCATCAAAGGTTTGCTAAAGGGAAAACCTGCAAGTGTTTGAAGCTCAAAACTGTTAAGTTAACTGCAAAACCTGACCCAACCATACATGTTTACAATGCAGTATGATGCACAACATCTTCTTTATACAGGTCCTATCGTCTATATGTCAGACCCTATACTACTATCTCCTGCCTCTTCATCAAATAAAATGGCCAACAAAGGTTGAGACGACGACAGATGTTGATAAGGAATAGGTGAAGTTGTGTTTGCAACTATACTGAATACATTTCCCTTGACACAGAGAAACAATGACACATGTTGGTTCTTTAAATACAAAGCATATTGTGTATGAACACAGAAGGGATAAAAGAGGAACTGAATCATGTTGTTGTGAGAAAAACCTTGGAAGGAAGAATGCAAATTTGACTTTTTAGAAAAACAACCGCTTGGGAGTTTAGAGGCATTTAACCTATGATTTAAAATACATAAATTGTTTGCATTTAGGTAAACTGCACATTCATCATTATGGTAATCTTGACCATATGGTTGTAATCATCATGTTAGGGGCTAATTCATTTAAGGTGAGCATCTTTCTACAGATAGGACAGATTATATATTGCTTTACACATAATATTCTAAGTACGGTTTCCTCTTTCTGACTTCTGTTATACTTACCTTATTTCTAGCCCTGAAGCCCTTCTGCTTTTACTATGGGACTTTCTGGAAAATTCAAAATGTACAGAATGTATTTTAGGGATACAGTTTGGAAATCAGCTCCTGGTTAATTTAGCTGGTTGCTGCTTTCAAGTATTCTTAAAATATTCACAGATGTGGCTTCATTTCGAAGCAAATTATGTCAGATTTCCTACCCCCCCTTTTACCTACATGCTGAGGTAATGCAATATGTATAGAGCAGATGGTTAAGAAGGGAGGGTGGGGTGGGGCTTCTGCATAACCACTTCCTTGTATAAGCCCATTTAGCAGAACATCAGCATTAACCTGAATAGAATAGTCAATCTGCCGGGTCACATGAGTTCGAACCGTTCTCTGCCATCAGGTGGACATAAAATATTGAAGTTGGCTGACCTCCATGTCCTTTCTGCTCGAATAAACCAGGCTTTCTTTTCATCACTACTTGGTTCATACTGCTCAAAAGGTTATGGCTGCAACAATATTTTGGCAGGCTGCTGATGTCTCATAACCTCCAAGTAAGATTTATATATAATTATGTAGACAAGACATGAATGTAACAACGTTTTTTACTGCTTGTAGCGTGTCGTGCACTATTGCAGTGCCCATCATTTGAAGATCTGACTCGAACCAAAACATCACCATAATTGAGCCCTGCCTACTTTTACCCACTGAGTATCTGTAAATGTGTGTGTGCATACTGCTGCATACGTCTGCATGAGTGCTGCAAACTGCAGCTCATGCTTTCATTTTGTTTTAATGATTGACACGTGAGGGGGCCCTGCGGCAAAACCCACACCATCAATTTACCTCGCATAAATACCACTGTCACTTTCTCACACACACACACACACACACACACACACACACACACACACACACACACACACACACACACACACACACACACAGTAATACCCATACACAGTAATACCCATGAAACCACCACATTCTCAACTAATATAGATTGATACCGCTTATTTGAAGTCACCTTGGCTCTCTTGATAATCTTTCTTGAGTGTACAAGAAAGATTGTACACTCAAGACTGTACAACTGTCTTTTATGAGATGGCATTACGCTGTCAAAGGGCATAGTGATCATTGTAAAGTGTTTATAATTTACAGTAGGGATGAAAGCTGTCTCAGATGGGGATGTGCACTGAAAACCCCAGCTCTTCTAGTTCTGCAACACTTTACAAAATGCCAAATAGTGATTCCTCTGCCTGACTTTCTTTTCTATACCTTTGTGTAACAGGAAACTCTCCAGCAGCTGGTGATGATGCCTTTACCAAACGTGCTGATTCTGGGCAAAAACCCTCTGTCTGGTAAGTGTCAATGTACCAAACAAAACAACCACAACGTTATACACACACTGATGCTTTCACCAATGCTGTGCCGGTTCTGATTTGCATTTATTTGGCCTCTAAACTGAAGAACATTTAAAATGTGTACAGTTCACAAGGAGGAAACCCACATTTTTGTTTTTATCATTTAATAAGCATCTTTAGAAATCTTTTAATTTAGAGTTTAGTGTGATGTTTTCATGCGACTTAGACTTAATGGCAGAGTTGGAAGGGACTTTACAGAGGAATTGAATAATGCTGTTTTGATTAACAGCATGTCTTCAAGGACAAAACCTACATTTTGCCCCCATTAACACTAGTCTGTAAAACCTCTGAACACCCACACAGGCGTTTTCAGTTAATCTGGCTGATTAGTTCCTTGACAGGACTCTGGGAGTGTGTGGACTGTAATTTATTGACACCTTCCCGAGTTTCCTGTTAGCTTTATTGCACCTGTTAGGTTGGGACAAATTACACTTTATCATTTGCTGGATGGAGATTTGTTACCTCGTAAATGTCCATCAAAGCTCTGACCTACTAATCAGCCAGAATAACTTGAAACACTTGTGTGGATTTTCAGAGGCTTAAAAAAACAATAAAGGAAAATGACTTCATGTGGTCACTCAAAGTAATGTTTCTAGGAAGGCACACGTTTGATTCTAAAGATGGCTCCATGTGTTCCTCTGAGGCATGTTTGAGATGGCAGATGTTCTTTAAGTGTAAGATCAGACAGTGGCAACAGCACGTTTACAGTTTATGAGGTTGAACGAAGCTCTTAGCACTAATAAGCCCTAATTATAAAAGCCCCATACTTCATCTTCTGACAGGATTTTTTATTTCATCCCATTCTCAAGGAATGCAATTATAGGGATAAGTAATTCTCTTTGGTGACTTTTAACATAGATACAGGAGCAGAACATTCAATGAAAAGCATTAGTCTACTTTAATCTGAGTCGCGTCATTTAGGGACCAATTCAACTAACTTCTCTATGACACAAGGGCATATTTACTGTATGTCCTGCAAATGTAATCATCGCTCAGCTCAACAGTTTTAAAGTCATTCCTAAGAGTGAGCAGCATAATCACACTATTGCCATTTGTCCAATTGATTGGCTGAAGTTTCGACCCAGTAACAATGTTGAGCCTGACTATAAAACACTGTTGACATCGCTTTCCAGTGCCACTATGCCCTTAACAAGAACGTCAAAAAGTAAACCAGAATGTTAAATTGACCTGCAATGGCTTAAAAAAGACCCACGGAGAAATATCTGTTAATAAATGTAACCATTCTGCAGCAAAGCTTTGATCCACTGAGCCTGGATGTGCTATTTGATAAGTCCAAGCAGCCTTAAAGCAACAGTAATGCAGTGTCCATTTTTTGCATTTCATGAAAGCATTTTTGAGCACCTTGACTTCTGTAGCCCCAAGTGCTACCTGATTTTCCATAATGACTTTAATGTAGCCACTAAAGGGATGAGATCATTAGTTTCATGCCATCATATGAGATCGTGGCGGCTGTGGAAATGGAAAAGAGGATTGTATCGAATAAATAAAACATTTGATACGACAAAGCTTCCTGCCACCCAGCATGCTTAGATCAATTATTAGCACAATAGCCCCAAGTGCAAAACTTTGGCTAAAACTATGGCAAGGTTATTGGATTAGCTCTTTTTACTTTTTGGGAAAGCGTGTCCTCACGAATATTCAAAGCCTTTGTTTATCTCTGCAAATGTAATCATCAGCTTTTCAAGGTAAACTGTTTCCAGGCTTAGCTGGCAGAGCTTGTTTACGAATATCTGAACGCTTTTAAACGCATTCAATGGTTTCTAAATCCCTGTCCTCCCTCAGCTGCCTTTGTCACACTTTCACCACAGCCATTTATTTTATTTGTTGGTATTCATTTTGATACAATTCAACAGGCATGAAGAGTAAGTATATGAAAAACAGGCTACAGGGATGTACACACAGACTGTGTTTCTTTTTCATGCCAGGATAACTTTGTTGTTAATTTACCTTAGAGGTAAAACATTTTTCTCAAGTATTTTTGAAACGTCATTCTAAGCAAAAACTACTGGTGATAACGATCATCGGCAGCATTCTTCCTAACTCTCAAATAGCATTCTTTTGGCATTGTATTCATTCCTCACAATGCTGCTTCCTATTATATGATCCAGTCTAGTCATTGTGATGCCAGGAAGATTCTTTCGTGAACTCGCAAAATATTGTCTACCGTTAGTATTTCACAGCAGTAGATTTCTGAAGATCTACCACAGCCTTACCCACGTCTGAAGGGAATATTAAGTGAATACTAAAGTGAATTCAACGCAGACAAGAGTAGAGGGCAGCTCGGGCAGAAATCATTAGACTAAATTCCTCAGGGTTTCCTTTGCCCTTTACCCTCTGGATGTGGGATCATCAGTCAGTCAGTCAGAGCAACGCTGGAGTCTGGCTCTGAGTCTCTGCGGCTGCCAGCTGAAAGTCTTTGGGCATGTGTCTTTTATTATGCTCTCATTAGGGGGCAGGGTACGACTCTTATGTGCACACGCACACGCACACGCACACACACACACACACACACTCAGTGTTTGGTTGGTGGATGGGGGAGGGTTCATTTCTACACAGTGAACAGTGGGAAGGCACTGTAGAACCCCCCCCAGGCTCCCCATTTACCTTAGTCTGCATATAGGCATGTGAGATGCACACACACACACACACACACACACACACACACACACACACACACACACACACACACACACACACACACACACACACACACACACACACACACACACACACACACACACACACACACATACACAAACTCCTCCTTTTTTGTTTAGTCTGTCATAAAGCCTGTACATTTTCAGCCGTGATTTTGTTTGATATTGTGAACACTTTGCCCTCTAAATGTGTTCTGGACTATGTCGTACTCTCTTAATTTCGGAAGCATTTACTGGTTTGCTTCACTCAAGTCAACAGTGCCAGTCGACAGTGTTTTAAAAAAAAAACATATCCAATACTGCTACTGAAGGGCAACACTGCACAGTTGACACATTGCCATTAACACATTTCAGATGCAGGGTAGTATTTTGTACAACAAACATTGCCAAACATGGTTTTAGATGAGAGAACTTCCCAACGAGCAGAACTGTTTTAACCAGCAGCCACAACAGGATGCGAACTGTTGACAGCTGACAGAGAACATTAACTGAGAGGCTTGATGTGAGTGTGTGCAAAGGAGAAACTTGTCTAGCCAAGAAAGCAGGCCTGATTTCTCTTATTTTCCTTGTTGGTTAGTGGTGTGTGTGTGTGTGTGTGTGTGTGTGTGTGTGTGTGTGTGTGTGTGTGTGTGTGTGTGTGGTGTGTGTGTGTGTGTGGTGTGTGTGTGTGTGTGTGTGTGTGTGTGTGTGTGTGTGTGTGTGTGTGTGTGTGTGTGTGTGTGTGTGTGTGTGTGTGTGTGTGTGTGTGTGTGTGTGTGTGTGTGTGTGTGTGTGTGTGTGTGTGTGTGATGTGTGTGTGTGTGTGTGTGTGTGTGTGTGTGTGTGTGTGTGTGTGTGTGTGTGTGTGTGTGTGTGTGTGTGTGTGTGTGTGTGTGTGTGTGTGTGTGTGTGTGTGTGTGTGTGTGTGTGTGTGTGTGTGTGTGTGTGTGTGTGTGTGTGTGTGTGTGTGTGTGTGTGTGTGTGTGTGTGTGTGTGTGTGTGTGTGTGTGTGTGTGTGTGTGTGTGTGTGTGTGTAGTGTGGTGCAAAATGCCAATTGGTCCGGTATTTGATAATTTTCATTTTCTTCAGTGATCCTGACCTCAGCTCCAGGCCTTCTGTATTTGATGCTCTTGACACTCTATCTTGTCTTATAAAGCACAAATGCCCTGAAATAATGTGAAAACAAGGTTCAGCCAACTCTGTCCTCTGCTCCAGTGAGATGAGCTGAATATACTCTGGCACGCTGTCAAAGCAATATCAGATTGCTTGTACCAGTTTCACCGCTGACATGCAAGTCATCGGGTCCTGAATGACTCCATTCATCACGGCAGCAGACGGGGTTGTGGCAGTTGATTGCCCAGCCACACGTTATTTTTTTCTGCTTATTCACTCACATCCTTGCACACAGATTCACAATGGCATTGCAGGAAGAAGGGTTAGTCCCTGTCCGTCTGACCTCTTGTTTCCTTCTGCTATGAGAAAGCAGGGAGGAAGGGCGGGAGGTGAAGAGCCTCCATGAGCAAATCCAAACACTTGGGAAGCGTGAATGATTTGTAACAATGTTGAAGGAAGGAAGGAAGGAAGGATGGGTGGATGTTGCAGAGAATAAATGGATGGATGCAAGTGTGTGTGTATAAGAAGGGAGGAAGAGTAGGAGGTAGGACATGTGAGGCTAGCAGAGAGATGGCCCTCCTTAAAGCTGTGTTGCTGCTGGAGGGATATTTCTGTTTTCTATTTCCACAGTTGCCTCTTTCTTTCCTCCATCATTCTTTATCTTTTGCTATTTTCTGTATTGTTTTCCATATCCCTTCCTTGTGTTTGCGGCTTGTGCTCTGTGGTGCTTTCCCTCTTTTGTCTCTTTCTCTATTATCTCTCCCTTTACCGTTTCTCCCCCTTGTTCTCCCTCTCTAGCCTTATAAATAATTTAACCTGTGAGGGGGCTTATCTCTCGTACTACGCTTTAGTAGATGTGCTGAGCTAAATCCCTTCCCTGACTGGAATAGGTCCCTACTGCTCTAATAGTGCACGATTAAGCCCTGCAGCTGGGAGAATTCAGTTTTATCCACCGTCATCCCTTCATGCCCACATATTCTCTTTATATGCTAAGTATTTCTTCTTTTATCACCAGGTGCTGATTGCCAATTGTCTGACTAAGCACACAAATAGTGTCATCTTCCTGATTCCACTGTACCAGGAATGCATCGTTTTCAAAGTGGATAGATAGCATGCAAGAAACACGTCTACATTTGAACTTTTCACAGTCTCCCATTTAATACCCATAACGCCTTTTATTTCTGGGTGTTACCTGGTACAATCTGTACTTTGCAGCTGCAGTATTTTAATTAAAGCTGTGTTTCCACAGCATTGTACGACTTGACTTCCTTTTGGTGCTTTTGACTGCGAATAGTACCCCCTTAGTGTAAGAGGGGTGTATCAACAAAAGAATAGTTATTGTCGGGAATGGAAAGTTGCAGAAACCTTGACACTGCTACAATGTTCAAAAGGTGTGAGGGGAGGGGTTTCAAATCCTGTTAGACCATCTGACATGCTCTCCCGTTTGAGTACCTCTTTTAAATACTGCACTTCAGCACCCATGCCGACCTTTAGAGTAAATAATGACAGTTTTGTTTGTATTACATTTCCTGTGATGTCCTACCCAACTGCTGGAAAGTGTCCCTGTGACCTAGATAAACAATATTCACCATATTTTCTTGGCTGCATTACAGAACAAATGTAAGTCCATATTTATTTGAATCATCCAAACGTTGGCCAGTCTTAACGGGGGAAAATCAACAGTGAAATCGCACGCAGAGGAAAAATGCTGCAGACGGCCTCCTCTTCCACCAGCTGTAGGGCAAAACACGCTGTGACATCACTGATTGGGCTACGGCCAAAAGTACAGAGTATCGGTCCAGAGAACAGCACTGCAAGTCTCTTTTTATTATCAATGTTTGTCCTGGCTGGAAACTATATTTAAGTATTAATTGTCCTGCGTATAATATTGGTCTCACCCATAAAGTATGATAATTCAACCTGCCACATTATGACCATGTGGAGGTTCCTATTGCTCAATAACGCATTGACTTGTGTGTCTGTATTGATTGAAGAGGAATGAGAGATTGATTTGCTTGTCGGGAGGCTTCTGTACAATTGATGGATATCCTCTGTTTTGCAATAAGGAGCATTCCCTAAGGAACTGGTTGGTTATCCATGTGTTACTTTTTAAATCAATGCTTTACACAGACAATCAGATTTGTTTTTACAGCATGTTGCGATAACGTTAAGAAGTTTTTGTTCATCCCATTTGATTTTCATGTAAATTCATTAGGTTTCCAGTCGAACAAAGTGTAAAGTCATAGATTGTCTTCCTGTGTGCCTGTCATTTAGCTGCTCCTGCTGTGATGATTGGCCCATTAAACTGAGAGGCAAACAGACCACCCCTCACAGAAAACACGCTGTCACTAATCTGGATTTATCACTATTGAAGCCGGACAGTGTTAGCAGTCAATACCCCCTGGGCTACATGATGAGCTGGCTTATCACACACACACACACACACACACACACACACACACACACACACACACACACACACACACACCCTACTCCAAACTCCAAACTGCAAAAACATGCAGTATTAGTATAGACATAGACACACTACTTGCATATGCCACTAAGTGCAACACACACACACACACACACACACACACACACACACACACACACACACACACACACACACACACACACACACACACACACACACACACACACACACACACACCACCTGGTTTGCTGTTGTTCTGCAACAAATCCCATAGATGAGCTCAGGCCTGTTGAGCATGCTAGCAGCTGTTTGTGGGTTTCAGCCCTTTCTGACAATATGCCCTGACATGTGGAAAACATTGTGGTAACGTTACAAGATAAGGGTGATTTTTATTAGGGGAAAACTGTAACTACCTAAGAATTTAGTTAATTGGTATGCCCAAGTATAGTAAGTGTGGGATAGGTGCATACATTTTCAAAAGTGTCTCCTCTCCCATTACATACTAAATCTTGACTTGTTTTTTATGGGAAAGTTATTTTTGAACTTGTGCCAGAGCAGACAGATAAAAATGACTCCATCTGTCTAGTATACATATGCTAAAACTTCGATAATTGTAATGCTGTAACTGAAAAAGATGCAGTGTTTTAGTTCATTGCATTTTGTAAAATGTCATTGCAAAAAGGCTTAACGGCCCGTCCACACAGCGGCGTGCGTTGAAGCTTCCAACGCTTCTGCCCATTCACTTTGAATGGGGTGATGTCACTTTTAGCCGAACTGCATTTTGGGAAGCGACGTGGAGCGTTGCTGGCGTTGCTCGCTTCAAAAGTTGAGCAATGTTCAACTTTTGACGCCTCGACGGAGGCGTCAGCCAATCGAATCATATGCCAGTACAAGCTCTAGCCAATCAAACCGCATGCTTGTGTGTCTGGGGCGGGAGATTCATGTGATTGGTTGTTGGTCGAGTGTCAGACACGCCCGCCGGCAAGCGTCAACGCACGCCGCTGTGTGGACGGGCCGTAACAGATACAATAATGTCGGTTATCACCTTCCTCCAATCAACAGATCTGTACTTCAGGCAAATGTTTCTACCACTATCAATGGATTTGTGTCATCAACCTCTGTGTTGTGTAACTTATTCTTAAACCACAAAAGTTGATAGAACAGAATGTAAGAGACAAAACAGAAACGTGACTGAATCACATTCTTGCAAATGTGTCTGGTTTTGACAGTCATTGTGGTGTCCTTGCAGGCATACTTAAAAGTGGTTTGGCTTTTGTCATAATACATAATATCTTTGTGCTTTTTTCTTCTTTAGAACAAGGTCTGGAAGAGGTGAAAAAACTGTTGCTGCTGCTACTAGGGTGTGCTGTCCAGGTAAGAGATCATTTCAGTTCACTTACACTTCACATCTGTATATGTAATTCGGGTTTCAAGGAGCAAGTTCATAACAATGGCAATCAAACTCATAGACATTTTGTGCGTGTTATTATTTGTTCAAAATTCAGTTAATGATTCCCCCCATGAATCTTTCCTATATGTCTTAAACTGAACCTGCTAAAAAGCTCTGTCAAGTCTTTAGTTGGTTCATCCTGCCTTCCTTTCTTTGCTCCCTTTGGTAAAATGAATGAACACAAACTATTTAGTACTGCTAATGCTTTGTAATACATAATGTGTCAGACCTTTCCTGTCTCGTGACAAAGCACCATGCAGCTCTCACTGACTGTATTTCCAACAAGGGCATTGACCTTTCACCAGCCCTATTGTTTTAGCAAAAAGACACTACAGTTGCATTCATGCGAGTAACACTGACTTAATATTCCCACAGTAAACTCGGCGGAACCTGTTGCCAAGTAGGAATTAACACACCGTTAAAGAGGAGCTTACATCTGTAGTACAGCGTCTTGTTCTTATCTTGTCTTCTGCCAACAACCGAGGAAAGTGATCTATGTCTGATCCACGAGATAAAGTTTTGTTTGAAGACTGCTTTCCTAAATACGACTGCTCCTTGGAAACATAAATCAGATCAGCTTCTGTCTTGCATCTGTGGTGTTGATCTACTAACCTCCAGTTGAACCCCAACCCATATAACTCTTTATCTGAAAAATATAATTATTCCTCTTCTCTTCTTCCCTCCTCCCACTTACTTCTGTTTACAGTGTGAGAAAAAGGAAGAGTACATCGAGTGTATCCAGACTCTGGACTTTGACACCAAAGCTGCCATAGCATCCCACATCCAAGAGGTATTTCTCCTTCATAATAAACACAATTATTACAAAATGAGGATATAATATCACCTTCTTTGGCTCCACTCTAATGTACAGTATGCTCATAGTGGAATAGTTTTGCTTACAATTCATAAAAATGCACCATTCTGATAAAGTGTCATGAATGCAACTTCTCTATATCCAAGGACTAAATCTAAATGGTTATCGTTGATATGATGTTTGTGATTTTAGGTCACCCATAATCAGGAGAACGTAGTGGACATGCAGTGGTTGGAAAGTGGGGAAATGCCTCCTGAAGACCTGGACAGCCTCTCCAGAAACCTGGCTTTCCACCTCAAACGCCTGGTGGACGAGAGGGACACACAGCTGGAGGTAATATAGATTTATTAAGCAGTGTTGGAAATTCCTTTTATATTTTAAACCCCATAAGCCAAACTGCAAAAAAAAAAACCTGTACAATAGAAGAAGCAGGAATCTAGGGAAGTGGTACATTGTATTTTAATTATTCTCTTTGTGTGTTTTTGGAGGTTTGTCACAGAGCTTCTAGTCAGGGTTATGTGGAAACTTTTCATTTTTTTACCGTTACCACACAAGACCAGCCTCAGGAAGGAAGGGTTGAAACTGTTAACTGTCTCATAGATGGTGTGTGTGTTTAACTTGGAGTATTTACGTCATTAAATGAGTTTCCAACCGAAACGGTGCAGATGCCCACAACTGATATAGCTGATCTTTGTCTGTGTGTGTGTGTGTGTGTGTTTTGTGTGTGTGTGTGAAGGGTTCTAATAGCCTCCAGGTTATCACTGTGGAGTCCAGCCGTTCTCAATTAAAATCCCATTTCCTGTCATGGGCAGTAGATCAGAATAGTCTGTGTGTGGGACTGTGCATGTACTTTTTGCCCTAATGCGTTGTGTTCTAATTTTGGGTGGTGTGGGGTCTTTGGGTGAATCCATGGATCCATTCTTCTTTGCATGAAGTCCAATTGTTGAATCAGAATTGTAGCCACTGTAATACTGCTTTGCGTTGTACAGATGACCCTAAATACATATTCAAATATATTTCTGAACCTCAAAATTCAAGATGCAAGGCTTTTATTGTCATTCGTACATAGCTACAGTGTAGTTATGTCAATGAGAATCTTAGGTCACAGGCTCCTCCAACAGAGCAACACAATAAAACAGATAAAATAGTGCAAGTAAATACAATAGAATAGAAGAGAAGTAGTGCCAATAGAGTCTATGTACAAGTGATGCATAATTTGTAAGTTACAAACAGTTGAATGTCATGGATGTTCTTAGTTCAGGTGGTTAACAGTCTTATGGCCTGTGGAATAAAACTGTCCAACTGATGCTATTAATTGTACTCATGTCTAGATATCTCACCTCCTGCCCATTCTTTCCTTCGTCTTTCCCTGCAGACTATAGTGGAGTTGACCCAGGAGAGAGACTGTGTGCAGCTCTCCCCTCTGGCTTCCTGTCAGACCCAGTCTCCTGGTGACTCGCCCGGTATGAGGAGGACCGAGAGCCGGCAGCACCTCTCTGTGGAGCTGGCTGATGCCAAAGCCAAGATCAGACGCCTTCGACAGGAACTGTGAGTACCACGGCTTTATCAGCTAGATAACAGAAGGGCGAACAAAGGGGACAGAATACAGTAAAAAAGGAAATATGAAGAGCACAAACCACAAACAAAAGGTCATTTGCTGGAATGAGGCCATAGCTATTTACCCTTACCTTGTTTGCTACTTCCCATGAATTGTGAGATCAAAGTTATTAGATAGTTCATTTGGCCCTCAATGTTTGGACTTGGTTGATAGGGTTGTACTGTAGACATCAACAGAAATTGTGGGGACTGTCATTAGGCTTTTTGTTCAATCTTTGGCGTAGTTGTTTATTGTATTATACTTTTTATTAGATAATGATAGTGAACTAAGTCCCTTAGAAGAAGCATTCAGACAAGGAGCTTTACTTTTCAAAGTTGGTGTACTAGTCATAGGGGTTCATCGTTTTGAGTGTAATTTTTTACTTTAAATTATGTTTCTTGATTTTTTTTTAGAACCGACTAATTTTTAATTATACAATGTTAAAACATCTGGAAAGTTATCAAAGTTTTAGGTTTTTTAAAGGCCTTGGTTTAAGCAGGATGTGATTATTCATCATGGTTCTTGCAGGAACTCTCAATGAGTTTATGGTCATAGTTGTTTTTCTGTGTTTTAATGACTGTATTTAAGCCTCAAACATGACGCTTGAAGAACAACAGTAAGGATGTAGAGAGGAAAAGTCATGAATACCAGCAGTCCACTTCCTCTGCATCTTTATTACTCACATAAGACGATGTTGTTGATGATGTCATTCTGCACCACACAACATGCACAGTCACACGAGTAAAACGCCACTCACAGACCCTGGTGAGGCCTGTTAAGTTCTTCCCATGAATAATACAGCTTCCTTTCCGAAGTGCTATAATCCCTTGGCAGACAAAGGCTTAATGGTCAACACGGATGAGTTGGAAAAAAGGGAGCAAGAAAGGGGGAAGTATTTAAAAGTTGCACACGCATTACATCTAATCTATCAGACTGGCTGGCATCATGAGGTACTGTAGTAGTCGATACTGAATGCTTTGCCAGAGATGTTGTTTTAGTCAGTCTATCCTCTTCACAATAAATCCCCACTGAAACTAATCTTGAATTTAATGAGGGTCTGTCTCCCATCTGATAATGCGTAGTTCCTACTTTATTCGGTGGCATTTGGTCTCTTGAGTGAATCGGATTTCAAGATTAAACCGCCATTTATAACTTGACATGTTGAAGTTGTTTCTCAAGAAGTCACCTTTATGTTAATTTAAGCTCCTGGTGATCTTAATGATGTGGAAAAAAGGTCTTTGATTATTCTGCCGGAGATATTCTTCTGTCTTTGTCCAACAGTGGCATGTGTGAGTGCTTAATGCAAACAAGAATTATGTTTTTTTTCAACATTTGGTTGTAACCCTGAAGGAGTGCAGATCACCCTCTGCTCAGTCACATGAAAACACTGCATATTGCCTGAACTCATTAATGGTGGTTCTTGACATTCATCACTGTAGACATTTCTCTTAAACGTCCTTGAGCTAGGCCTACATGATGATTTATTAGGGCCTAAACAGGGTAAGAAAACAGCACCCGACTAGCCAATGAGTTATATTGTGTGTTGGTTGCCATGGAATTGTTTACTTGTTTATGTGATGGGCCAGACAAGAGACAAAAAGGGACAACAAGGGCTTTAAGTCAGTCCAAGCTGTCAGATACTGGTCACATGATGGCAGTTTCTTCTATAAGCAGAGGACAGTGTTTAATGTGTCTCAGTGAACATAAACAGATATTGTCTCCTCATTCAAATGTAGATGTGTGTGTTTACTGTGTGGTCTTATGCGTGTGTGTCGGAAGAACACCAGGTCAGAGCCGGGGGGGTTTCCTTAATTGTTCCCACAGTGGTCTCTGGTCTGTTTGTTAATGTTTTTGTTAAGCTACTGCCTCTTTTTGGCTGCATTTCCTTTTCCTGTTCAAGCTCAGACACACTGCGATCATATCTGTGAAACACTCAGTCTTAACCGGATTCCTTTTATTAATTTCCCTTAGAATAGACCTCCTATGTACTGAGCATATTAGACTGTCTTTAATGTACATCTAGCTTCAACTAATGCAGTCTGATACTACAGTCCGGTAATAAATCCTATCCTCATTAAGTTTATAGTGTTCAGTTTTCTCCTCTAAATGACAGTTAAACCTCTCTCTATGTAAAATGTAAATAGGTAAGAAACTGACTTAATAAAAAATTGAATAGCAGATTGTAGCAAATAATCACCTATTTTCTGTTACTAATAGCCCATGTGAGTTTGTGGCCAACAAGCCAATACAACTTGAATACCAGTTGATTATTACCTGCTACAAATCCTAATTATCCTAATCCTCTGAGTGAATGCTTTTATGCTGGAATTGGTGTTTTCTTCTTTACTGAATTAAACAGTCCACTCTATCGTAATTATTACTCAACCAACACATGGTCCTGCAGGAGTAATCAATTAAATGTTATTTATTTATTTAAAAGTTGGATATATAAAAGTTAGATTTTTGTTTATCCTTCATTTTCTGTGTTGTTTAGTTATTTACAATCTGCTGTTCCTTGACATACTGTTTTAGTTAAGAAACAATTACAAATATTACAGAGGAAATGTGGTAATGTTGATCCCAAGAGCTGTGTTTGTAGATTTGTGTGCATGCGTGTTTGTTTACAGTGTATTCTGTAGACAAAAGTGAGTCACTTCCACATGGAAAGTTATATATTTGCTGTTCAGGTCATATTTAATAGCTTACAAACGCATTTGTTATAATCATTTCACATTTTAGGCATCTTGGGTATAGAGGGCCAAACATGTGTATAATAAAAACATTAGGATAGGAGGCATACCATTTAGACATGTAGTAGATAAGGAATACATGTTGCTGTTTGCTGCTTTGCTTTTCAAACACAACAAGGCAAGGCAAGTTTATTTATATAGCACTTTTCAACACAAGGCAATTCAAAGTGCTTTACAAAAAATGAAAGAGATTAAGAAAATGGCATTTAAAATCAGTCATTAAAAAGAAAAGCTAATAAAATAAACATTAAAAGAAAAAATACATGGATAAAAGTTACAGTGCAGTTTAAGATATGAATAGTTCAATTAAACATTAAAAGAAAAAATACATGGATAAAAGTTACAGTGCAGTCTAAGATGTGAATAGTTCAATTAAAAGCAGCGACAAAAAGAAAAGTCTTCAGGCTGGATTTAAAAGTAGTCAGAGTTGCAGCGGACCTGCAGGTTTCTGGGAGTTTGTTCCAGATATTTGGAGCATAATAACTGAACGCTGCTTTACCGTGTTTAGTTCTGACTCTGGGGACAGAAAGCTGACCAGTCCCTGAAGACCTGAGAGATCTGGATGGTTCATAATTTAGCAGGAGTGCAACAATGCAATTGCATGCAACAATGCATGCAATTGTTTGTCTGTGCTTCCCATTAACATAAGCAGCAGAGCCAGCTGCATCCATAATATGAGCCCAAAGCTAATCTGCCATGCTGGAGTTGACAGGTGTTTGTGATTTCAGTAACTGGAGTTTTGGGGGGAAGACGGGGAGAGGCTGCAAGAGGGGGAGGGGGAGGGGGTTAACTTAAGACACAAACACAGAAATGGGTAAAGGAACATCCTGCCTGCATGTCGACTCTATTTCCCTAAATACCCTCAGCTGTGGGAGGAAGGAGGAGTGAAATGAAAGTAACGAGGGAAGAAAAGGTGCCATTTCCTTATTGAGAAGCACCCCGAGTCTCCAGAGAGCTGCAATCAAATACTCCATCAGATGTTCAGTGGAGCGGTTTTATGCGCAAACACAAGACAGCATCTCAGGAATGCAGTCCTCTTTTCTTCAGAGCAGTGTGACACACTCTGCCCCTCTGGTAGAAGCCTGGAGAATTTGCGCACACACACACACAAACTCGTAGAGACAGCAAATGTCAGGCTTCCCTATCTCACTGTCACTTAAACACACGGACACAGGACAGTGTTGGATAGCAAATAGCAGAACCTATTATTAAGGGTGAAAGACTGACACTTTTGATTCTCTGTTTTGTACAACTTGGACAACCAGATGTATAACTTGCGTCACTACGTCTATGATCTTATCTGACTGTAGGGGTGCAACAACTAATCGACTTAATCGATTAAAATCGATTACCAAATTAGTTGCCAACTAATTCAGTCGTCGATTCGTTGGTGACTTCATCACGTGTGTTTTACGCGCCGTTAAGCTCCAACGTTATTGGTCTTTTTTATCGGTACTGGAGACATTTAAAAAATATATGTCATATGTATTATTGCTACAAAAACAATATATCGCAGTCTTAGTGTCGCCAACTCGTTTCTAATATGCAAAAAGACAACAAAATTGTTAATTTCATAATATATGTATTTTTGAATCAAGTACTCATCTTTATTGTCTTCATTGTTAGTTTCCACATGCCTAAAACAACCTCAAGCTAAATCTAAAAGTTGATGGTTAAATAAGAGCGTTTGAGAAATTGTGCAAGGCATAATAGTCCGAATAGTCGATTAATCGTTTCATTAATCGATAGATTCATCGATTATCAAATGAGTCGTTTGTTGCAGCCCTATCTGACTGTAGAAGTTTCTCCAGAATAAAGGAAGATGAGGGCTTTGAGCCTCAGGGGTGGATTTGCATATGTTTACCCCTGAAGTAGTCACAGGGTACTATCTTTTCTTCAGTTGACTTTAACGGCTGTCTTTCCCCTCTCTGTTTGTCATGGTGTGTGTGTGATGCTGGGGGTGATGTTCAGCAGAAAGAGTTTGTTTATTAGTAGCTGAATTCAGGGCAGGACACAGGAAAGACTTTGTGTCCTGACCATCACAGCTCAAACTCACCGGACGCAATCGGCTATTTTATACATGAAAATGTGTTTTATTGAAGTCTTGAAATAAACATGAGCTATTTTTATAACTTGGACAATGGTCTATTATGCCTAATGTGATGTTGTGTATGCCTTCTTAAATACTAACAGTTGTTTTTGTATTGAGTAGCCTCCTTTTTTTCTTTTTTTAAATGATACCGCAATTACAATGATAAAACTACCTGCAATTAATCTCTTACATTTTGACAAATTAAGACACAATGTTGATGATTTTAAGACAGTTTATGGTAAATATAATTATTCAATAACGTTGTCAATGGGTCCCTTCCACTAAAGGATTTAGTGGCAAGCTTTGAAATGGAAACAGCCCTAAAGGATTGTCCGTGTTGTTATTTAATTGGGAAGCATGCATGCAGGCACACCAAAAAAAAAGTACTTTCTAGAATTCCTTCTATCCTTCCTCTATCTAGGTTACAATCTACGACCTCTTTCCATTTTTCTCCTCGTTTAATTCCCCCTTTCCTTCTTTTCAGAGAGGAGAAGAGCGAGCAGCTTTTGGACACCAGGCAGGAGCTGGATAACAGTGAAGGCGAGCTCAAGAAGCTTCAGCAGGAGGTAACACCACATGTCACAAATCCTCACACACCTAAACAACACACACACATTAATATGACCTGATCTCACCTGCTGAACCCTCCTCTTTCAAGTACTTTGTTTCAGCAGTGCTGCCAGACTTAATCAGCGAGCTAGTGACTTAGCTCATTAGAGGCTATTACAGCTATCTTTAGTCTCGAAACAGCCTCCTATGGCTTTTGATTTGAAGGAGGCGGCAGGCTGACTGGCAGACTAACAAAGTATATGCTGTAAAAAAAGGTGGATGAGTTCAGGGAGTTAGTGTTAATGTGTGGTGTGTGTGTGTGTGTGTGTGTGTGTGTGTGTGTGTGTGTGTGTGTGTGTGTGTGTGTGTGTGTGTGTGTGTGTGTGTGTGTGTGTGTGTGTGTGTGTGTGTGTTGGTGTGTGTGTGTGTGTGTGTGTGTGTGTGTGTGTGTGTGTGTGTGTGTGTGTGTGTGTGTGTGTGTGTGTGTGTTGTGTGTGTGTGTGTGTGTGTGTGTGTGTGTGTGTTGTGTGTGTGTGTGTGTGTGTGTGTGTGTGTGTGTGTGTGTGTGTGTGTGTGAAGCATGCTTGTGATAATTAATAGCGTGGAGAGTTTGTTCTGACCTTTTATCTGTTTATGTAACAGGCAAGACTTAGTTGCTCATATATTATCTACCTGTCATACAATATTACAGTCCACTCACTTGTAAAAGCGTCTGTTGCTTTTCACTAATGGTTCGTATATCTGTGCATGCTATACTAAGATATGCTGTTATGAGTCATCGTTTCCACATGTTCATACTGTTTATTTGACTCCTGCAGAGCTACCAGTTGCTGACGGACGCTCGGTCGGCTCGGGCCTACCGCGACGAGCTGGACGCGCTCAGAGAGAAGGCGATCCGTGTCGACAAGTTAGAGAGCGAGCTGAGCCGATACAGGGAGAGACTTCACGACATCGAGTTTTACAAGGCTAGAGTCGAGGTACACACTGCGCACGTGAAGCATTACTTTTTACACTAAGCCAAGAGGATGGTGTTTGTTAAAAGACAACCCCAGCCAGGACACTTGAGCTTCATTTAGTCGACATAAAATAAATATGCAAGTCAATTTGACTTCATATCACGTGATATAAGCAACATTAGATACAAATGCAAGACACCAGCTACTCTCCACACTGCATAATCTCATGATGCAAGTGTTTTTCAGTTCATAAATAAAAAAAGAAAAGGTTTTTACCCATAAATATGTATATTTTTTAATTATCAAGGGGATGTTTTTGCAACTGTTTGCTGACCTGCATGAATAGTATCTACACCATTTGAATATCAACTTTATATTTGTAAATTTGACTAACTGAATTATTCTACACATCCCTGTATTTGCTGCTTATTTCTGTTACTTTAAATACTTTTAATTACTGTTATTACTGATTCTAGTCGTAGTACGGATACATACATAATAAACATCAGAGGACATTTTCAAAACGATTTATTGTACTAGCTGCAGTGTGTATGTGTTGTTTAACGTGTACTCTCTGCTGATGTGGTGGTTTCTGTAGGAGCTGAAGGAGGACAACCAGGTCATGTTGGAAACTAAGAGCATGTTGGAGGAGCAGCTGGATGCTAGCAGGCAGCGCTCCGACAAACTGCACCTCCTGGAGAAAGAGAGTCTGCAGCTGAATTCCAAGATCCATGACCTGGAGATGGTGAGATTCTGGTTTTCATAGAGGGTATAAGAGCCTGGGTTTAAAAATAAATCAGGGTCATTATAGGAGGGAAAGAAAATCAGTAGTAGAGAATAAGGGAATGGAGCAGTCCTTTCCGCAGTCGAGTGTTCAACGTTTGTTTATTATTATTATGTATTTATTCCAACAAGGACCATGCATACAAATACATTAATCTCAGAAAAGAGAAGAGATTAATTATGCCAGATTTGAGCCAATAGCTCATTTCCATCTGCAGTCCTTAGGCAGGTACACAACAATCAACAAACACTAAAAACATTGCATAATCTCTATCACACAAACAATTATAAAACATGATTTAAGTACAGGTCAATCAAATAATACATAGTACAGTTAAAATATACATTACAATTATCTGAACACACCATTAATCTCTCTGTTATCTCCAGGAGCGGGACATGGACCGTAAACGCATGGAGGAGCTGCTGGAGGAGAACCTCGTGCTGGAGATGGCTCAGAAACAGAGCATGGACGAGTCCCTGCACCTGGGCTGGGAGCTGGAGCAACTGTCCAAGACCCCAGATCTCACCGAAGGTAAGGAGAATATGGAGCCAAGGAACCTGTTAATGCCAGAGAACGAGAACAAGGATTAAATAGATCAATGTGGGTCATGCTTAAGGTTCCAGAAGGCCAGCAGGTTTTGCTCCTTGGCTCCTGGCCCTGGATTCATCCCAATGACCATTTTGCATATGCCAGCCTCCACTGGGTCTTCTTTCCACTTGGTTAAGACCTGTAATTAATATTCAGTGGCTCTTGGAGGATAATCTGTGCGTCTGGATCATAAAAGCTTTTAAGAGGTTTAACTGGCCAGGGATCGGATAAAGACTCTGTGTTGTGTGTTTGTTAGAATGTCACTTTGAAGGCTTAAGACTTGTGAAGTTAGATCTTACAGCTTTGTATTCATTTATTTTTGACCGACTTATTTTTCTTTGATTTTGCCTTTGAACACCAACAATCTTAACACAACTTTAATGTATATGTGGACATGTGTTAAATCATTGATTGTGTGTGTTGGAAGAAGACCACCAGGTCAGAGCCGGGGGGGGGGTTGCTTAATTGTTCCCACAGTGGTCTCTTGTCTGTTTGTTAATGTTTTTGTTAATCTACTGCTTCTTTTTGGCTGCATTTCCTTTTCCTGTTCAAGCTCAGACACACTGCGATCATATCTGTGAAACACTAAGTCTTAAACTGATTCCAAAGAAAACCTTTTCTTTTGCACACTGCTTTTATTCATTTCCCTTAGAATAGTATAATATGAGTATAATATGTACTGACCATATTAGACAGTCTTTTACGCACATCTAGCTTAAACTCATTGCAGAATCCACTTTTCTTGCTGTTATTGCCTCAGCCCCTCAGAAGTCTCTGGGCGAGGAGGTGAATGAGCTGACCTCCAGCCGCCTGTTGAAGCTGGAGAAAGACAACCAGAGCCTGCTGAAGACTGTGGAGGAGCTGAGAGGAGCAGCCAGTCAGGACACCGTGACCAAACTGTCCAAAGCCAGCCAGGAGAACCAGAGGTTGAACCACAAAGTAAGAAATTGGACTTTGTATATAGGTGGTTTTTCATTTGTAATGCTTGTTTAAGAAAATGGGACATTTATAAACACAGATATACTAAAATGTCCTTTCCAAAACAGTTTAATCTTTAGATTGTTTTGGTCAATTGCATCAAAGACATCCATCATTATGTCAAGATTCTTTTCGATACTATTCTAAGAGGAGTGCTTCAAGGCTTCATTCTTGGTCCAATGCTTTTTCAAATGTACATCACTGATCTCCCATATGGCTCTTAATTAATGCTGCTTGTACTTTTTGCAGATGATACAAAATAAATAATTTCACAACTTGATGTACGTTAAGCTTTGTTATTTAAAGGTTGTAGGCATGTACTTTCATAATCATAAAGAGAAAACAAGTTTAGGGAGTCATTATTATTAAATAATAATTGTTTCAATTCAATTACAGCCATGGTGTAATGTACTGCCCCTCCTCAGGGCCCCCACTAAGATTAGCATATTGGACCAACAGTCCTCTTTAATATATCACCTAACACTTGACTTTCGGCCTTTTCCCACAGCGACAGTAAGAAATAAGAAAAGAGAAGGTAGGAGAACGTATAGAGAGGGGTGGATAGGAGGCTGAAAGCAAAGCTATAAATCCAGAGAGCCCCGCATTGCCTTCTCTTTTCCAGTCTTGACATCCAAATGGCCCTCGCTAAGAGAAGCCTCTCAGCTATTTTCAGAAACATAAGCCTCTCTCTGTGCCTTCGGGGAAAAAAAGCATGAAATTGTGTTTTCTCACAAAGGGAAAACCCAGAGTGAGAAATGTATTTATTTGACTCGAGGTCCTAAGCCAAAACACATTAAAATGTGAATGCAGCTCCTGTTAGAGTTGAACAAGAGAAATGGTCCCATTTAATGTGTGTGCCTGCAATAACTTGTGTGTGTTTGTCTGCAGAGTCATGACAGAATGAGGTGGTATGTATATGATATGTTTGTATCATGGATTAATAATTGCACAAGCTTCTTTGTGACTGGGAGTCACGTGTACAAATGTGATAGTCACTACAGAGCCAGTGTGGCCATGCACAACAATCAGAAAACTAAAACCAAATGAAGTTAGTGAATCTGTTTTTAAAATGCTACTTTAATAATTGTTTACAGCTGGAGCAGTTGGCGAGTGAACTGACCTCAGACCGAGACTCGCTCCGCAGCGCAGAGTCTCTCAGTACTGACCTGATGAAGGAGAAGGCTTTACTGGAGAAGACTCTGGAAACACTCAGGGAAAACTCTGAGAGACAGGTACACACACACACACACACACACACACACACACACACACACACACACACACACACACACACACACACACACACACACACACACACACACACACACACACACACACACACACACCATGATTACATTTGGAAAGTTCTTCCGAAAACCAGGTTGTTTATTTTCAAGTGGTAATTACTTGCAGGCCTTTTTCCCTGACTGAATTATTTTTGCTGAATGATTATTAACTGATTAGGCCATTTTCTAAGAATGACTATAATCACATTAAGCATTCATGTGCTCTTAAATAGTTACGTTTCAGTCTGTATACAGAACAAACATATAGTTGAACACTCAGACAAACAGGGCTTTGAGACTGTGCGTCATACACGCTGCTCGCTCTACAAAACCATCATTGATTCTTTTTCCAGGAAGCTCCAAGAAAATGACTAAGCAGAATAATGTACGGAAGTCTTTACAGAGTTTTCCTGAGAGCAATCCTTACGCAATGTATCTGCATTTGGCTCAAAAAACTATAAAGTGTAACTGCTAATATGTTTTATTGACTGTACAGACTTCTGGCACTCTGTGTCCTAGATGCAGTCGCACGCTGTGTGTCTGCGGGGACTTTGTAGCCGTTGGACCCGAATCTGACACCTTTGATGAGTTTAACCATCTGATTTGTAAAATCCGGTTTTGATGAGGCAGAGAAAACGCAACCCGCCGCGCTCACAGATTACCGTTGGCAATTTATCCAGTTGGTTGTAAACTAAATGAGATGTAACTAATGTAGTGCCGTTCCCGGAAGACATAATATGCAAATAAGCTATTGTTTTTAATTATCTTCAAAAGCTGCTGCATGATACTTTTTAATTCTGACCTTTTTTAGTTTGTCATGTAAAAAACTAAATTAATATTTCAAGCAGAGCCTCTTTTAAGTCTTTAATCTCTCTCCAAGCAGCAGCTCATATCGCCACAAGCTGAATTATTTTTAAATAAAGTCACAGAACATTTTTCACTCGCATTAATCACCTTCTTAAACATAACCTGTGTTCCTGATTTAACCTCTGCTGTCTGTGGTCCAGCTGAAGGGTCTGGAGCAGGAGAACAAACACCTGGGTCAGACGGTGTCGTCTCTGCGTCAGCGCTCCCAGGTCGGAGCTGAGGCCCGGGTGAAGGACGTGGAGAAAGAGAATCGAGTTCTCCACGAGTCCATCTGCGAGACCACCGCCAAACTCAATAAGATGGAGTTTGAAAGGAAACAACTACGTGAGTGCATTCATATTATATGATTTGAAAAGCTTTCTTTTCCATACGTCAAGGTCCTTGTTTTGTCAGTACGAATTCACAGGATCAACACTCTTGTTGTTTGTACTCTATCTATGCAGGAAAGGAGCTTGAAGTGGTGAAGGAGAAAGGAGAGAGAGCAGAAGAGCTGGAGATCCAGATTCAGAAGCTGGAGAAGGACAAGGAGAGCCTGCAGAAGAAGATTTCCAGTCTTACAATCACCTGTGAAAAGGTGCGGTGCATTTAGTTTTCTGCCTTGTTTTGTATTATGTCACTGTGTCCGTTTGCTTTGTTAATCAGTAAGAGTCAGTTGATCCAAATGGTTTAACTTTGAGAACAGTTGTTACATATTATCAGATCACATGTGGAATATAAATGACTCTCCAGAATAAGTAATTAAATATATCTGTAACATGGAAAATGAATTGTGAACTCTCATTTTAACATATGATATGTGTATTTCTCTGGTGCATATCACCCTTTATTTAGAGTTGAATTTGAATAGTTTCTCTGAATATTGGGTATACCTGTCAGCCTACCTAAGAAGACCTTACACATTTGAGGTTTCTAATGCATAATAGTGAATGAACCCTAGATCATTGACACCCTTTTTTGACATATTGTCCCTAATTTGTGTTACTCCTGTATTACATGGAATTGTATACGATAGCAACATCTGTAGTGAGTTTATATTAACCATTAAAGCTTTATCTTATAATGCATTTAATGAAGTAGAATTTTTGGCTGCTAACACATCCACATGACCAGCTTAGTGTTGACTCACATAAAGCTCTACTCACTGTTATCAATCATCTTTTACGTGTGTGTAGGTGTGTTCTTTGGAGAAGGAGAACTCAGAGCTGGGGGCAGAGGGCCGTCGTCTGAAGAAGAAGTTGGATACTCTGAAGAACATGGCCTTCCAGCTGGAGGCTCTGGAAAAGGAAAACTCCCAGCTGGAGCATGAAAACCTGGAGGTTCGGCGCTTGGCGGAGAGTCTCCGGTCATCGGGAGCAAAGGCCGCTCAGCTGGAGGCAGAAAACAGGGAGCTGGAGAGCGAGAGGAGCCAGCTGAAGCGCAGCCTGGAGCTGCTCAAAGCCTCGTCCAAAAAGACGGAGAGATTAGAGGTAAGACTTTAGCGCAGCCAGAGATACGGCGGGTATTTCTGTCACTGAGAGCAGCTACAATTTTATTGTTTGTTGTAAGAAGCTTTCTTTGAGAAATAAAAGGCAGACTACTGCTTGTGTTTTCAATCGGAGTGTAAAAGTTACCTGGTCCTTAACAAAGACAACTGTCCTTACACAAGGTCAAGCAGATGATCAGCAGTAGAGTTACTGTACACTTTACATTTCTGTAAATTACTTTCAATAACAAATGATCTTTTACAGCTAAATTCTAACATAATCTGGCATATAATGGCATCGGGGAGTAGCGCAATTAGTTCATGAATGCTTTTAATATCCTGATCTGCCTTTTCCTCTCCCAGGTGAGTTACCAGGGCCTAGATACAGAGAACCAGCGCCTGCAGAAGGCTTTAGAGAACAGCAGCAAGAAGATTCTACAGTTGGAGGCTGAGCTGCAGGAAGTGGAGACTGAGAATCAAAGCCTCCAACGCAACCTGGAGGAGCTCAAGATCTCCAGCAAGCGCCTGGAGCAGCTGGAGCAGGAGGTAGGCAAAACAAACAAACACAACAGAACCATTCAGCAGCGTTTCTGAGCTGAAGTGTGGGAAATGGCAGGCAAAGTGTTAAGAAATTATACACAAATTATTATACAAGTTATACATGTTTTCCAAGGCACTTTTCCCCCGAGCAGAGCAGAAACAACATCAAGTGGGAAAGCTGTAGGTTATTTACTGACACAGCTTCAGTGGCTTTTTTAGGACTGTTGTCCCAAAAACGTAGTTGAGGCAGCGAGAGGGAGTGTTTGTGATGCAGCAGTCTAAACATGTTTACATGTTAAAGTCTGTTATTTGGCACCTGGGCAGTACTGCCGCTCATTTAGCTCCCCCTGATGAAAAGCATGTTTCCCAACAGTGTGAGATTATCCCAGATTATTTGTCAACATTGATTTTTGGCCCTCTCAATTAATCTGTTTCACTTTTAGCCAAATGTGTGTTTACAAGACATTTAGACAAGTGAATCGCATCACTGATCCATCTCCTCTGCATTACGCTCCATTATCCCTCAGAACAAGTGTCTGGAGCAGGAGAGCTGCCAGCTGGAGAAAGACAAGAAGTACCTGGAGAAGGAGAAACAAGCGGCTGAGGCAGCAGGCCGAGATCCGAGACTCCAAGCTGGACGACGACAACCAGCGCATCGTCACCTTGGAGAAAGAGAATCGGACGATGGGGAAGGAGATGATCTTTTTCAGGGACTCGTGCACGAGAGTCAAAGACCTGGAGAGGGAGAACAAGGAGCTGGTCAAAATAAGCAACATCGATAAGAAGACCCTCAACAACCTCAGAGAGGTGAGAATAAAATAAATGCTAATATCTTTCTTATGCTTCATATGCTTCCAGATGTATGTCATAATCCTTTGTTTTGTGACGAAAACACGTTACGTTTAAAGTTGTTAATGGCAATTGAAGAAATGGATTTCAATTGCCTCTTTGTTATTAATTTTATACTAAATTCTGGTTTAGTGGGAATTTATTGACAGGGTTTAATTTGGGAAACACTCAACATGGATGATTATTAATGTAAATGAATAGGCACTTAATGATAACCCTGGAAAACCAAGCTTGTTTTTTCTGTCTTGATTCTTCCATTAGCATCATACGTCTTTTTGTTTCTATGAATAAATGCAAAGTAGCCCAATTCTGAGAGTTGCTAAATGTGTGCGTATGTGTGTTTTAGGAGCTTGTGAGTGAGAAGCTGCGGACTCAGCAGATGCATAATGATCTAGAGAAACTCACTCATGAGTTGGAGAAGATTGGCCTGAACAAGGAAAGGCTGCTGCATGACGAGGGCTCTGACGACAGGTACTGTACCATTTCACCCAAGATTTACCCAAGTAAATGTTCATGTTTTCTGTAATGACTCGGTAAACGGAGAGATCTTAGAACTGACATGAACAATCAATCATTTTTGGATCAGAATGATTACAAATAAACGATACAGTCCAAATATAAGAGCCCTATGGCCCAATTAATATCAGGAGTCGAAATCTTTACTTAATTTGAGTCTATTGCAGAATCATCCTGTGGGAGTTTTCTGGGTCAATATCTCCTAACCTCCAACCTACACTGTTACCAAGAAGTCTTGGCGTTGCTTTACTTTGGCTGTGACGATAAAACATTATCTGTGTTCAGGATTACAAATGTGTGATCACATCTAGACTAGAGACACAAATAGACACACACACACACACACACACACACACACACACACACACACACACACACACACACACACACACACACTGCTAACCTCATTATTTATTTTCAGGTTTAGGCTCCTGGAAACAAAACTGGAGTCGACACTGAAATCATCTCTGGAGATTAAAGAGGAGAAGATCGCAGCGCTAGAGGCCAGACTGCAGGAGTCCTCCAACCTCAACCAGCAGCTACGCCAGGAGCTCAAGACGGTCAGCTCACAAATCCATACTCTTAATCAAAGAAAGCATACACACACATACAGGATTTATGACGTATTGAATGCAGATGTTTATTTTAATCACAATAAACAAGACCCAGTATTTAAACGCATACATCCAACAAAGATTCAAGGCTTTTATTGTCATGTGTACATAGCTACAGTGTAGTTATGCCGATGAAAATCTTAGGTCACAGGCTTCTCTAACAGTGCAACACAATACACAGATAAACAGAAACATATAGTGCAAGTAGAAATAGTGCAGAATAGTCTATATACAAGTAATTAGAATATTGATGTGTGTATATATATATATATATATATATATATATATATCTATACAAGTTGCAGCTGATGAATGTTATGGATGTTCTTTCAAAGGTTCAGGAAACCAAACATCATCAATCCTCCAGCCCGTCCACTTGAGAACAACGTGTCCTAAAATCTTTCCCCCGCAGTCCAAAACACTAAAAACACTGAGGGCTTCTGAAGGCCGATACATTATTTATTCATCCACTTTTCCACTTCTATCGCCATATATCTATTCATGAGGCGGCAGGAGAGGAGTGGAGGATGTCTGCTGTCCTTTAAGGAGGCGTTTGTGTTTTGAACTTGCAAACACAAAACAGATTCAAAGCCAAAAGCTTGTAGGGAAAAGTTTAAGCTTCAGTAGATCAAATCTGAGTTTCAGCTGTGACACTATACAGGATAACGTCTGCTTTGTACATAACCATTACTCATGCCATGTTTTATTAGTGAAGTCTGTTTTTATCATTTATTAACTTCACATTCAACCCAGTAGCAGTATTTAAATATTAGCCATCTTGGAATTATATGATATTGTACTGAATGGGCACAAAAAAGTTAAATGTTTACTCCTATGTCTCTACTTTCAGGTAAAGAAAAACTACGAGGCGCTGCGTCAGAGGGAGGAGGAGGAGAGGATGGTGCAGAGCTCCCCCCCGAGAGGAGGGGAAGCCCCTCAGGCTGTCAGTAAATGGGAGAAAGAGAGTCATGAAACCACCAGAGAGCTGCTGAAAGTCAAAGACAGACTCATTGAGGTGGAGAGGAACGTAAGTTAGCACACATCAGAAATGCTGATATGAATAAAACAACATATACCTTTGGATTGTGCAGTTTTCTCTGAATGTCTTTATGTATATCTGTCATCTTTTTTTCCCAGAATGCCACGCTGCAGGCTGAGAAGGCGGCGCTGAGGAGCCAGCTCAAACAACTGGAGACTCAGAGCTCCAACCTGCAGGCTCAGATAGTGGCGGTGCAGAGGCAGACTGCGTCTCTCCAGGAGAACAACACGTCACTGCAGACTCAGAATGCCAAGCTGCAGGTAATCCTACACACACTGCACAATGCAGAGGGAAGGAAGCTATGGATGGCCGCTTTCTGTCACCATCTGCATCAGCATATAGACTTTTACAGCTGTCATGCAAATATAGGTGAAATGTAAATGTTCTCTGAAGCTCAACTTTGAAGCCAACTTGGACAAAAACTCCTTAAAGTCATTGATGTTAATGATTGACTTTGGAAACAGTTGTTGATAAAAAACCATTTCACCTCACAGTCCGTATATACATTAGTAGCTGATCCATGGCCTTTCAATTATACTGGATGATCTTCATTAGCAGACAGAAATGTAATTGTAAAATCATTTTTTATTTCTAAATAAGATGATTTAAACGTGTTTTTAAGTCCATTATGAAAACAAATAATTTGTAAATGTATAACAACAATAATTGTAAAAAAATTATAATACAATAGTTATAACAAGAATAATGATAAATAATAATAATATAGTTTTTATTAATATAGACCCAAATCACAATGTTCTAGGCTTTAAATACTACCATACCACACTTGATTGTGAAAACAAAGATAATCCAAACAAATATACACATGTTTATGTCTCAGAGATACATGCACTATAGACAATTGTGATAAATACATAAATCTGTCATATATTCGGTTAATAATTGCTCTTAAAACCATCAGTTTAGTAGCATAACATTCTCTTGAAGTATTTTAGAACACTACTTTAAACAAAACCAATTAACAATTCTCAATGTTAATTACACAATGCAAAGCTATCACGCCTTCTTTCAACATTCACACAGTTGCGTTGCCACGGTGCTCAGCCCCTGCTATGGATTTAGACTTGTTTGGCGGTGACTCAAACCCTGCTTATGGGCGACAGGATTTACACTGACCGTACAGAAGCTTCTATCTGTTGCTGTGGGTGTTAGCCTACGCCTCTTGATGTGTGTGAGAGCAGGTGTGTGTGTGTTGTGGAGGTAAAAAGCTGTCTCTGTTTAAAGATACAGAGAGTATGTCAGCACCTGGACATAATGTGTGTGTGTCAGAGTGTACTAGTGATGACACACTAGTGATGATTGAAGAGGGATTGGAGACCAGGAAACCTCTGCGACCACAAAGGAAACATGAGAAGAAACAGTTGGTGTTATGAACAGGGAGTTCACATCAAACTGTACTGACACAGCGCCCCCTGTGGACCAAAAGAGGAACAACCTCTCCTTTTACTTCACATTTTTTTCCTTTTGGGTGTTGATTATAGGAACACATTTTCTTTCAATAAGTCAATACAGCTGACAACATGTTGATAGGAGAATCTTTATTTTAAACTCTGCTCAGTGTTACTTTTCTCCACTCCGACTCCTCCCCCTTTTCTCCTTCATCTCCTCTGTTCAATTCTCCGCGAGCCAAGTCGTATTTTTTAATCCATATCATTCTTTACTTCTATTCTCCGTGATATCCTCCTTTTTTTCCCAATCATCTTCATGCTCCTTTTCACATCCATAGCAATCATCTGTTTGCAGTATTTCATTTAACTGTAAAGTATAACATTTTTATTGAACTGTTCTTGTTTGTCTTATTCGATTAACATAGCATTTTGCATTTACTTTATCACTTACAACATTCTCTCAACATTTAGCCTTTTGTATTTATTTTCTTTTGACATGTAAATAGTTTGCTTCATCTGCATTACTTGCACTTTGGTTTTGCGAGATTTTTCATTTTTCATTTATTTAATCGTTTATTTGGCAGGGACAATGCACAGTAATGAACACTTAAAACATTAAAATGTATCAAGCGTAACAGTGACAGATTTAGCTTTGAGCTCATTTCCATCCGCAGTCCCTCACATAAAACATTTAAGAAAATTACATTTTACAAACATAGCAAAAACAAAATACATGATATGCAAAAGATGCAAGAAAGAAGTATTTATGACATGGTAATACAATATAGCAGCAACGACATATAAAGTGCAAGAGAGGAGACAAGAGCTACCTAAAGTGCAAGAGGAGATACCCCTGTGTTAAAGTGCATTTATTACATTACATTTAGCTGACGCTTTTATCCAAAGCGACTTACAATAAGTACATTCGACCAGGAAGACACAACCTTGAAGAAAACAGAATCATATAAGTACATCAGGTTTCATAGAGCCAAACATTTCAAGTGCTACTCAACTGGCTTTAGGTAATCCAGTCCTTTATTAGTATAAAAGTGCTTCGTTAATAGTTCTAACGCTCGAAGTGGAGTCGAAAGAGATGAGTTTTCAGTTTGTGCCGGAAGATGTGCAAGCTATCTGCCGTCCTGATGTCAATGGGGAGCTCATTCCACCATCTTGGAGCCAGGACAGCAAACCCACGTGTTTTCGCCGATGGGAACTTGGGTCCCCCTCGCAGCGAGGGTGCAGCGAGTCGTTTGGCTGATGCAGAGCGTAGTGCACGCGCTGGGGTGTACGGTTTAACCATGTCCTGGATGTACGAAGGGCCAGATCCATTCGCAGCATGGTAAGCAAGTACCAGTGTCTTGAAGTGGATTCTAGCAGTTACCGGAAGCCAGTGAAGGGAGCGGAGGAGCGGAGTGGTGTGGGAAAATGTAGGAAGGTTGAAGACCAGACGAGCCGCTGCATTTTGGATGAGCTGCAGAGGTCGGATGGCACATGTAGGTAGACCAGCCAGGAGGGAGTTGCAGTAGTCTAGGCGTGAGATGACGAGAGCCTGGACCAGAACCTGAGTCGCTTTCTGAGTCAGCTGGGAACGTATCTTCCTGATGTTGTAAAGCGTGTATCTGCAGCAACGGGTTGTAGCAGCGATGTTTGCAGTGAAGGACAGGTTGTTATCTAGGGTCACACCCAGATTCCTTGCAGTCTGAGTCGGGGAAACAACTGAGGTGCCGATGTTGATTGTTAGGTCAAGAGTGGGACAATCTTTTCCCGGAAGGAAGAGCAGCTCAGTCTTGTCAAGGTTGAGCTTGAGGTGATGATCAGACATCCACTGAGAGATGTCAGCTAGACAAGCAGAGATGCGTGCGACGACCTGGGTCTCTGAGCGGGGAAAGGACAGAATTAATTGGGTGTCGTCAGCGTAGCAGTGGTATGAAAAACCATGCGGGCTAATGACTGATCCGAGCGAGTTTGTGTACAAGGAGAAGAGGAGGGGACCAAGAACAGAGCCCTGAGGGACCCCTGTAGTTAATTGACAAGGGTCGGACTCAGACCCTCTCCAAGTCACCCTGTAGGTACGGTCTTTCAGGTATGAGGTGAGGAGGGAAAGTGCAGAGCCTGAAACTCCAAGTTTTTGGAGAGTGCGAAGGAGGATCTGATGATTCACCGTGTCGAATGCAGCAGACAGGTCCAACAGGATGATGACAGAGGAGAGGGATGCAGTTTTGGCAGTGTGCAGTTCCTCCGTGACAGCAATGAGAGCAGTTTCTGTGGAGTGACCTGCCTTGAAACCAGACTGGTGCGGATCCAGAAGGTTGTTCTGATTGAGATAACAGGAGAGTTGTTTAAAGACAGCGCGTTCAAGTGATTTAGACAGGAACGGGAGGAGAGAGACAGGCCTGTAGTTTATAACATCAGACGGGTTGAGAGTGGGTTTCTTTAGGAGAGGGTTTACTCTTGCCTCCTTGAGACTGTTTGGAAAGTGACCAGAAGTTAGAGAAGTGTTGATGAAATGGGTGAGAAACGGTAGAATATCAGGAGCGATAGTCTGAAGGAGGTTTGAAGGGATGGGGTCCAGAGGACAGGTGGTAGGGCGGGGCAGAGGTAATGAGGGTAAGAACCTCACTTGGAGAGAGAGGGGAAAAGGAGGTTAGTGTGTTGGTGGAAGGAGGGTCTGGTGACCCAGCGGTGAGTAAAGGTGAGTCAGAAAAAGAAGAGCGAATATCATCAACCTTTTTTTCAAAGTGGGTAACAAAGTCGCTTGACAGAAGTGAGGAGGGGGGAGGGGCTTTTGGAGGGTCCAAGAGGGTGGAGAAGATGGAAAATAGTTTTTTTAGGATTGGAATAGGAAGAATGGATCTTATCTTGAAAGAAAGTGCTTTTTGCCCGAGAGATCGAAGCAGAGAAAGAGGAGAGGAGAGCTTGATAGGTTAGGAGGTCGTCACGGTGTTTGGATTTCCACCGTTTCCGCTCTGCTGCCCTAAGGACGGTTCTATTAGCAAGCAGTGCATCATTTAGCCAGGGAGCAGGAGGGGACTGACGAGCCTGCCGAGATGTGAGAGGACAGAGAGAGTCCAGAGTGGATGAGAGAGAGTAGAGAGGAGAGTTTCTGCAGCAGAGTTTGGAGGCAGGAGTTGGAACGAGTCAGAGGAAGGGAGGGCTGAGAGCACCGATGAGGCAAAGGTAGAGGGGGAGAGGGAGCGAAGGTTACGGCGGACAAGTGCAGGATGAGAAGAGATTAGTTTGTTATGTTTGGAAAGGGGTAGAGAGAATGAAATTAAGAAGTGATCGGATGTGTGGAGCGGGTTTACAGAGAGGTTAGAAGTAGCGCAGTTCCTTGAGAATATGAGATCAAGGACATTGCCAGCTTTATGAGTCGGTGGGGACGGAGACAGTGAGAAAGCAAAGGCGGTTAACAGAGATGTTAGTTCGTCTATCTTCCCTGTCTGGAGGTTGAAGTCTCCGAGAAGTACAGCGGGAGGGCCAGTTTCAGGGATGTGTGAGAGGAGATTATCTAATTCCTCCAAGAAGTCCCCCAAGGCGCCTGGTGGACGGTAGAGAACAACAATGGTTAATTGTATAGGATGGGTTACTGTGACGGCATGGAATTCAAAGGTGGAAGGAGTGAAGTTAGGTAGCTTGAAGAGGGAAAAGCTCCATTTGGGAGAGAGCAGGAGACCAGTGCCACCTCCTCTGCCAGTTGGTCTGGGTATATGGGAGAAGGAATATGCAGTGGAGAGAGCTGCTGGGGTGGATGTGTTGGATGGAGTAATCCAGGTCTCAGTGAGAGCAAGGAAATCCAGAGACTGCAGGGAGGCGTAGCCAGAGATGAAGTCAGCCTTAGGAACAGCTGACTGGCAATTCCACAGGCCACCTGAAACTAGATGTTGGATCTCAGTGGAGCATGTGGGATAGATGAGAGCAGGCCGGTTATATCGATTACGAGATACACGGGGCCAGTGATAATTGCGAGAAGACACATGAACAGGAATGGAGAAAATACACATGATTATAGCATGAGGGGCTAAACAACCAAATAAAATAAAACACCAGCGATACTTAGCTCAATCAAAGTAGGATTTGCCTCCTCTTTGCCTCCCTCGTGACTCCCGCAGGACTCTAATGTCTTTGCCAGTCTTACTCCCACAGGACTCTAATGTCTTTGCCAGTCTTAGTCTGTCTGACGCTGAAGCTGACGCTCCAGGAAAGTGCTACCTAAAATGGACACCTGATTGCTGAGTTCTCACAGCTGTGGGCCAACGTCCCTTTAATTAGTTAACTCTGCAGCTGGTGGCCCTCAAAAGGAAATCTAGACTGGCTTCCTCCTGATTTGTTATTGTCTTTTAAGTCAATTACATTAAACCCTAAGTTATAAAGTTATGAGTTTAACCCTTAATACAGTTACACCTACTCAATAAAGCTCTTAGTATTCTACAAATGTTTAAATCAAAGTTAACCCTAGCAGTCAGTTAGTTCACTGTTAAGGTTTCAGTCAAATGACTTGTCCCAAGTTTCTGCCTGACAGATACTGTAGCGGTTTTGAGTTTTAAAATCACAATTCCAGTCAGATCAACTACAGAGCATTGATACAGAGTACACACACTGAAACAGAGAAGTCTAAAAACACAATGTTACTCACACAATTCTAGAAGTCTCCAGTAGCTTTCCTGTCAAAATCGAGTTGCCCCGAGTTAGCGGTGATTGCACGGATGTTTGTTTCTCAACCATTCTTTGAGTTGACCTTTGAAGCTATTGAGAGTGGGACAATCCCGTGTCTCAGTTGGGAGGCTATTCCACAATGAGCTGCCTTTAATGGAAAGTACATTTTGTCCAAAAGTGGTCCGTCTGCGGTGGACTTCAGTCTCCTCTGGTTTCTGACCTAGTGCAGCGTCCAGTTTGTTTTTTGTGGATGAATTCCCCTACAAGGGAGGGGGGGCCAGTCCATGTAAACATTTATAAATAAAGCACATACTTTTAAAAGACTTACAATTGTCAAAACTCAAGAAATTGTGTTTTTCAAGGATGGTACAGTGGTGGTATGAATTTGGCTATCTGTCAAACACCTTGATAGCTCTCTTGTACAGTTGTTCTATTGGTTTCAGGTTTGTGGCACAAGCAAACGACCAGTTTGTAAAACAGTATTCAATGTGGGATAGAATCATGCAGTGGAGGTATGACTTTGCAGCATTGACAGTTAAGAAAGGTCTAATTTGTTTAACATTTTGCAAGTTGGATTTAATAGTATTGGATACTTTCTTGATATGTTTCTTAAAAGTCAAGTTCGAGTTCAGTATGACTCCAAGATACTTGAAGTGGGGGACTAGTTCTATTTCTGCTCCGTTTAAAAACACGTTGGATCCTTCGGTTTTGACTGGTCGTTTACTGAACATCATACATACTGTTTTTTTTACATTTAACTGTAAGCAAATGTTGTTCAGCCAGTGTTGAACCTTGTCCAAAGCATTTGAGAGACAGGATGAGATAATGTCAGTGTTTTTCCCATGTACAAAGATGACCGCATCATCGGCATACATTTGCACATTCAACTCAGGACATAGGCAAGTCATTAATGTACAGAGAAAACAATAATGGTCCAAGAATGGAACCTTGTGGAACCTTGTGGAACCCCAACAGGGTTGACAAGGTAGGGGGATTTGGCTCCGTTGACCAAAACACACTGTTTTCTGTTCGATAAGTAAGACTTAACCCACTGTATTGAATCTGCCGAAAAATTGCTTTGTAAGGAGCACTTGGTAGTCAACAGTGTCAAATGCCTTCCTGAGATCAAGGAAGACAGCACCTACATATGGGCTCGTGTCCAACATACATTTAACCTTTTCCACAAAGACGCAGTTAGCTGTCTCAGTGGAGTGGTGAGCACGAAAACCAAACTGCATTGGGTGGAGTGGAGCGAAACCTTTGTCTAAATGTTTGGTGATTAGTTTTGACACCCATTTCTCAGCTACCTTGGAGACACAGGGGAGGATGCTGATTGGTCTGTAATTGGACATTATTGCCTTATCCCCAGATTTAAAGATCGGTGTCATCGTGGCCACCTTCCAGGATGATGGAACTTCCCTTGTGCTGATAGATTGATTTACTAACATAGTAATTGGTTGTATTAGACCGTCGATATGTGTTTTTATAAAGTTGGTGTCTAAATCATCCGCATCCCTAGCCTTAGAACCTCTTAACCCTAAAATGATATGTTTTACCTCAACCTCTGTGATTTTCTCCAGGTCAAAAACGGGGTGTGTATCCACAGTCGGGCTAGGTGAGACCTCAGATGGCGGGAAGAGCTTTGTAATGTCCAGAGCACTATTTATGAAATAGTCATTTAGAGAGTTGGCCAACACTGCAGGGTCTTTTATCAGGGCATCATTGATTTTTAATTCTAGTACATTATTTTCCTGTTTGGTTTGTATACCTAATAGTTTATTTAAGATTTGCCAAACTTTTTTCTGTTACCTTTCGCACCTTCAATTATATTGATGAAAACGTTTGCTTTGGCCTGTCTTATTGTTTGTGTTACCTTGTTACGAGCATGAGTGAATTTCTGTCTGTCAGTGGATAGTCCGGATTTCAAGTTCTGCTTGCACTATTTTATTCTACTCCGTTTGTAACCCTTGCACTATTTTTATTGGTTTTTAAATGTGTTTCATGGTTTTATGTCTTATATATACTTATTTTGCATTGTTGGAGGAGCCTGAGACCTAAGATTCATTGCCATATCCACACTGTAGCTACTGTGCATATGACAATAAAGCGTTTGAATCTTGAATCTTGAATCCGTCTCTAAATGTATCTTCCATCCTGTCCTTTAGGTGGAGAACTCCACCCTGAGCTCGAAGAGTGGCGCCCTCATGGCCCAGAATGCCCAGCTGCAGACCCAGCAGAGCAGCGTGGAGGGGGAGCGAGAAGGAGCTCTGAAGGACAAAGAGGACCTGAGGTCCACCTACGAGCTGCTCCTCCGAGACCATGAGAAGCTGGCAGGGCTCCACGAGAGGCAGGCGTCCGAGTACGAAGCCCTGATCGGAAAGCATGGCGGCCTGAAGACCTCCCACAAGAGCCTGGAGCAGCAGCACAGGGACCTGGAGGACAAGTGAGACTGGGTTTAGGCTTTAGTCCATTACAAGTCTCACTCATAATCTACTTTCACCCCCTTTTAACATTGTCTTCTTAAGGCAGTATTAAACAATCATAAATCTTTCTTTTTGCAAGTCATGTCACGGTTTGTAATGTGTTTGTTGTGTCTGTGCAGGTACAAGCAGCTCATGCAGAGGAAGGGAGAGCTGGAGGATCTGGAGAAAAATCTGAAGGAGCAGCAGGAGAAAATGGCGCTGGAGAATCAAACGCACCGATCCACAGCTGACCAGTTCAAACTGCTCAAAGAAGAAAATGATAGGTCAGATCATCAGTATTTGTTATCTTACTGTTCAAACTTGTGAAAAACAAGTGAATCAATATGATATTTTCTTAGGATTACACCTTATGTTTCTACATGCAAATGTCATTATATTGAGTATTCCCCTTGCTCTCTCCTCACTCAGGCTGAATAATACCCATCGTCAGCTGGTGAAGGACAACGACAACCTCCAGCTGGACCATAAGAACGCAAAGACCCAGCTGAACAGCGCCAAGCTGGAGCAGACCAAGCTGGAGGCCGAGTTCTCTAAACTGAAGGAGCAGTACCAGCAGCTGGACATCACCTCCACCAAGCTGACCAACCAGTGTGAGGTGAGGAGACACACACTACTCTTATCTTCTCTTTACTTCGAGTCTCATCTCTGCTCTATATTTAGGAGTTCCCCTTTATGTGTCACTTTAAAAGCCAGCTGTCTTCAACTCTTTTAATGTCATATTTAGAAAGACAACTTCTTAAGCCAGCTTAAGGGTTGCTTAATCCTTTTTGTTGTCATATTTGTTGTTGATCCGACTTTTCTCATCTCTTCCCTTTTTCTTCATGTCTCTTCTGTTCTCTTCACGTCTCATCTCTTCTCTATATTTAGGAGTTTGCCTTTATTTGTTACTTATAAAACCAGCTGTGTTTTGGCCTCTCTTAACATTTCGTATTTAGTTAGACAACTTCTTAAACCATATTTGTTGTTGATCCAACTGTCTAAGCCTCTGTTTTAAACTTCAATGTGTGTGTGTGTGTGTGTGTGTGTGTGTGTGTGTGTGTGTGTGTGTGTGTGTGTGTGTGTGTGTGTGTGTGTGTGTGTGTGTGTGTGTGTGTGTGTGTGTGTGTGTGTGTGTGTGTGTGTGTGTGTGGTGTGTGTGTGTGTGTGTGTGTGTGTGTGTGTGTGTGTGTGTGTGTGTGTGTGTGTGTGTGTGTGTGTGTGTGTGTGTGTGTGTGTGTGTGTGTGTGTGTGTGTGTGTGTGTGTGTGTGTGTGTGTGTGTGTGTGTGTGTGTGTGTGTGTGTGTGTGTGTGTGTGTGTTAGTTGTTGAGCCAGGTAAAAGGAAACCTGGAGGAGGAGAATCGCCACCTGTTGGACCAGATCCAGACTCTGATGCTGCAGAACCGCACACTGCTGGAGCAAACCATGGAGAGCAAGGACCTGTACCACGTAGAGCAGAGACAATACATGTAAGGCCCTGATAATGAGTATTTTTTTTAAACGAACAGATAGAATATCCCTGTCAATAAAAAAAATCTAAATCCAGCAATGAATTTAATAATGAGACGATTAAATCTAATTCGTTGCGTTGACATTTTGTTTGCATTTTCATTTTTGTATGTCTTACTGACTGATTTGTCTGTTTTCCTCCAATCAGAGACAAGCTGAATGAGCTGAGGAGACAGAAAGAGAAGCTGGAGGAGAAGATCATGGACCAGTACAAGTTCTACGACCCCTCGCCCCCACGCAGGTGAAAGGAAGCTTCAATAAAGACATGACTGACTGTTATTTGACAAAAAAACTTTAAAAATTCTAATTATTTTGTTTCAATGAACTAAAAATGATTTGAGAATCCTTTCAAAGTAAAAATGACGCTGAGTGACTCAAAGAAGTCACAGTATCATAGCAGACTCTGATGTTCAAAATTCTGTTTGCTTGTTGACTCTGATCCCGAGGTGAAAACACTCAAACTGCAGCTTCAGGAAGAGATGCAGCAAATATTTATAGCCTGCAGAGCTTTAAACAGCTTTTATACGGCAACATCTTTTTTATCATATGTGACATGCTCCATCGAAATCAGTCGCATTGACCCGAAGACACATTTTGAGTTGTATACACTGTTGGAAAGAGGATATTCCTAGCTTTCTAATGATATCAGGATTGTTTTTGTACTCCAAATATTAAGCAAAATATGTCACATTATATAAAGACTGTCACCGAGTCATCATTTTGAGGAAAAGGCCTTCAAAGTTTCCTCCTCTCTGGAATCCATCGGTCTGATTGGTTATTAGCACATGATCAAAATACTACGGAGGGAAGATATTTTCGTTTGGATTGCTGGTCTGGGGGAAGCTTGTGTGTGTGTGTGTGTGTGTGTGGTGTGTGTGTGGTGTGTGTGTGTGTGTGTGTGTGTGTGTGTGTGTGGTGTGTGTGTGTGTGTGTGTGTGTGGTGTGTGTGTGGTGTGTGTGTGGTGTGTGTGTGTGTGTGTGTGTGTGTGTGTGGTGTGTGTGTGTGTGTGTGTGTTGATGTGTGTGTGTGTGTGTGTAGTGTGTGTGTTTGTGTGTGTGTGTGTGTGTGTGTGTGTGTGTGTGTGTGTGTGTGTAGTGTGTGGTGTGGTGTGTGTGTGTGTGTGTGTGTGTGTGTGTGTGTGTGTTGTGTGTGTGTGTGTGTGGTGTGTGTGTGTGTGTGTGTGTGTGTGTGTGTGTGTGTGTGTGTGTGTGTGTGTGTGTATCATTTTGCATTTGTGTGTATTTCCCGGCTGTTGTTATGCCTGCAGTGACGTAAAGTTACTCCGTTCTCCGCTTGTAATTATGCCGTTACAAGCTTCAAAGTTGTATTTATCATCTGAATTTGCCGAAACAAGTTTAATATTCTGAAAGCCAAGACTTTGTTTATTTGAAATCAGATGAAAACAAACTGTAACGGACCCTGCCGTGTTATCTATGATTACTATACGCCTTACATTCATAATTTCAGCCGGAGGGAGGGGAAGCGGCGCTGCGGAAGGGCAGGGAGCGAGTGAGAGCTGTCATCTTCCCTTTACAAGCTTCAAAAATGTATTTATCGTGTGATTTTGGAAATAAAAGTTTCATATTCTGAAAGTCAATACTTTGTTTGTTTAAAAGCATTTTTACACAAATCCACGTTTATTTTTAAATGAGCCGTTGTGACTTCCGACTGATTTCGATAGAGCGGGTTACATACAGTATATAGGAAGATCTGGAGGTGCCCATATGGAACAAATCAGACATTTTAAAACCCAGCCTTAATGTTTTTTAATATCAATATATATGGACTTTATTTCCCTGATTTCCTGATGGTCTGTGTCTTGCTGTGTCTTGTATCTCTTTTGTAGGCGTGGAAACTGGATCACTTTGAAGATGAAGAAGTTGATCAAGCCGAAGAGCCGGGACAGGATGCGCTCTCTCACTCTTACTCCCTCTCGTTCAGAGTATGGCGACGGTTTCCTGACGCTTCCTCCGGACTGCCAGGACAGCTCGTCCATCGGCTCTGGCTCCAACTCGCTGGACGACACACTCACACAGAAGAAGAGCAGCAGTGAGTCCAAGCACACACTCACACACAGATGGAGTCTCAAGTTTCAAAGTCAGGGTAGTGACAGATACAACCACTACTGAGGGACCTTGTTTCTGGTTGCTCGAGATAAACAAAAAGACACTTTATACAAACAGATAGCAAGGCAAGTTTATTTATATAGCACCTTTCAACACAAGGCAATTCAAAGTGCTTTACAAAAATGAAAGACATTAAGAGCATTAAGAAACATATTATAAAATGATATCTAGAAACACTCATTTAAAAGCAAAGATAAAAAGCAAAGATAATAAAAGTTACAGTGCAGTTTAAGATATGAATATATCAATTAAAAGCAGCGGCAAAAAGAAAAGTCTTCAGCCTGGATTTAAAAGTAGTCAGAGTTGCAGCGGACCTGCAGGTTACAAACTCCCAGATACTCATCCTTCCAAACAATGTACAGTAAATGTACATCTGATCAAATACTCAGACACTATTTCATACACAAATTGACACAAGTGTACACACAAAGAAAGTAGTTTGCAAACTATTACGTTCATGGGATCCTGAATACTTTCACAGACACATAATCATACACTCACATACTCACAAAACACACCGATTCTTGTTTTGAGTGTGTGTTGGTTTGATTAATTGTTGAGTGGTTGAATGGGTCTTTCCTCCCCTAACTGCTCCTCTGCTTCTCTCTCTCTCTGCAAAGGGAGGAGAGGGCAGCAGGCCCATGCCCAAGGGCAGGGTTCAACCAATGGTATGCTGCGGATGGGTAGGGTGGGCGGGGATTGTGAACCGACAGTCACGTCTCTCGGGGCATGTTATCGTGAGTCCATTGTCTGTGTCACTCAGATGTCCTAGAGGTCACGGTTGAGCTGCACAGAACCACAGGGTTGACTCTCAATTTTGGACCTGTTTGGAGAAAATATGTGTTTCCTGTGTGACACACCAGAGAGCGCTTGATTTCTGTGCCCTTTTACCCATCAATTTGGTAAAAACCTTTTCTTTGGCTGTCTGTCTTGACTCTGATAATGTTACAGCAGTGCTATGATAATCTGGGAATTAACAGTGTTCTGGTGTCAAACTGAATCAAGCACTTCTGATGTGGCTCACATATTGGAAAAGGTATATCTTGGCTCAGGTTCAGTATTAACTGCTCCTCCAACAGCTTTTAAGCTCCTTAGCTCTCAGTTACAGTCGTGTCAACCTGCTGATCTGTGCAGTTCACCTGTAGATAACAGAGAAAAGCACTCTAACGTAGCATCCAAGCTATTAAAAGGTGCAATGCAACATGGCTGACTTCCAGGCAGTGCAAGCGGTGTCAACATCCTGGATGTCTGGAATAGCTAGAAGATACGGAATAAAGAAAGTTGTACATGGACTAGTGGGGTTTACGATTTCATAGAGTGGGTTAACTTCTTTATAAAGTTGTGTATATTTATCAGAATCAGAATACCTTTATTAGCCCCACAGAGGGGACATTTGCATTGTTACAGCAGGAAAGAGCCACAGACAGCTTAATGTTACATATGTTAAAAAAAAAAGTACTAAGTTATGATATAATACAAATAAATAAAAAATAAAAAGTTACATACTTTTCAAAATACAAATCCTGTAACAGTTAGGATTTAGCAGCCAGGTATATATTACAGTTATTAATGGCTTATGTATATATTGCACATAGTTTGATGGTATATAACAGCAGCAAGTTACACAATTTACAAAATGCAAACAAAAGTATTATTATCATTATACTGTATATGCGTTTTGTATAATCAAGAAGCTATTCAACTCGGCACAAGTTCGTTTTTTACCCCTAGGGATCAGAAAATGGTGGCGGTAAGAAACGCACCTTAACGTAGGTACTTGTATAAAACATAAAGACATGTACCGAAGTATGATCAATTCTCTTGGTTATGTCTATAAAAACACTGCAGTCCTCCCTGATGCTGTTCAGGTGCCCTTTGACCTTTTCATTCTCCTGATTGCACCCTTTAATATATCCATCCTCCGTGTGTCATGTAGGTGGTAATGTGTTGACAGATGTGTTGTTGTGTACAGTATGTAATGCAGAATGCAACACTCATGACCATAACCATGAGTGATTGTTGTTGTGTGCAGGAGAAATGTGCGCAAGTGTGTTAGTGTTTTACATTTTTGTGTTTGTTTGCATAATCTGTCTTTGTATAAAAGTCTGCCCTTTTTTTAAAGGATTATACAGGTATTAAATAAGTCTGTGGGATGTGTTTCAGTCCAACTAAAAAGCTCTTGAACAAGCATTTACAAAATAGTGACGCTGAACACAACTTATTGGGAAAGTTCAAAGTGTAAATCTGCTTTTAATGGGACTTATTTTTCAGCCCATTAACCAAATCTAGCATTACTCATGTTTGTGCATGATATACAAAGAAGGTAGTGTACTGGTATAGATTAAAAATACCTTACACTTGATAATAAATAGACCTGTCCAATAATCCCTCGTCATGTGATATGGATATGACCACGAACACTTTAGCTGACCTTGATATTGCCCGTAATGTTTACATACTGTATGTCCCAAACATGTAAGCCAACATGATGCCAGAATCAACAGCAGTGATTGCCCTACCATTAAAAGACTTGGGCATCTGTGCATTTCTGTTAATACAGGTTTTGGTTGAGTAGATCCATTTTATGTATATTTATTTATTTAGCATATTTGAAAACATTTTACATTCCAATGACTGCAATTATTCATATTCAGAAGTTAATTGCTCTTTGAAAGGGTGTTCTTGATTTAATATGCCATCAGATTATCATCAGTGGCATTAATCCATCATAGATTGACAGTCATATATTGTATTTCTGGGACAACATAAGGTCCTACACCAGCATGTATTGTGACAGGCCTAATGATAAATCAACAATGCTTTATATTAACATAATCACCTGCTGTTAAACCTTATAGTGATACTGTGCATTGCATTGTTTGTCTATTGTCCAGTTGAGTGTCCAGGGGCTCAGCTCTCTCTCTGCATCTCTCTTTGTGCAAACGTTAACCACATCCCTCTGTTCTGCCCTCCTTTTTCTTTTTTTTTCTTCCCTCCACCTCCCTCGGGCTCGTTCTGTCGCTCTCTGTTCTCTGTCTGTCTGTCTGTCTGTCTGTCTGTCTGTCTGTCTGTCTGTCTCTGGCTGCGCTCTTGACAGCTTTAAAAAGGTTGCCTTTCATGAGGAACAGATCCAAGGACAAAGACAAGGCCAAGGCCATCTACCGGCGCTCCATGTGTAAGACCTCCGTTAGCCGCCACGCTAGTCCTCCTCCTCCTCCTCCTCCTCCTCCTCCTCCTCCTCCTCCTCCTATCGCCACACTAGCAGAAACAAAGAAGGAACAGTCACTGATTTCACGGTGGCTGCAGTGTGGGGGCGTGACACTTACAGTGACAGTGTGTCAGTTTCAGCCACAGCTCTTAAAGCTACTCAGGCCTGCAGGCAACACACTTCCATGTAATATTTACGGAAGAGCATTTTGCAGTGGTGGTATTATCTTGTAGTATTTAGATACGGCTGCACAAGATTTAAGTTTAAAATGTGTTGCATTGTCACCTCACCCCCATGCATACCCTGCCGACATCAGTGACTTGTACTTTACATTTTTGCCTATTAACCCCCCCCCCCCTCCGTCTCCATCTCCTCCTGCCGCCTCCACTCACTCCTGTAGAGTATCTGCTCTCAGCTTTTATCAGGTGTCACCAGTGTGTCCCTTTATTCTCACTTTTAGCAAATGAATAGCACAAACTTGTTTTGAGCTAAGATGTACACAACTGAATGTATTGGTAAACTCCAATGCAAAAACTGATGTTAAAGTTAGCATCTCCTCTTCCTGTAGATGTGTGTGTTGTAGTGTGTTACAGTTTCATCTATTACAGCCTTAATTCTTATAGTTTGGTCATTGTGGGAATAACTATGCAAAAGGCAATTTATTGGGCAGCTTTGTCATGTGCTCTGTTTATTTTTCTTTGTGTAAACCAAATGAAAGGCTGTGTGTGTGTGGCTGGTTTGCCTTTCATGCGCCTGTGGTGTGTTTGCCTCCATCTTTGATTACAGCATGACTTAAAAAAAAATAATCAAATCATCAACCGCCTGATCGCCTCTGCTCTCACTCACCATGGAGGACTTGAAATGGAGCCCTTAGTCTCTCTCTCTCTTGTTCTCTCTCTCTCTCTCTCTCTCTCTCTCTCTCTCTCCTCTCTCTCTCTCTCTCTCTCTCTCTTCTCTCTCTCTCTCTCTCTCAATTCAATATGCTTTATTGGCATGAATGTCAGGTGAACAATATTGCCAAAGCGTAAAGGAGAATACAATTCAATAGTGATATGATAAGAAAGAGAAAAAAATACAATTCATTAAACAATTTACAACAATATATTATTACAAAACCGCAAGTTTCAAATGTAAAAGAAAAGAAATACACATGAAGTAGAAGAGTAATCAGAAGTGAGCTGTGAGGAGATGAACAGCTGTTATGTGTTGTTCTCTCTTAGGCTGTGACATGCACTGTGACATGCGCTCACATATTTCGCTGCTTCTATGGTGCTGGCTCTCTCTGTCTATCTCAGTCTCTCTCTCTCTTGTCTATCTCTCTCTTGTCTCTGTCTCTCTCTCCCTCTCTTTTCTTCCAGTCAGTGTGCTGCATTTCAGATCTTATTCTGCTGACATGGAGTTTCATGGTTTTCGCTCTGGCTCTGATCTCAGAGCAGCTTTGCATGCCTTCATGCTTCTCTACCGTCGCACACAGCTCAGTAAACAAAGTGCATAAAGACAGTGGCCTCTTAAGGTGATGGATCACCTGTTTAAAAAAAAAAGTTGCAGCTGCCATCTTTGTGCACTTTGGGTGACATTTTTTTTTTTTGCACATCCCTTGAATGTATTACGCTACACCATCATTTACATTTGTTAGGAGTAGGATTGACTTGTAGCCTGTATGAGGTCCAATAAGGGCTTTTTATGAAATGGTTGCCTTAATCTGATCCATTTTACATCCCCTAAGGGGAAACAAATTGTCTCTATGACGAAAAGTAAAAGTTAGCACTAGCTACAGTAAAGTATGACTTGAAGTGGATGTTAAAACATTTTCATGGAATAATTAAGTTGACCTTATAATAATTTAGATTTTTTGGGATATAATTTGCTCGCTCTAGTAGCCTGTATAAGGGCTTTTTATCAATGGTTGCCTTAATCTGAGCCATTTTACCTCCCTTAAGGGAAACAAATTGTCTCTGACGAAAAGTTAAAAGCAATAGGTAAAGTATGTTTTGAAGTGGATGTTCCTCTCCTAATTTCCGTTCCTCTGCTGCACACCCAGCCATGAACGACCTGCTGCAGACCATGGCGGTGGCGGGTGGTCCCGGCGCTGAGTGGGCGAGCAGCATTGACCACCTTGACGGAGCTGAGGCCGTAGACAGAGACACGGCGGGGAGCAGCCGGCGTAGCGGGCGGAGCATGAAGGAACTCGCCTTCTCCACCAACGCCATCGACTACTCCACGCTCACCCTGCCCACCGCCAGGCAGAGCAGGGCCAAGCTCCGCCTCCAGGTCAAAGGTCAGGATGATGGGTTTATTCATGCGAGGGTAGAGACAAATCAACATGTTGAGATTCTGACAATTTCTTCATGTATTGGGCTTTTTTACTGAACACATTTCAGGAGTTAGTTCAGAATCAGAATACCTTTATTAGTCCCACTGAGACGAACTTTACATTGTTACAGCAGAAAAGAGCCAAAGACAGCTCAATGTTACCTAAGAAGCATGCATACAAAATATTAAAGATCAAAAGAATTATAATAAAATTACACAATTTACAAAATACACATCCTGTAACAGTTCTGAGGATTTAGCAGCCAGGTATATATTGCACAGTTATTAACAGCATATATATATATATTGCACATTCTCCATTTTATGCAGATTGGACTCATGCATGAAGATTCATATGAAGGTGGTGATATATTGTCAGATCTGAGAGAAAAAAGCAGCTGTAGCATCACTCTCTTCTGTGTCAACAGATAATGCTTCATGTGAGGATGTCGCCGGCTCCTTAGATGACCCCAAGATTCAAGGTAAGTCTTGACATGAAATAAGAAAAGTGATGTGTAGTTGTAGCAGCATCTCTAAAGGAGGAATGTGAAATGACTGATTAGCATAAAAAAGCAGGTCATATCCTCAGCCGTCCCAATGCTAAGCTTTAGGCTTCCTTCATGTGCGTCGGTTGAGCTTGCTCTACAGTTGGAAAAGCAATTTTATTGGAGAGCAAAAAAAAAGGGAGATGGAGAGATCAGCCTCCATTGAAAGTAGGACTGACTCTAATTCAGGCTTTAGAATGATCCAGAGCAGTTCATCTGCAACTATTCACCAGGTCTGTCCGCTCTGATGACCCAGTTGTTAAACATCCACCAAACCACTGACATACATTTCTAACCTCTCTGAAAATACAGTTTTAGTTTCAATGCATTTCTATTTATATTCATTGTATAATATATATTTATTTAGTTACTCTTAATTTAACTAATTCACTATGTTAATCTGCTGCTCTGATGTTCTTAGAGGACGACCATTTCATTAAAAAACTGCGATAATATATTTATATAAGTCCTTATAATAATTAAACCATTTTCCTTTGTATTCGGAATGTAAACCCTTTAAAAGGTCAGATTGTTCGCATAATGCATGTTTACATATGTATGAACAGTGTATATGTTCATATGTATTTTGGATACACATGTATGATACAATTATTATAGTGGCTCGGAATGAACTTGGGCATAAAACAGACAAAGCCACCCTTGTCAGCATTTATACCATGTGCATTAACGCAAACAAAATGAAAAATAAAAAAGCCGAACATTTTCCAGTGAGGCACAAGGTTTAATGTGGGCGGAATTACTTCTACTTTGCATTCAAATATTGTATGTAATCTATTAATCCATCATTAAACTGACTCCCCAGGACATACGTAGAACTCAGGTTCGGCGCTGATGGTACACTTAAGTGCTGAGTTCCCAGAATGCATTTCTAAAATCGAATACATTGTTGTAAGACCCATTTTCCATTACGACTCTGTAATGGATGAAAGAAAACTCTCACTCAGACATTAATAATAATGTATCAGCCATTAGGTCATCTTTCAGAGATGTTATTATGTTTTAAATTCTCGATAGTAGTTTCAGACATCGATTGTTGCTCTCTGGTTTCATACCCTGAAAAACACATGAAACTTCACCTGTTATGCACTGTGGGCATCTGTGCTCTGTTTCTGTGTCGTTCTCCTGTTCAGATGAGTGTTTTGTGCCCTGTAGCTTCTGTAGTGACCACTTCTCTGCACTGAATCCCCCTCTGGGCTGCAATGGGCTGGTTCACTGATGTGATCGTTAATTTTCTTTTCGGTGTCACCAATGTCCATACAACCAGTTACAAATGGTTTTGCAGTTCTGAGTTTCTGGCTAAAACTATCCATAAAACACAGTTCACAGTTTTCCCATTCTTTTCTTTCATCCTTCTCAATTCCTCCTCAGGTTCACCTATTCCTCCATGTCTTCTTTTGTATCCCTAATCTTAAAAAGATCATCATGAGTATTCTGCTCAATACCGAGATCACAATAAAATAAATACTTATACCTTTCCTCAATTAAATAAACTGGAGGACTGCTTTCTCTTCCATGTTTCTCTACCTTCCTGTTTATGTACAAATATGTATATCAAAAGAAGACAGATTCAACTGCTTCTCCTAGACTCAAAATATACATACAAATGTTCCAAACCTAAATCAAAAGAGCACGGCCCTCACTTTCAAATTGTGCACCATTCCTAGTAATCAACAGATATTTGCTTCAAAATAAATATAATCTTCTTTATCTGAATTCAGTGCATTTCTGTTCCGTACTGCAGACGAGCAGAGCACGACTTTTAAACTTCAATATCGCAGTCAATCATGCTTATTTATTTGAGGGTCATCATGATTAATGTTTGATTAATCCTCTTTCCCCCTCTGTTAATCAGTCAAAGTCAACTTTATTGTCAATCTTTCAGTTTGTGTGTACAGACAGAAAGATCGAAATATCGTATCCCGAATACAAAAACACATAAATATAAAAATATGTATATCCTATACACTGTATATACACAATCAAAAGACACATGTATACATACGCACACATTAAGACCTAAATAAAAGCACAACAATCAATATATACAAAATAACAGTCACTTCAATATCTTTGAGAATTGACATTAGTGCAAGACTGTCCATAGCATCGTTAAACAAAAGTGTCTGGTGCTGGATTTGAGTGTACTGTCTCTATCAGTTCCCTCTGAGGTGGCTTTGCCCTTGGTTTTGGGCGTCCCTGTCCTCTCTGTCAGTTGTTTCTTTGTTTACTGAGCGGACATGTTGGCTCTGATCCTCCGCCAGGCAGGAGCCATCTGCCGCCCCGCAGGAGGCGCTCCTCCAACCGCTAGCTGTACCTACGTGTTACTCTGTGTTAGTGCATGTGTATATTTATACATCCTAATTGTGTGTGTTTGTGTGTGTTCCCTCTCATCCCTTACCCAGCCTCAAGACCCCCCAGTCTCCATAGCAACCGGACCATCAGTAGTAATAGTAACAATAACTCCCACCTCACCTCTCCTCTGGAGGGCAAAGGTATGCTCCTCCTTCCCTTTACTCCTTCTTCCTCTTCCTCCTCTAAACTAAGTATTCTTGCCACCCTTCTTCACTTCTTTTTATCCCTTTTCCTTTCATGTGTTCACACAAATCCTACTTCAATGTTTCCTCCTTTGAAAATGTCCCTTTGACCGTATTTTAAACGTTAAGGAACTAGATGATCAAATCTGAATTCTGGCAATATTAAGTGCCCTTTCTTTCACAGAAATTGAATTTGTTTTGCGAAAATCCAAATGCGTAATGTCATGCATCTTTGAAACATGCACTGTTAATATTTAATGTAGGTTTTCCAGCTTTCTGAAATGTCATCACTCTCCTGAAGTCTCCCTCTTTTCTCTAATTGTCAAGTCATCAGTGATGGATGGCCAGGGGTTTACATGGGCTATCAGAGTTAGAACAATGTATTCAAATGTTTCCTGCACCACAAATGTATTTAATATTCCATGAAAGTGTTGCTCTACTTGTAAAAGGCAGCTTATTGATAAATGGACTGTCACAAATGAGCTATCAGAGAGCTACAACACATTTTAGTTATGTCGGCTCACAAAGAGATCAAAGCAGTATACAGTACACTTTACTGCTATCATAAGTACACTTTGTGGTCACTTCTGCAGTGTAGTAAAGGAGCGCTTCTTACTTGCTAGTGGTGAAAAATAAAGGTCAATATAGACCAAAGATTATTTCTAACCACATCCCCCCCCCCCCCTCCCCCACAGGCACGTTGAATGGCAGCCTGAGCCGGCCCCACAGTGAGAGCAGCGGGGAGTTCAGCCTGAGTCTGGACCAGGAGGTGTGGTCCAGCAGCGGCAGCAGCCCGGTGCAGCAGCCCTGCTCCTCCAGAACCTCCCACCAGAGCCCCCTGCAGCTGAGGAGGCCCCTCGACCCGGGACAGACCCCCGGCAGGAAGACGGGGTCCCCAGCCTGCGAGGTGCTGTCCCTGCAGCAGTTCTTGGACGAGGGCATCGATCCTGCAGAGGTGAGGGTCCGACTCGGATATAACTCATGTGTTATGTTGCTGGATATTTTGTGACGTGAAGTCTACAAAGCTTTTATGGAAATTAAAGGAAACCATTTATGTAGTGCTAGATCCCTTTTTATTTTTTATTAACATTTTTTAAATATATTAAAAAATGTTGTTGAAAATGTCAGTGTTTTCTAAAGCCCTGGATTACTTCATAACATGTGCTGTTTGTTCACATGTCAAAGATATTCAAGAAACTGTCATTGAGCAGTAAAGAAAACACATTTCCTGGAAAACCATCACAATCATCGAATTATGTTTTAATACTTTTTTGGGTGAAACATCTCTGAAACAGTTCTGAATTGAAACATAGCATGCTGATACATTTAGAAAAGATAAAAGACCCTAGTATGGAATATGTAATGCTCCTGTTCTTCATGCTGTTTGTTTGCTCTCTGCTGCAGTCTGGCAGTCAGGAGAACCTCACTGTGGACTCCCCCCGCCTCTCCACCTCTTCTGAGCATGTGCAGAAGGAGCTTCCTGTCACGAAGGCCCGGGGCATCCTCCGCTCCGCCAGCGGGAAAGCGGCGCCCGTCAGCTCCGACCGTCCTCCGAGATCCTCCGGTCAGCCGGGCCGCCCCACGCTGCGTAAGGCTGAGAGCACCCGGGTGAGGGGCTCCGTGCCCCTCCGCTCCTCCCTGTCGTCGCAGGGCAAAGCGACGTCCGTGTCGGGACTCCTGGACTCCGCCTCGTCCACCCTGCCCCGCGCCAGCAGCGTCATCTCCACCGCCGAGGGCTCCACGCGGCGCACCAGCCTCCACGACCTGCTCTCCAAGGACAGCCGGTCCCCCATCTCCGTGGATACGTCTCCCAACGGCGCCTCCACTAAGGCTGGGGTCCGCTCCCAGCCCACACCCAGTGAGTACCACCCCTCCAGCACCAACCTAAAGGGACCCCTTACCACCACCATGCCCAAGTCACTCAGCTTACCTTGCCATAGCTTGGAGGACCCCGACCTCTCCACCCTCGAGTCCTTCCTCGGCCCCTCCTTCACTGTAGAGTCCGTGTTCATGGACTCCATCTTTAGTGAGTCGGCGTGCAAAACCCACCCCTTCCTGTCTCTAAACCCCTCCCTAGTCAGCAACATCAGCGGGCCCCCTGTTACGAATAAAACACACTCTCCTCCTCCTCCTATCCCCTCCCAAAACGAGCCTCACAGCCAATCAAATGGCCAGATGAGATCCAGCCCAGCCAGTGTGACAGAAATTAACGAGGGCCTTGATCCCAGTGGTGAGAATAATTTGGAGCAGTCACTGAACGCAGAGGACAACCAGTCTCTGTGGTATGAGTACGGGTGTGTGTGAACGAGGTGGGGGTCCGGCTCGCTGATCTTTCCCCCCCAGACTTAATGAAAAGAGGGGGAGAATGAATAATGGATAAATTACAAATCCTCCTCTGCATGTATTTATTGGAGCACTATCTCTGTGTGGCGTTTTTGTTTTTGTTCTTTTTCTGTTTGGTGCTGATTGGTGAATCGCTGTTGTTTTTGTTTTCTGCCTTATTCTCCGGGGTGGGACTTTGATGAATGTTCTTTCATCTTACAGACATATTATTGTTTCCTCATCCAATCCGTTAACACTCTGCTATTATCTGCAGTCTGGGGTTAATGCATCAAGGCTCAGAGTTTCTGTTTTACCAAATCATCTTAATGTCCAATAAAACAAAGCATTGTGGGCCACATTTTTTAATGTGTCGGATAATACATTCGCTTCCACTTTCTGTTACTGATGCTGTTTGGGTTTCTGTCTTCTTCACTGCTTTTTAACTCGGTTGCATCATTCACTAAATTGCACGGCTTTGTTTTGTCCGACGCTCATTTTGATTGCTGTGATCAAAATGGTTATCATGTGTACCTTTTTTTTTGTTTCTATATTGACGGTGTGTACGGTTTGTTTTGTTTTTTTGACACCTTTTCTGTATTTTCTTTTGTTTGATATTAACCTGATCTCTGTGGGTTTTGATCTGATGGTCATTCATCTTGGGCTGGTGACAAAATGATGAAGCTTCATTCCCAAAATGATCTGAGGGAAGGTGTAGCTGGTGACGAGAAAGCTGAGAGTGAAAGCAGTGGAGGACCGGGGGGGGGGGGGATTATATTTGACTTGTATTCAGCTCATTAAAGAGTTATAGTCACAGGAAGTAGTAGAGGGAATAGTTGAGAGAAGAGAAAAGTAGAGTTGAGTTTTCAATGGTCAGATTGTTTTGTGAATGAAGCATACATCATTTCTTTTGGCATCTGAAATGTTGTATTGACTCACCCTGACGCACCACACATATGGATAATATTTGATCATGTATTTTAGACGAGATCTTGTACAGATTGTAGTAACCCTTAAATTATAATCAAAGACGAGCACTGCTTTCTGTGCCAAAAAGAGTAGAACTGTTCACCTCTAGATCCTTATTTATTTCTGCTTCTGTGCTCTGTTTTGAAGTTGCTTTGATGTATTTATATATTAATCTGAATTATATTCCGGTATGAAGTAAATTAAGATTTCTCGTCACTGTCTTCAGATGTAACATAAACGTTGCCTTTGTCCTACAGATGTGGAGGGCAGAAAGTCTAAAAGCAGGAGCGGGGAGCCGCAGCAAAGCTAAACTGCTACCATGCTGTGAGCGCGTGGTGAGTGAGTGCTGCTCGAGCGGGAGAAATGGGGTGGGGGGTTCAGTCTTGTCTCCATGGGAACCTAAAACATGGTGTAACAGATGTCGTCCATCCTGCCGTGCACTTGCTTCCCCTGCTAAGCCCAAACCTCATCCCCCTCCTCCTCCTCTTCCTCACTGTCCTGTCCACTGTCCCTGTGGTGCCAAACGCCGCCTTATGGGACCCTGATGGGGGTCTGCATGGCATATGGGCCGTTTACCCATGTCGCTGAACGCTTTGCCTGTTTGTGTCCCCAAGTCCCCCAACGAGAGGAGCCCCCCCCCCCCACCACCACCACCTCACGTATCCCTCCTCCGTGATGCTTCTGATGTGTTGTTGGTGAAGGTGACTGCTGAGTGTTTCCTGCTGGTGAACAAAGAAAATAGTCCCTTTGCTGTTGTCAGGCTGCTTGTTGTTGCTGCATGGCTTCGGTGTCGCGCTGAAATCCTTCCCCCTTCTTGTTTCCTCCACAGTGCATGTAGACCCAGGCTGGCTGCTTCCTTCTCTTGTATATCACTGCAGACTGTTACAATTTCTGACTTTAATCTTTTTCTCTCCTTTTTTACTTTGTGTTTTCTTTCTTTCAACGCTGCCTCTTTACTTCGTAATCTCTCTCCTTTGCCTTTCTACTCTTTCTACTCTTTGCTTGCCTGGGACTCAGAGAGAAAGGTGGCCTTGGAGCTGTGAGTCTGAAGCCTTGTAGAGTTAATCTGCTGAGACCGTCTACAGTGAGAAAAGATTGTATATCCCCGTTTCCCTCTTTTTTGTGTTTTATTTTAACCCAGGACATTTGATTAGAGAAAAGTGGCTTCCTTCTCTGTTTGGGTTTTTCTTCCTTGAATCAAGGAAACAGAAAAAATACTAGAAAATGTTGCTGTGACAGTTTTGATCTTCTGTAAAGACTAAAGCTGTGGCAGATTGCACTGCCATGTGTCCTTCAGTGTGACGGATTGCTAGATGTGCACTACGGACTGAGACTAAGTGCCAATGTTCACACAACAGCCAAAAGGGCAATCTTAAACCAGACTGATGTGACTCCATTTTGGATTTTCTGTGCAACTTTTAAGTCAGTAGGACCTTCTCCTGCCCAACGCCATGATCACAAAAAGTGTTTTGTAAATATGCAGCATGGACAAGAAAGGATAACATTCATTCAGGCTTGTAAAGAACATTTTAAAAAGCATGTCAGCACCAACCTGCTAAAAATGCTGAAAATCACAATCTGCATGGAGCAAACAATCAGCCAATCTTTGTCCAATCAAAGAAGAGGACAACGTCAGGGGAGGTTATTTGAAAGGATGCCAAATGGACTTGGACAGGAAGCCATAGCAGCTGTGTGATGGCGTCTGTTGCCTGCCAATCATGAGTGAAGGTCATGTGATCTGAGAGAAAAAGAGACTCATCATGGGAGTGTGTCAGGTGACCTATAAACAGCTGGAGGCCCTGAAACACACCCTACACACTGTTCATCTTAGCTTATATCAGATATCGTCATGTCGGTAAATCACACTACATCATGTCATGTATCGCTACCCATCCTGCTTTGAAAAGGAAACCGTAAAAGCACACTTCCTGCTAACTCCATACCTCCACAGTACGGTGTTTGTACTTCCTGAGAAGGCCCTCCGTACGGTGACCTTTGACCCAGAACGTGCAGACTTCTGTAGCTGTGTTGAACATGTTGAACATGATGGTGATGAAACCCAGTGTTTTCCTCCTTTTCCACTTTTTACATAAATCCATTTGATGTAATTAAAAATCATCAAGCCTAAAGTGTGCTCTTTTTTTGTATGAATGTCTTAATGCTAAACCCACAACATACAGACCCAAATATCATTTTATTTTCAGGAACCCTGGCAGAAGTTTCTCCTGTTTTAAGGGGGTAACATTCACACCCTTAAAGGAGTGAAAATGGTGGATGAAAGCAGCACAATCTTCTTATATCTTTTCACTGTTGCACTAAATGGAGGACTTTGTAGTTCCCTTTGGGGAAATGTAGAATTAACTTGTAATTGTTTGTTTATACTACAGGTAGTAATACAATCCTGCATTGATTTGGTAGCACTAGGTCACATGACATGGAAGCTATTGCAAAGAATGTAAACAATATTCATTTAAAAATAGAAGCGTTTCTAATTTATCCAGTGTATCGATATAATCCTGCATTGGTTGAGTCATTTGGTCACATGACATGGAAGCTATTGAACACTGCCAACCGTTTTTAATACACATGCAGTATGTTAGTGCAGCTGGGTGTTTTACAACAGGATTAAAGTCTGTAGGTTGATTTGCTTGGTGTTTGGCTCCATCTATAGGTGACTGTCAGTACTGCAGCTACAGCCGATATCAGACAGTAGTTATTGGTCTGTTTGAAAGGAAACCTCGGCGACTAAGTTTGAAGGACGATCTTTAAACATTCAAATGTTTTTTTCTTGTTTAAATATTAACAATATTTAAGCAAATACTGTTGATGAATGACATAAGTGTTTGCAAAGTCATCAACATGTCAACGAATGCATTAATTGGTATTCCAGTGTTGAATACACTCATATTGAAAACGTAACATTAAATAGCGTTTTTTTCCCTTACTATTAAAATACAAATGTATACATACAGTAAATGCTAAATATCAAAATATACAGTACTATACATAAACAGTAATTTATCAACCACCATTGAATGTGTATTACTGCATCCATAACAATAAGCTGCGACGAGAGAGAAACCAACACCAATATTGAAATGTTATTTTTATTAAATACTCTTCAATGTTTCGATTAATAACAAACCTATGAAGAACAACCATTCAAACAAATACGTGATATTTTAAATGTATGTTTATTAACCGTATGGTCATGCAAAAAAAATCCAGCATCCATTGAAACTCAAAGTATAGACACATGTGTAGCCCCTTCAGTTTAAGGTTACAATGCATTTTACTCACGTAGTACAAGCTAAGGCTTTCGCTAACAATTTTAATGTGACATATCACTTTGTTTTGATATCTCAGACGGAACCATTTCATAACCTCGAGGATGCAAGTAACATAGATTTCCATTTCTTTATTGAGTAAACAGTGAAAAATTACCAGAAAGTACACATGCATATTTCTTCCATTTGTAGAACTGCATATATAGTGTTGATGTTTAACATTGTGGTTTTAATAATCCCGTTTCAACATTTTCCTCAGGTACTGTTTGAATCTAACATATATTGCGTATTTGCCAAAGTATTTTAACTAAGGAGTTTATCAAAGTCTTTACTCTGTGTGAAGGTAAGTCTATATTTGGTCACATTTTCTATTTACATCAGCAAGCTTTAAAAGTCAATACCCTGTCATGGTGAAATGTTACAATGGATCTTCAGCTGAAGCAGGGAGGCCACTCTGTAGTTCTCTACGGAAACATAGGGAGTCATGTAACTTTATGATATTTTGTGATATTTTTAAGAGAAATGTTTGGTTTTTATCTGCGAGTTATACATTGATCACTCTCAGATCGATAGCCAATGATTCGCTCCGTATCCATCATCTTAAGCGTACATTTAAACTAAATCCAGCTGTCCAAATACTTCGGCAAACTTGACTATGAATCTATTTGTTCCCTAATATCAGTTTCGCCTCTGTAAGATAACCCGTAAAGTTTAACTGCATCTTAATTTTCCAATCAAACATCTACAATGAAAGAAAAGCATTTTGTCAGATTTGGTGGCATCAACACACACCTGGGCCACAACAGATCTAACAGATTTACAAAGCATCCTTGTTATGACGCAGAAATATGTGTGTGTGTTTGTGGGGGACACAGTGGTCATGGCATGTCAGATATGTCACATCACTCAGAAGCACAGGCGGTTGATACAGGAGGACAGGCCTCACTATGATTCATCTTTTGAAATATGCTCATCTGTCAGTGTTTACCACGGTGTGTGATTGAAGCGTGATCGTGAGTTACTACAGAGCAGCGTAGAAAGACACACTCACAAGTTTGTACGACACAGTGAAAAAACAGTGTTCAAAGACTGACATGGAGATATGTTTTCTCCTCTTTGGAGGGAGACACTTATCTCATGTGCTTGTATGATGTTGTGAGTTCCTCTGTTATTAAGTATGTTTATCTCGAGAGTTCAGCATGTGAGGAGCAACGGGCAGTAAAAAAAGTTTGTGGCAGTCTCAGCTGCCTTTATTCCAAATCCCCTCATTTTTTATATATCTGGCTAAAATTAAAATATCAACACCAACACACTAACAACTACGACATTTTACAACAAAAACTGTGACAAAAGGGACCAAATCCATTGATTGCCATCAGCGAAGGTCCCAGAGCCCCGTCCCATCATCATGCCTTTTTTTTTGTCCAATCCCTCGGCTGCATTCCCTTTTGAACATGCTTTTTAAAATATTTCCAGGACTTCACACAGAAGTACAGCAAGCCAAGACGGACGACACACACATTTTTCAAGAACACGGTCAGAACAAGAGAGGGTGACATCATCACACGACGAGGTGCTACTCGGACAGTAATGGGGACGTGGAGTAAGTATAAGAGGCAGGAATGATAGAAGTAGAGAGGCGGAGAGACGGGAAGGATTCAGGCAAGCGGAACCTGAAGTTGCAGGAAGGATCAGTCCCTCAAAGAGCGAACACAACAGCATCGAGTCATAAGTGTCTGTGCAAAAACAGTACAGGCTGTTAGATCAAATAGTTCATGCTTCACATCAAAAATACACAAAATAACGATAGAGAGAGAGTGCCTCTGTGCTTTCAGATTAGGTAGTTCAGAGATGTGAGGAGCTTTAGACCTTCTGCAACTTCAGGATGAGCTGGCCTCGTGTGTCTAAAGCTCGAGAGGCTCAACCCTAACGGCTGGACCCTCAGAGTGTGTGTGCGTGCGCGTGCATGCACTGGAGTGAGTACTTGTGTGTGTATATACCGTACACCCTCGGGACCTCAAAGTAGAGAAAAAAACCCACTCATGCTTAACTCCCCTCCCTTCACCCTAAACGTACAATATATCCCCTTTTTTCCTAATATAAATATTTGTTTATACACACACTTCTATTAAATAAAACCCCCCTTTTGATTAAAAATGATCCTTTTTCAACACTTTAAAATAAAAAAGGTAAAAACAGCTTCATAACATGATACAAAAACACAAAATCAAAACAAAGGTCCATTCAGTAACGAATCTCAACGCCTCACAACATGGTGTACAGACGCTCAAACCTGACACTTAAATGGATGATAAATTCGGATATTAAGTAGATATAAGTTGCTCCCATAAATCCAACCCTCATAAACCTGTCAAACAAACTTCTATTCAAGTAGACGTTCTGCTGCTCTCAGACAAAATATAAATCACATTTCCAGATATTACTCTCATCGCCCCAGTTCTGTTCCATATGTGGTGAGTGTACTTGTTTTTCGGTTAGATATATATATTTGTAATACTTTTCCAGACAGCAGACATAACAGATACAGGGAAATAAAGGCCATGGGAGACGGGACAGCTTCACCCCATGTGTCCCCCGAGCATGCACCACCTGCAGGAGCGTCAGCCGGGCCCCCCCCCCCCCCTAGCGAGGATTGACTGGATCGTGTTGGGCGGTCATTTAGTCAAGCTTTTGAAATATGTTTTATTTTTTTTACTTTTTAATATATCACCCTTTTTCCCCACTTTTGTGATTTCACACCTCTCCAAGCTGCCTCTCTTCCCCGCCAGGATCCAGGCACAAATCCGACCGCGGAGAATAAAACGCTCCAAACAGCTTTAGAGTTTCAGGCAAAGCTAGAGAGAGAGAGGAAAGGAAACGTCAGTGGGAAAGTTATTTAAAACTATAACTAAAATAATGGTTTTAGAGATATATGTAGCTGAAAATGTTGCATTCAATTCAATGGAGAACACAGGAATTGTGTTTGTGTTATTTAAAACTTTAAAAAAATTAATAATTACAGCGGTGTGAAGGCACCATATTATAGAAGGCCATATGTGCAGAGTAGCCTGCCATACATAATTAATAATAAAATAAAATGTGCTGAAAAATATGTCATGTCGTAGAAAGTTGGATAAAGCATGTTATAAATAAGAAACCCTAATATGTCATAACATTCGTTTAAATAATAGTATACATTGCAATTGCAAAAATTCAATATATAAAGTAATAAAAAGTCAAAAAACACAGGAGCATCAAAATGATCATAACGTATGGCGTAGAAAAAAAGTACATAATAAAAAATAAATAAGAAAATATTCCTAGCATGGAATAAAAAGTCTTTATAAAGTCATAGTACTGAGAACTCCTGGTCTCCCACACTCCTTGCACACAGTGTGAAACTGTTGATCACATGATAGATAGTGATAATAATGAGGTTTGATGTACCTGGGCCTGGTGTCGGCTCACTGCAGCGGGGCAGCCGGCGCTCCGGAGCAGTGGAAGTGCACATTGAGCCACTTGGCGTCGCGGCGGTGCCAGACCCGCGTCTCCTCCGACTGGCAGGAGCGCGGCCGGCCCTGAGCGTCCATGAACTGCGTGAGGCGGATGTAGGCGATGCAGGCGGCCTCCTCCCCGATCAGGTGCACGTGGGGGTTCAGGATGGTGGTGTGCACGGGCTTGCTGTTTTTACTCAGCACTGTGGGGGTGGGAATGGGAAGTTCAGCTGTTTGTAAACGGAGGTCAGGTGTCGATGGGTAGCTAAGTATCCACATTTGAGATCATTTAGCATATTATAGATGCCATAGGTGACACATGTTGGCAGCTTCAAACAAGTAAGTGATATTTAAATGCATTTGAATAAAAGTACATTCATCATGTCTCGTTTATCATTTTACACACGTTTCCCCCAAAATACAGCATAACGTTTGGATAGGCTTTAGTCTCAAATGAACCTTAAAGTTATAGAAAGATAATTGACTCTGGTTAGGTCTGAAGGATACACCATGCTTTCAAGTCAGAATAACTCAACTAAGAGCTTTCAATAAAAGATCTGTGTAGGAAAACTCCACACGGTGCCTTTCTCTTATTAATCTGTAATGTTCCCAGATATTTTAGAAATAAAATAAATGCAACACTGAGTAACTTACGGTTATCAAAGTAGAACTTGTGAAAGTCCATGCCCTCCACCAGGTTTCCAAGAGCCTCCGGTTCAAAGGAAGTCAGTCCAGGGTCACAGATTCTCCTGTGAGAGGAAAACATAAATAACCTTTATACAAAACGTGTTTTCTGAAATGAAGAATGTAGAGGTCAAAATGCTCTCAACAAAGCACTGACAACATGATGACTTGTATTGCTTAATTGCATTTGCAAACTTACGTGTAAGCCTCAAAATCTCCATTGTTGATGGCTTCAATCAGCTGCTCCGTCATCTTTATTATCTCCTGTTTACGAGCTGAGGACAGAGAGAGAGGAGGAGGGGCACACAAGAGGAGGTTTAAGTCTGACAGAAGTCACTTTGAAGGTTGAACACTAACGCTGCTCCTACAGTCTCTCTCTCTCTGAACTGACTGACATTTGAAATGAGTTCAGCACAGAGGGACAGCCCTCTGGAAATAATGACAATGACATTTTGAAATCACCCTGTACAAAAACACACCACACGCTCCATGTTGCACACAGCATCAAGAGTATCTGATGCCGTGAATACATTTCATAAAACTATTATTGGCGTAACATACAACAGTCAATATTCAGCCTTTGCGTCCCATATTTATATTTTTTTTAATTTGGGGTTGGTTATTGATTTACAGAGTAATACACGCCTAGAACAGTGTTTATTTTATACTTAACATGCAGCTGCTGAGCCAGTAAAGCCAGCTAGCAGATCCTCCACACCTGCATGTAACTCTGTGTTCATAAGTCCTCAAACCTTCTGCCATCAGGTGAAAGTTAAACTGACTCTATGAACACTGCTTCAGGAGCCTTTTGCACAAGCACTGCACAACATGCCTGCACTTACTGTGCTGCAGGGTGCGGCTGCTGCCTGCAGGGGGCGGCAGAGCGGACTCTGGGGCAGGACAGGAGCTGTTAGCAGCCTCCTGCGGGGGGCACGCTGCAGGCAGGCATCCCAGTGAAATAAAGTCATATTTAGCAGAGCTGAGACGCCATGAACATAACTATTTACATGGAATTTAACATTGTTTATGTGTAGAGAAGTAAAAGTGGGAAATTGAAGTCATGGCACTCAAAAGGCCCAATTCCAAACAGACCCATACACCCTTGCACTCAATGAGGCTCCTTATTTAAGGTGGAGGATTTGAATTACAGTGGCAAGCATTTGGTCGATTTATGCTCTCCAGTAGAAACAGGAACTGTTCATAACCATGTTTTCTAATCAGTATCTCTTAAGTAAAACTTAAAAACATCTTTAGTGGCATTTTTTCCTCTCACTAAGGTTTATCAGCCTCTATGGCTAAATCTGGCACGTTTACATGATGGACTCAAGTGCTGTTGTTGATTAATGTGCATTGTCCCTGTAAAAATACAGAACGTTACAATCAGCTGCACATGTCCACGGACTAGACAAGGGTATATGGTCTTAGGCAAAATAACTAATCTGTATAAAAATCTGTATGAAATGTCAATTTTGTCACGTAGTTCACTTGTTAATGTTTGCGTGGAACTACTTTTACACAGCTTGTTCCATGAGGGACACAAACACCGTTGCACCTGCTCAGGCGATGCAGACTCACTGCTGGAGGGTTTGATAACCCACTCTTCACTAAGTGGTTTAGAAAGGCACTTGATATGGCAGACCCTCCTTGAAAAAGCGCCAAAAAGGTGTAAGTGGGTATGGAGCGGGTGCAGGGGCTAAATGGAATTGGGCCTCAGTGTGGAGGAGGAACAGTCGGTGCAGTCAGGCCCGGGGCCAGAAGATGGCAGCACAGGAAGGGAGAAGAGAGAAGGAGCCTTTAAATGACCCACTGTCTGGTTTTGCTTGCAGTATAGATGTGTTTAGAGATCAGAGCTGAGAGGGAAGCTGCTGCTGACTTACAGCTGGGTGCTGCGGGGTACTGCAGTAACTGGCTCTGGTCCTCAAGAGTGCTGCACTGGCTTAACGTCACACTGCTTGAAGTAGAGGACTCGCAGGCAGACACTGCCCCATCACAAGACAAATACATCAACACAAACAGATGCACACTGACAGGGAGCATACTCACTACAGAAGTACATGTAAGCTGCAACTCTTTAGTTAATTAATACATCAAAATGGTACAACTTTTGATAATAGCAGCATTTAAAACATGAAAATTGCTGCTTTTCTGTCATTTATGACAAAGTCATCGCCTTAGGCTGGGGGAAATGATACCAAGCTTTGTATTCTGCAAATGTGAAAAGACAAAATGGAATAATTGTTAATCACAGCCCTAATGACAAATCCCCACAGCGTGATGAGACATCTTAAAATGGCAGGTTTTGTCTAAGAAAGATTCAGAAGTATTCCATTTAAAATCAACATAAAAACCAACAAAGCAGTGTGCTCACTTTTGAGATCTGAGATTTCATTTTTGCTTCAAAAAATCAAAATGTCTGCATCCACCAACATCCTTGATTTCACATGATAGTATATTATTGTAAATCCCAACACACTAAAGAAGCAGCTGCACACCCACAGGTCGATGGTTCAGACTCCAGAAAGTAGGAAACAAAGAAACTTGAAAAGCAAAACACATGTAGCGAAACCTCCAAGATCCCCTAACCTCTGAGGAGCAGAATGCCCGAGCATCAAGGCCACACATAGATCAGCTGCCTGTTGCACCAGCTCTCATCAAACACACATTTAGTTTAAGTAGTGAGGGAGTGAAAACAGGTTTCAACATAACAAAGGGTATGACAGTTTACGAGTTACAGAATGTGACTCAACAATTGATGTGGTTAATGTTAGTTTATCAGCACATGATGTAACTACTGCTCTATTGTGTAACTAATAGGCTGTTACCCCACTTTTACTTTTAAATCTTGTCAAAGCAGTTACATCACTAGTTTGTTCATTTCAAGTCAAATAAAGCCAGATTTTAAAAAGGGAAGTATTCAATCCATCATTTTGAATATATGTGTGTAAAACATTGATTTATTGAATGATACATTCAGTTAAAATGCAGACAATGTTTGGTTTACTTACTTACATTTGAGCTAACGTAGAAATCGTGCAAGGGATCTATGTGAGGAGTTTAATGTGAAACTGGCTAGTAACTATGTAGCAGTTTGTGTTCATATGCGCTCGGCTGGTGCAACAGGCTGCAGGAAATGTGTGAGCCGCAATCGAAGATTTTGTGACATTATGTGCTTCATTTAACAGACCTTTCCACGACCCTGTGACTTCACACATGGAGGAGCTGATGCATCCTTACACAGTTTGTATTTCAGAGAACACAAGAGCAATCGAATCATTTCCCAGATGATTTAATCAAAACCAAATTACATAAATAAGTGTAATCAACCTTGGAGAGACACACAGCACAACTGCCTCCCGATTACATGTCAGAGATGATCCACTATAAGATCAAGTGCCTGTTAATCTACATTAAGCAACTTAAATAAATGGATTAACTACTTTTCCAGAGGCAGATCTGTCCTACTTCACCTGATAACCTGAAAGGGTCATTCCCCGAGCAGAGAGCGCTCAACTGAAGGTTGTGGCGTGTGATGCTGGCACACACTCGAGCACACCGACAGGGAGGCAAGAGGTTTAGCTTTTGAGCAATTGCACAAGATGTGAATGCAGATTAGGGCTGCTCGATTATGGCAAAAATCATAATCTCGATTATTTGGGTCAATAATTGTAATTGCGATTATTCATTGACTTTGAAAACATCCATTTATTGGAGAAAACATTTTCAAAAAATTGAACAGTATGTTTTTAATAGTGGATTACCCTGAACTTTAAGTATAATTCAACTGAAAAACCACAAAAAAAAAGGAATAATAAAAAAATAAGTGTTTTATTTCAATTACGTTGTTTTCGTAATCGTTGCAAGCCATAATCGCGATTAAAATACGATTAATTGAGCAGCCCTAATGCAGAGAACAGCACAAGTATATTCTTGAAGATAGCATCACTGTTATTAGTCCAAGGTGTTTATATCCAACCCTTCACCTCACATTTGTCTTTCCTGTAAAGCATCTGTCTGTTTTCATGCACTAAACTATCTGGATCTCTTAGCCTCTACCGCCCTGACTGAAGCAGAGTGGACAGTAACCTGAAACCTCAACTCAAATGTATGTTTATGTTTGCTTATTAAGATCTGCAGTTTGAAAGACAACATACAAAGTGATCAAAAAGAGGCATGCAGAGAAGGTGAAAGTTGGACAAGTACCTTTCCTACCTTTCATCTCCTCCTCTTCTGTGTTGTTGCAGCTCTCTGTGGAGCCCTGTCAGACAGAGAGGGTGGGAAAGAGAGAGAAACAGCAAAACAAAACATTTTATTATGTGTAAGTGAGACAGGGTTGAGGAAGCTTTGGCCAAACGGACACACAGAAAACGGACAGATGGACGACTCCCTCCCAGGAGCACAAACCAGCCAGCACAGCAGCGAGGGCAGCCGCACACACACAAGAGCAGCAGAGTGTGTGAGCAATTTGAAGTCGTGTGGGTAATTGTATCAGGAAGGAGTGTGCAAGTGCATGTCAGTGTGTGACTGGAAACAAAGTTGTGTATTTGTTCCTTCATTTGCAAGCTTGCACACCAACATTACAGCGTAAGCAGCGTGGTGGTTGGTTCATTTAGTAAAAAGTCTGACATTGAAGACAAAGTTGTCACAGTGTAGTATTGATCTGAAGGGTAACACCACCGTATTCATACTTACTGTATATGTTCTTATGATATTCTTTTAAATTAATAAACAATTTAAAATAGAATTTAAAAATGATGTGTCTCTTTTAAATTCACTTATCCCAATTCCTTATTCTTAAATGGAAGAGCAACATTTTTTTTATTTATTAATACAAATTAAAAAAACTATGCAACTCTGTTATTTGCAGTGGCTCAATAATTGGGCACCTTAACATTGATTTAATTGTGTTTCCAGATTTGAAATGTTCACAGGATTCAACTCTATTTTAGTGAATAGGAAGATAAAGAATAATAAGTTGCACAATGAAGCACAGAGAGTCGTTTGTTTTGACAGCGTTGCATGGTTTAGTGTGTTTAGAGAAAATCCTCCAGCAGTCCCCTGCAGGTGTGAGCAGCGGGGGGGCTGGAGGTGGGAGAGGAGGGGCTTACCTTGGTGCCGTCAGCTGGGTTGTGTACAACAGTTGTCTGGGCTTCCTGGGGGGAGGTAGGAGACACTTTAACATGCAGGGAGGGAATGGGGGGGGGGGGGGGGGGGAGATGCCGGGGAATACCAACACATACAATGACGACAAATATACAAAACAGACGCATGTGCGCACACCAAAACAAAGCACAGGAGCTACAGTGCAGAGGCTGTGGAGCATTTATGGTGATTAAGGGTGAGTGTAGATGTCAAGGTGCTCAGTGTCAGTCTGTCCCCAGCAGAGTGGCCTTAAAGGAGGTTTGTTCTCCCACAATGCATGCCATGAACACAAGCTCCTGTATATTCACCAGACAGAGCCATGGCTGAGGAGGAGGGTTTCTGAGTGTGCATGTAACTGTGAGTGCAGATGGTAAGACACTATAATGTCACCTTAGGTTCTTAACTGTTTTGAAATGCAGTTTACTTCGATATCCAAGAGGAAGTTATATCTAGGAAGCTCGCATATTTAACCCACTTTGAGATAAAGTATATGAAAACCCTGGTGCATAAATTAACTGAGGTAGCAAGCACTCCAAAAATAATAATACTTTTAAAAGATGCTACATAATAAACGTAAACAGCTAGTAAATACACACAAAACTATATCCTTTTGCGTTATATAATATTATACTACATCACATCTTAAATCTAGATAACTGGCATTTGCAATCCTGGTTAGTCTGAATCCACAAACCCTTAAGTGTTGACAATGTGACTCTTTACCTATCACAACCTTCCAGATGAATAGCATAAACTGCTTTACCGTACGTGTGTGACACAAGATTTTCAGCTGCATAGCTACATAACAACACTGTAGCTATGTTCGTATGACTAAATAAAGAACCTTGTGACTGTGTGTTTGTGTTACCACTCCTCTTCCTCAACCGTGACTGACACAGAAACATTCTGCACAAAGACAATTCAAGCTCTCCCAGTTATCCATCGTTTAAAAATGAAAAAAGTTAGGTATTCTGGATTAGTCAGTCGATATAAACATCCAGAAACAAAAACAAAAAATCAACCCTTCAATAACATATGGGAATCTACACTAGATTTGTTGACTAACTGACTGTGTTCTCAATTTGGCCAGTTTGGCATCTAACTTACTAGCATTTACTGGTGAGCAGAATTCAGCAAAGCCATAATATAGAAAATAATGGGTACATTTATCCTTTTCTGCATGGGTTTGTTCCTCTCATCTAACTGTCCATATGTTTAATTTAAGTGTAAATAGGGTCATTTCCTACCATGAACAACGGCCATCTTACAATTTTACAGATGTAGCAGTTAATTCCAGACTGAGTTTTATATTATTAGACTAAATCTTTCTACCTTCAAAAGAAAATATTTCTTTAGTTATTTATTCACATACTCTCAGCTGTGTACACCATTCTGTCACACCTCTGGACGGACCCACAGTCATTTCAAGTTTGTTATATAAATGACGTAATTCCATCACATGTATAAACACAGGGGCTTCTTCCTCATAAAATAACAACCCCTCAGTGACTCCAGCTCCTGCTTTACCCAGAAGTCCTCCTTGTTTACAATTCACATATCAAAAAGCAATTTGTAAAAGATCAATTTGTAATGGTGGATAAAGGTTCAACCTTTAGTGAGCTGTGCTTTCCAAGAAATTGCCATAAACCTGTTGTTCCTGAAAGGCAAACAATCAACCTGATGTCACCAGGAAGTGGCTGAACAGAGCCAGCTTTAAGTGCCTGCTGTTGCACTGCAAAATGAAAGTCATTTGTCTACCTGTCAGCGCAGCTCACAGAGTAAATGTATACACAGGAGGTCTGGGTAAAACACAAGCCAGGAGGGACACAAGCAGTTGTTCCATTTTAAAGTCATCAAATCCACCATCACAGTTTGTGTTTACGACAGAAGCAAAGAGGCAGGAGATGAAGGACGAGAACATAATTCACTTAACATGGAGTGTGACACGAGAAGATGAAGAGACAGAACTTAACATTGAAAAAGGTGAAAACAATGACATGATGCGGTTAAAAAAGAAAGCAACGTGAGAGAAACCAAATAGAGATGAGGTACCATTGGTGCTGTAGATGACATGCTGCTGTCTTTGGTGCTGCTGCTGCTCACTACACTGTTTTTACTGTTGGTCCCCTGCGACTGGGGCAGAGAAACACAACACAGAATGATGCTTCCACCGGGCTCAGATTGTAAACCAGCCTCTGGGAATCTCAGGTGGAAAGCAGGAATTGAGCGATTACACGGCCAGTAAACACATCCAACGAATTGTACGTGTGTAGAGTTTAAAACGTCACAATCAGGGAGCAATGATAAACAGATTTATCTGAATATCTTTATCTATCACCTGCACCCTGCTGCCTTATGCACTTAAAAATGCAGTTTTAGCTTCAAAATTATCTTTTGATTATCAGGAGCAAAGTGTCCGCTCAAACAATAATGTGAGCGTACTCACTTTCTAACTTGTTTAACTGAAATGAGTATTTTGTTAAATATGTGTATCGCTAGGAGTGAAGGGCTCTCCTAAAAATACAGAACAGTTAGTCAGCACATGCATTTTAAGGACAATGAACGTAATATAAGATTGTTAAGTATATTCCCAGCACTTTTACAAATAAGTATATCAACATATGCTGGGATAAAAATACAAATCACAGGTTTGTATCTGAAACAAGCACCAGAAATCTGTCAACTATTTCTGGCAGAAGCACAGCCAAAAGAAAACATAACCGACTCTAATAAGTTAGAATAATGGTTGGCAGTCCAGGTCTTTGCATGCAGTGAAAGGCCTTGATGACAAGCTTTTCTCCAATGGTAGAGAAAAGTGATTGAATGTGTAAGTCATGTACTGTATGGTTGCATTTTGTTTCATTATCTAATGCAAACTAAATGCAATGACCAGATTAAAGCCCTAATATTTGACACACCAAACTACTTTAGCTAAACAGCGACATATTAGTTCGCCCTAAACCTTTAGACAGGTCCCTGCAATCTGTTACAAAACAGTCTCAGTGAATGAACAACTCTCTCTGCAGCGCTTCACATTGATAAACCAGAATATATTAAGCATATATTTTAAATAAATGAAACAGTGTATTGTCGGGCTCACTGGCTGCAATCTGATAATTAACGGATATGTTGAAAGCCATGATTTTAAAGTTATCAAGATGTATTTAAAATGTGTAAAAGTAAATATCAATACATTATTTTTCACTACAATTGTTGTGGTGATTTTAACAATCTGTCATATCTATGCAATTACTGCAGGATCATGTACATTCATCTGTTTGCAACTTAAACATTATTTATCACTTGTGTATAGACTCTTATTGCACTATTTATATTCTATTTTATTTGTATTTACTTGCACTTTTCTATCTGTTTTATTGTGTTGCACTGTTGGAGGAGCCTGTGGCCTACGATTTTCATCGACATAACTCCACTGTAGCTACGTACGAATCACAATGAAAGCCTTGAATCTTGTTAGTAGACAACTTAGCCATGGTTAGTACGAGTCAGCCGGTCAAAGCAGTTGAATAATATCTGTAGCTCTGGAGAAGCTTTATCAAGTCTGTCAAATAACCCAAATGATGTAAAAGTGGAATTGGTCAGTACAGAAAATCTGTAAACATGTAGAGTTTGAAAAACAGGGAGAGAGTATCTAACAAAAAGATAGAAGCTGTTTCATAATGATCATTTTAAAGCTTCATCCATATGACCTTTTAATCACATTTATTGAAATGTGCAGACTTCATCTGTCACTTGGTATTCCTTGCACACTAAAACACTTAGTGTTATGCTGTTTTGAATAGAATAGGGGTTTATCTGTAGCACATTGTAGATTAAGGTCATAGAAGAAAAACAGTTTTAGCTGGACTCTCCCTTCAGACTCAGGTTTACTAACGGGAAAGAAGAACGAGAAGCTTTTTGAATGCAATGCGATCAGTATTCCCGCAAAAGGTTCAAAGGTATGGACGTGCTCTTAATGTAATGTTATGAGCAAAGTGCTGGGAGGATTTTAAGCAGTTTTTTTCTAACCCTGAGATGAGCTAATACCCCAGTGACACTTTAAATAAGTATTTGGTGTCCTCCCTGGCCAACTAGGAACATCTTCTAACAGAAAAACTAATGTGCTACACTAACACCGACAAGGCAAACTGCAGTTACTTCAAGAAGTGAAAATAAGCAGGATATATTTCACCAGATTTATCCGCAGTCTTAATGTAAAACTCAGCAATATGAAGACGCTACTCAGACTTGGTTGTGTGTTGTTCATTTTCGGCAGCCTTGAAATTATGAGTCAGATATAACCGGAAGTCACAATCTTATTCTCCTCTTAAATAACATCTATTGACTTCAATTGCTGATGAAACAATTGGCGCAAAGTGTTCAAGAAAGATAATGTAATTACCTTTTACAGAATACCAGATCTAAACTAACTGCAGACTATGTTTTAAAGAATGACATCTCCCTAAGAGTTTATGTTTTCCAGTAAAAGCTACCAGAATAGATTTCAGAGCAGGATCGTACAGTATTTAAATGTATGTTACTTTGGTTCCTCATTGGCTGCTTGTGATTATAAAACATTTACCATTTGAAAATGACTGAACTGTCACTAGTTAGACAATCTGCAAGTTACCAAGACAGCTGTTTTATTTACAGGTAGAGGGAGAGAAAAAAGTAACTCAAATGAAAAATAATGAGAGAACAATACATAATGCAATAATTGAAGAAGGGAAGATGATCGTATTTTGATGTTTAAGGTGATTAGAATGTCCCTCTGTTCTGTGATGGTTAGGGATGTTGGTAAGAAAGCCAACAAGTCTGATCTTAGACATCAGAAGTTACGGATACGGATACGGAAAGGGGATGAGTGTGTTTGGTGTTTGTCAGGAGTTGCAATGGTTTTGGTGGCGCTTATGCAGGAGGAGATGAAGGGATGTTGGATGGAAATCCAACACAAATTGGACAAGACGTAAACTGTCAAAGACAATGCCTCTAGCTTCTCTGCCCAAAAGGTAACAAGAAAAGAGAGGAGGGAGGAGAGGACCGGGGGGGGAGACTCGAAAAGACGAAGAGAGACAAAGAATGAAAAATGAACGGAAACGACAGAGCCGATCTCACCATCAAACAAACACTGGAGCTGGACTTCCTTTTCTGACAGACAGCAATGGAAAGGAGGAAAAGAATAAGGGTTCATAGGGAAACAAGGAAACTAATCAATCTAGTAAAAGAGTGAAGCTGCCAGATTTATCCCACAAAGAGAGAAAAGCAAAACAGCGGCACAAGCTTACACAGGAACAGAGATGAGACAGGGACACTAAGAGAAAGAATCAGCTGCAAAAACAATTGAAGGAGTGCATTTTGAAAGGACAACTAAAGGGTTTAAATCATTGTTTGTGCAGTTTATTTGTATATTGTTTCAGGGTTTCAGTTATTGTTTAAATTCCTGTATGTAATGGGAATCTTATTTGTTGATCATGGCGCTTCACTGCATGCATTGACGCTGACTGTCGATCAAAACAAAGTGAGACAAGACGCTCACTCAGATCGCTGTGAATCAGAGAAAAGACCTGGAAGTAAAAATCAAAACATTTTACAAGTGTCTTGTCTTTGTTATGTCCTTTACTTTGGCTTTAATCTCACTTATGAAGCACCAGAGCACAGAGGTTATCCAACAGTTGGTTTCATTAGTTCATAATATAGACAATACATGCTATTAGAGAGAAGTTAGGATGACAGACCAAAAGGGAGACGGCAGAAGAGAGGAAGAGAAAGACAGAAGTAGAAAATCAAACAAAACCCTCATGGGTCAGAGGACTCACCTTCACACCGTCCGTCTTTTTGTTTAGTAAGGATTTGCACGCTGAAAAAGAGAGACACGATTGTAAGAATTTGGAAAATATTAAAGTTAACTTGGAGAAGGTTTCATTATTTAAAGTAAGATAACTCGTATTTTCTTTGACACCCTAGCTATCAGACCTCACTTTATTTCAGGTAAAGTCCTACTCCATATTGTCAACATTTCTCAGAGCAGATAAGGGCTCCCACCTAAGGGTTTTCCACAGAAATATGAATTCAATTAATTAAATGATTAATTAGAGTAGTTCAAGTCCATGCGAAGCTTTTAACAACCAGATGTTTGCATTTCCTTGCTGAAATAGGTGAGTATCACCAAGGAAAATGTATTTTGACTCCAGTGTGATACAGCTAATACCTTCAACTAAACCAAAGATGTGTCAAAAGTTGCAGGTTGACAAACAGGACACACAAAAAGTGGTATATCTCACTCTTGACAGCACAATGTAATGTCATCTAAATAGTTCATGTGAAATTAAACTTTATATTGGGCTACAATTGATCACATAACATAACACTATGTGCTTCTGCTTCTAAACCTGTCCACACAGTTAGAACCAGACACAAGTGAATAAAACGTCACACATGCGCACACACACACAAACACAGATTAAAAACAAACACACTTTATGTGAATGTATTAACACTCATATTTGGGTAAGTCATGTACCAATGATCCTCCCTTACCTTCCATTTATAAAGTAGGAAGGAGGGCAATGAAAAGGCAAGAAAACAGTAACGTGTTTAATATCCGCATCTCAACGTCTAAAAGAAATACACAACTGAAAACGGAAGATGACAACTGCAGGCACACACACCTGTCAGGCTATTACTGTGTGTTAAAAGGCATTTTAACAGATGTGGTGGGTTCGTGCAATGACGGTGAGTTTTAAACATGCAGCATCCATTTTTAAAGGTGTCAAGGTGTGCATTCCCAACGGGTATCAGAGTGAGCAGAAATATTAAAGGCTGGACATCTTTGCAAAATAAAATAAACAACTTGTTCACTTTTACTCTGCATGTAACTCAGTCAATCAAGACATTTAACCATTGTGATAAAACAAGGCCATTATTAACACCTTAGCGTAGCACCCACTCCCCTTAAACACTGCTCCTGCAAACACTTTGTGTGAAGCATACTGATGCCTTTAAGTCTTTCTCTCTGTTCACACAAACACAACTTGGCAGGCAGGAGAGAGGGGACAAAGAAAATCAATAACTGTGCATAGTGATTAAACAGCTTCCCATGCAGGTTAGCATATAGCTCTGTGTTGTAGCTCATACACATGCTTGGCTCGCTGTTAGTGCCAGAGCCATGCGGAGGTGAGGTTGCAGCGAGCACAGGCAGGCATCGACTGGGCATCAGTCCAGTACTGTGGACACAAACTAAATTAAAGGAGGTAAACTTGAAGTGTTACTGAGGTTAAAGCCTGGTGTACCTTTTCATATTTTGGATCAGTAGAGGTTAAAATGCATAAAGGATAAGATTTGCATCCAAGTTGTGTTAGTGATGTGTAAACAGAGCTTTGCTGAGTGGCAGCTGCATTCGTTGGATGGATGTCAGAGGGTCATGCGGGGTGTCAGTTAAATGGCCGTTGTGATGGACACAGGAAATGAAATAGCCCGTCCTGAAGAGAAGCTCTGTTCATTAGAGCATCGAAACACGCAGCAGTACTGAGAGGTCAAGAGCTGAGCTTCGTTTCCCTTTACATGTTTGTTTGTGTTTGTGTTAGATGCCCCAGTGCATTGACCACCATTCAAAAGTGGTTGATCAGTGTGCAGGCAGCAGGCAGCAGGTGGAGGGGTTCAAGCAGCCCAGGCCACATGCCAACAGCCTGAGCACAGAGTTGGCAGCGCCCGACTCCAACGCCCCCTCAAGCAGACGTACCTTCCTGTGCCATTGCGGCCGTGCTGGTAGTAGCGGCAGGGCTGGTATGCTGCCTTCCCACTATTGGACAGAGAGGGATTCAATGTGGAGGCATAGGTAGGACGCGAGCTTCACTAAAGCTTGAGAGCCTTTTCAATTTCTCAGATTCTTAAACTTATAGAGTGTTGGAGAAGAATGAGAAAAAATGGATGTTTACGGAAAGTGTTTGGGTCAAGCGCGCATACTGAAGACAAGATTGTGTTTCAATTAGGATGAAGTCAGGCAGCAGAAGGGAAATGTTCTCAGCATCAAAACACCTGCATGATTTAATCTTATTTCCGTGGACATCAATTTGATGAACTTGCCTGCAGTGTTGATTAAAGTAATTTAGAGGTCTGGCTCGTCTGCCTCTCTTCTGTCTAGATCAATCTTGACCTGAGAATAATTGGTTGTAATCCACAGGAGCTGCTTTACTGACATGAAAGCAAATCAACACGGGTCCAAATAGCGTTAATGCATTAGCCCACTAGGCCACCGTCTAGCCACAAATTGGATGTTCAATCAAAAGCGAGCTGTGTTTAGGTGAGCAAACTGCTGACGAGGAGGAAATCCAAGCCAAACCCCTGAAGTGCCAAATCAAGACTGCAGACAGAGCTGACAAGCAGATAATAATGTGCGGTCAGAAGAAGAACAACAAAGTGGTTGCCTATAAAGTGTATTAAACTTTAAATATAGGTATTATTTTTCAATTTAATGACAGGACAAAGTAGTTTTCCGACACAAAAGCTCAGTCTCTCTTCATCCAGGTGGTTTTTTTGCATGGCTTCATTGAAATGATTATTATATTATCAACAGCACTTCGGTCTGAGGTCTTTGGGCCGTATCAGTTTGTTGTCTCTTGATGTGTGATTCATTTCACTGCCTCAAAGCTCACCTGAAAAGTTCCTGGACACCAGCATTGTTGTGAGGATCGCTCCCTGGAGAGACACAAAAATAAACATTAGAAGGATTTGTTTAATGTTGATGTGTGTGAAAGATTGTGTCCTCACCACAGATGGCAAAAGTACACACGTCCTTTACTCAAGTAGAAGTACAGATACTTGTATTTAAAAATACTCTTGTAAAAGTACTGACTAAACTTCTTTACTCAAGTAAAAGTAAAGAGGCTTCGAAATGTACTTAAAGGTGGGGTAGGTAAGTTTGAGAAACCGGCTCCAGATACACTTTTTGTTATATTCCATGGAATGCTCTTAACATCCCGATAGCAATGAATATCTTAAGTGCTTTGACAAAAAATCCATAAAAAAATGTCATCTGTGGAAGCCGTAATACTGTAAAAAGTACAACCAATCCGTTTAGCTGGGCCGGCTAAACGGATTGGATTGCCGCCTTGTCTGTCAACCTTCCATCTCGTGCACGCACAAATGTATCTCGTGCCGTCATTGGGCGTGCATTGCAGCAGTACTTCAATGACTCGCCAGCAACAGGCCGCCACTTTCACCAGTCTGCTGACGTCATGTGCGCGTTCATGTGTGTTGGAGGAGGTGCTCTGTAAGGAAGTCTGAAGGAAGGGGCGGATTCTTTTCGGCTGTGTACTTTCAAATTTTAGTGCACTCGAGCCGGTTTCTGAAACTTACCTACCCCACCTTTAAGTAAAAAGTACCCATAACTAGCAGCTGTTTTAAAGAGTACCTGACCTCCCTTTATATTAATAGAACAATAATGTCATTGTTAGCTAATGAATGTTTCCATGCTGAACAACGGCAACATGACAACGTTCTCATTGGTCCCTCTTCTTTAGAGAAGACCAGGAAATGATGGATACACGGATCGTGTTCAAATCAATAGGCACGCAATGACTCTAAATAATAATGATCACGCCACCAAACACACAATCAAACTAAAGGAACCAGCCTGTTTGGAAAAAGTAAGAAGTAGAAAGTTCAGGTATTTGTGTTAAAAATGTAAGAAGTAAAAGTAAAAAGGCATCGTGGAGTAAAGTACTGATACCAGAAAAATGTACTTAAGTACAGAAAGGAAGTATTTGTACTCCACTACTTCCCACCTCTGCTCCTCACTCACTTTCAGTTTCCTCCTGGCGTTGAACTTGCGCAGACACTCCACAGTCTCTTGACGGTGAATCATGGAGGCCACGGTGGAGCGTTGCTGTTTGGAGAGGAGAGGAAACAACATTATAGATAAACATAACGTCATTAAATATAAATGAATCCAGAGAATTCAGTGTGTTTTATTTTTCATGAAGCTAAAATTCTGCTAGCGTACATAATGTAAAACTCATTGAGGTATTAGATGTGTTTTAGTTTGAAAAGAGAGTCAAATATGAAATACTTATATAGTTAAATACTTACTATATATTTTGCAATGTCAATCTGGGAGTATGTGTAAGTGTGTGAGAGGTGATCCAAACCATTTGTGGTATATTTTACACTGGAAAAGATGTATTGTGAAGGCGAGCAGTGTGACTTACGCAGACCCAGGGGTGATTGATGGCCTGGTCGGCGGTGATCCTCTTGGCGGGGTTAATGGTCAACATCTGATTGATCAGGTTCTTAGCCTCTGGGGTCACTGTGTCCCACTCTGGAGAGGGAAACTGAAGAGGAAAGACAGAAGAGCAGAGTTAAGAATCTGCATCACAGCGATCAGGCTTTCGATGAGCATTTTATTCTGAAACAACTGGCTTAAAGGGGCCCTGCTCATTTTCAGGTTCATATTAGTATTTGAGCCTCTACTGTGAAATGTTCACATGATTTAATGCTCCAAAAACAGCTTTATATTTCTCATACTGTATACAAATAAATTAAAAAAACATAAATAATATGTTTGAGTCACAGAAGTGAAGAAATTGTTCTTGAGTTAGTGCCAATATTTATTTTATTATAGAGAGTGAACCATTGGATTGAACTTGTGATGTCACTTAGTAAAATTAAGAATTATTTAAGAATTGTTACAGGAAGTAAGATTAATATTAAGATTCAACTTTATTGTCATTGCACAGAGTATAAGTACTAAGACAACGAAATATAGTTTACATCTACAGGAAGTAGAGCCTCAAGAGACCTCTCTGTGCAGATGTGCTTAAACACAGTCAACACCAAATAGCAGACAGGGAGTTTTCTTTTTTGTTCAATACATTTGAACTTCTTAAAACCTAAACTTGCAAATTAACTTTTGTGCTAAGCGACAATTGTATTGTTTTATCGCACATCGCGTGAAGGCAGCTTTAGTTTTCAAAGTCAGAGTAGTTTTATCTCCTTCACGTTCACCAGCCACCCTAATCCCTCTATTTAAGAAGCATAAAGTGCCCGTAAACATGTAAGCTTCTCAAATTCAAAGCAAGTTGTCAAAAGACATTTACTTCAAACATTAAAGAGTCAGTTGTCAATTACTGACAAAAAGAAAGAAAAATGAGATTGAAGGCCTCTGTATGACAGTGGATATTATTACAAGTGCTTGTCACAGTCACTTGGTATCAATGCCCATATTATGCACATTCATTAGATGTGGTTGCTTCCAATTATGGAACTTAATACGGGTAATACATTCCTATCTCCCAGAGGACTAGGACAAGATCTGATAAATAAGCCTATCGCTCTCTCATGGTGTAGGACTTTTTTCTACAGCTAGATGAAAATCATGCAATAACAAGCAGCAAGCAATTAAAAACTAAAATTACATTTCTAAATGACTTGCATGACAGAATTCGGAGAGTGTAATTTGACGAGACTTGAACTGAAGGTGTCCTGTAGGGCTCATCCCAAGGCTTCGTCGTGTTTGTTTTCTCATTCACATTAATTATGATTATGTATTGTAATTCAAGTTTTATGAAAAAAGATGGAGCTCTCTAACAGACTCATCTTCATGGATTCAAAAAGAAGAAACACACTTAGTCAGCCAACAAAGGATGAGCCTGAGAATATGAGCTTTGTAAAAGAAAGGCATTTATTAAAGCTAAAATTATCTTTTTTTTAATATAAATAAAATGTACAATTAATAACTTGAAGTATGAAACAGTAGACTTAACCTCAGTGTTAGGGGGAAATGGGGCTTTTATATTTAACTCCTTTTCTTCCCCAGTTATGCTCTTAACTTTCTCCATTTTTACCGTAAACAAATGATGTGTGCATTTCCACAACACTACACTGAATTATTCATAATTATGGTCAGCTTCCAGGTGAACTGCTTTGAACTTCAGCGCACAAACAACACACGTGCAGCTTACAAAAACAGATACAGAGGAAGGAAACTATAAGAACAGGAGAGGAGTACTCACGTCATACGCTCCGGCCTTGATTTGTTGGTACAGTTTGTGTTGGTCCTCGTCCCAGAAGGGAGGATATCCCACCAACAAGATGTACAGGATCACACCTTACAACAAAAACACATATTTATTAACATATTGCAAATAAATCCTAAACAAAAATGGAGTAAGATATGAATGCAGCAGCATACAAACAGACAGAAAGTAGAACTGACCACAGGCCCAGATGTCTACTGGCTTGCCGTACGGGTCCTTTCTCAACACCTCTGGGGACAAATACCCCGGAGTTCCTGCAAAGCCTGCGAGAAAAACAAGTATACTGGTGTGAAATCAGTCAAAGGAAAACATTTAGGACGGCACGATTCAAGCAAGACTATGGGTAAGCTCTTCAGATCTCTGTATCACCCGCTTGAATAGCCTAAATGAGCATATTGACATTATTTCAACATGTATCCTCCTTTAAGGGTTTTACCCTTATTAAACAAGCAAGTCATATCCTCTATCTTTTTGAATGGTAAACATATATTCACATCAATAACCAAACTATAAACACAAAATTGTTGTTTGACAAGTAAATAAAGTGTTTATTTACTTTGGGACAAATGGCTATTCATTACATTTTTTCTTAAATGATTTGCTATTCTGTTCGCTCTTAATTGCTTTATTTCACTGATACGGTAACAAAAACACAGCATATTGTTATCAAAATGTACTGAAACATATACTCTATTCTGTCACTAGTTTTGTTCTTTCTTAAGCAGTTATTTTGATATCTTTCCTGAAGCAAACCGTAGTGATGGAAGTGTAAACTATGGAATATGTAAAAACAATAAGGTGAAATATTTAAGTTGTTAGTAGAACGTTTTATCTTACCAAACCATGCCTGTTGCTCCGCCTGAACCTCGATGGCAAGACCGAAGTCTGCCAGCTTCACCGCCGCTCCCTTCATCTTACTGGCCAGGAGCAGGTTCTCTGGCTGAAACACGCAGAGAGAAAACGATTTTTAGGAGGAAATATTGTTGCTGTTGGAAGTTTAAATTCCTCTTTAAATATGTTTTTCTGTAGAATGTAAAAACGTAGAGACAGATGCCCATCATGAGTTAATTACATGGTGTTATTTTAGGCCAGCATTAAAAGAGACCATAGATGAAATGTTTATCCTTGGACAAACTCTTAACAGTGTGCATAGTACAAAGTGAGTTGTAGCACAATTATAGGCTAAGAGGAAAACAATGAGGGGCAAAAGAAAGAATCATGTACCCCCCTGTAGGAAATGTCTGCATGACTGTAGGAGCTGCAGGAGCTAGATGACGTCTACAGCAGTAATGAGGCATGATTTGGTCAAGCAGGCCAGAGGCTTTCCCCTGAAGGAAAGACCTTTTCCCTCAGCTGTCACCGTATTTAACGCCTTCTTTTCTACACTGTCCTTCTGATCACACAATCATGCAACAGTCAGGACTTGGAAAAGAAAAAGCGCTTATTAACTGTGATTTAGTTTAACAGGTTCCCTCATTTGCGCCTCGTTAAATCATAATTCCTGTCGCTTAATGAAAAGATGAGAGGGAGAGAAATCGAGGAAACGCGCCATGTTAAGAGTCATTTGGTGCGAGGTCAGGGACAGATTATGGATGCACAGCTTGTTAAAATGCACTTATTTTACGTTTTTTTCACAATATCTATTATAGCTGATACTATAGAGATGTATTGTCCCTTAGCCTATCACACACAATGTGTTGTAAAGCTAGCCAATATGTGCAATGGTTACATAGTGACGTCATCATTTAGGGAAGTAAAGAAAGGAGTCCAATGGAGGCGTTTCAAGCGGCTAGACAGCTGCCTTCTGCTTCGTGATTGTCGATTTTGTGTTTTTTTTTGGAGTTCCACTGCTATCATTTTCAGCTGGAGATTGTCTGGCTTACACTAAGATTGTATCTCAGCCAGGTGGAAATGCAATTTAAACAGTGACACCCCGGTCTTGAGAAAAGATATCTGCTGAAAGGTCACTTAATCCTGCCTCACCTCCTCTCAAGCTGCCTCAAAAAGCGACAGCTGAAGAAGGCTTCTTCAGCAAGGGAAAAGATCCCATAGAGCTACTTAGTGTTGGGAGACTTTTGAGTAACGACAAGCAAGACGAGGTCACATGACCAACTGTGGCTGCTGAGCTAGTGCTTGCAAGTTTTACCACTGATGATAGTTAGCCATAGGAAAGTATGCAAAGCCAAAAGTACAGTACTTGTGGTAAATGCACTGTACACATTTCTGCTAAAATGAAACAAATGCTTAATTAGAAATTAAAGGAAATTATTTTTTAACTAATGGAACTTAAAACTAAAAATGCCCTCACTAAATTATGAATGATAGGTCCAAGTGTATTTCACAGTGTAGTTTTCTTCTGTTACGCTCCACCAACAAAAACAAAACCTGAATGCAATATGGCAAAAGCAATATTCTGCGCCCTACTCCCTGACCGCCTGCAACCTTTAAGGGTCTCTCGAGAGTATTGTGAATTTCTTTCTGAGACTTCAGAAATAGTTTGTGCACCAGCTCTTCCTACCATCTTTGATTATTTACTTATGTTTACGAGTCAGGCAGAATGAAGATTGAATCTCTCCAGGTGTCCAGTTTAACAAACCAGGTGTTAATGGAGTCAATAAGGGAAAATAAAGGCTTTTCTTTGCCCTATCCTCTAAATTACTAGTCCCAACTGGCAGGCCTGAGGTCTGTTTTGAGGGTTAAAGTCCTTGCAGTGGTTTGCCATCCTCATCATATAAATGCTGACAGATGTCCGACATCGTCTCTGAGCTCGTTGTCTGTTTCTTCTCATCTGTCAGTCTCTTTCTATATCTAGTTATCCATCGATCCATCCCTCCCTCCTCCCTCACTCACTCACTCCTCCCCCTCTATCAGAGCTGAACCAATGGGAAAGGGAGAGAAAAGGGGAAGGACTGCACAGGGACAGAGCTGGAGTCAAAGCAGCAGAGGGAAGAAAGAGAGGGAGACAGATAGAGACAGATAGATGTGAGGTGGCATAATGAGTCCCTACGCTGGCGCTGCAGCAGCCGGGTGACCTCACCCTACAGTTACCATGGCAACTCAGCCTGCCACCAGCCAACAGCACTCAACTCTTTCTCTCTAATTCCTGTTTTCCCTTCAGCGAGGATGAGATACGATGCGATGCACGCATGTGTGAGGTCACACCTCCCCGTGACACAATTAGCTGCCGTTATTAGAAATATCTGGGCTACGATACAGATGTCACTTTTAGCAGATTCATCTCCAGGAAATTCTTGGAAAAACATCAGATGGTGCTTTTTTAGCTACAATATGATGGGATGGTTTGTTCAACAGCAAATAATCTAACCCCTAAAAGTTGTCTTTTTTACTACATTGATGGGAGCGGAGATAAAACTATAGGTTACTTACGTAACCCCAGTTCTCAGAGTAACATGAGACAGTGAGATGTCTCACTATGGGATGCGCCTCATCGCGGAGCAAACAGAAGCATCAATCTCATTACGCCAATCCTGATTGGCTGGTGATCTTGACGTCAGCGTCAGGGAATTCACCCCCTATAAGTAGCTTGCGCCACGACGCATGCGTCATTCAAAATAAGCACCTCTTCTCGCTTCACCATAGCAAGGAGGGCCGTCTGGTGAGACATCTCACTTCATGTTACTCTGAGAACTGGGGTTACGTAAGTAACCTATAGTTCTCATTCATAACACTCCGTTCGATGTCTCACTATGGGAAATTGTAGCTCCCGTATTGTCAGACGAGCTTATCTCGAAAATCACCAAACCAACCAGAACTTAACAGGTAGAGCTCTGACTCAACCAGGTGCCCAGCACTGCTTGAGTCACACTGGGAGCAGAACGTCCAGCCTGTTAAGAGGCGGACAAAAGTGAGCGGCGAGGACCAGCTCACCGCTGCACCAATGTCTTGGATGGGAGACATCCTGGACAGAGCCCAGGATGCAGCCAGACCCTGAGTCGAAAGAGCTCGCGGACCCGAGGGTGCCTGCGAACGCTGACTCGTATGAGCCCCAAAGCAATTGCTTCCACAGACCAGTGGGAGAGCCGTTGCTTAGTAACAGGCTTGCCCTTATAAGGGTTAGCCCAGGACACAAGGGGTTGGTCATTATGACGAAGCACCCTTGATCTGTCCCTGTACGTGCGTAAAGCACGGGCTGGACACGGCAAATCCGGCCGCTGTTCCCCGGAGGAATACAGTGGCGGGGAGGATGCCTCAATGTCAAATGTGGTACCTGAACCAACCGCCTTAAGATAAAGGCAGGGTTGGGCTTCAACCACACTCTGTTTGCCCTGGGGCAAACTGAGTGCATGAAGACTGTACAGATAGTGCATGAGTGCCACTGGCTCGCTTGGCAGCTGCCAGGGTCAGCTTCATGTCACACTGTATTCAGATTGTACCACTCACGGGCCAGGCCCATAGAGCCAAGCGCTCTGGGTGTGGGTGAAAGATCGCCCCCCCCGCTTGGGACAGTATGTCCCTGCATAGTGGGAGCTGCCATGGCTGCCCGCACAGCAGCTGATATATCTCCGCTAGCCAGTACATAGCTGGCCAGTGCGGAGCTATCAGGATAAGTGTGTGGCGTTGCTCTCTCACTCTGGCCAGAGTTGGGGGTATCAGAGCCAGGGGTGGGAACGCGTACAGAAGGCCCGGGGGCCAATCGTGCGCGAGTGCATCCACGCCTAACGGTGCATTTAGATCGTGCATCGAAAAGAACGGCTGACACTGAGCATTGTCTTTCGATGCGAACAGATCCACCGTGGCTCTGCCGTAACGCACCCACAGCTGGCTCACAATCCTTGGATGTAGAGTCCAGTCTGCATAAAGTGGTATACCTCATGACAGTAGATCTGCCCCGAGGTTCATCACTCCCGGTACGTGCGTCGCTCTCAGAGAGAGGAGACGTCTACCGCTCCATAGGATCAGTTTGCGCGCCAGTGTGTGTAACTGGAGAGAACGCAAACCCCCTTGGCGGTTAATATACGATATTGTGGTCGTATTGTCTGTCCTCACGAGGACGTGATGTCCCCTGAGGAAAGGCAGAAAGCGTTTTAGGGTGAGAAACACCTCTAAAAGCTCCAGGTAATTTATGTGCGCCCGCTGGAGGTCTCTGCTCCAGAGACCCCTCACCGGGCGACCTTCATAAATACCTCCCCAATCTGTCAGACATGCGTCCGTGGTGACCACTTTCCGTGAAAGGACAGCACCCATAGGCACACCTCGTACTAGAAAAGTCGGGTGCAGCCAGTGCCATTACGCATTTCACAGTAACCATAACTCTCCACGCGCGGGGGGGTTTAGTTTTAGAGCGGCGAGCCAGCGCTGAAACTCCCTCATGTGTAAGCGTCCCAGTCGTACGACCAGGATGGCTGACGCCATGAGCCCCAGCAATCGCAGGCATGATCTGAAGAGAACATGTTTGCGCAGCTGGAAAAGAGCGAGACAAGCTCTGAAAGCTTTCACTCTTTCCGCTGACAAGCGGGCTGAAAAGGGCACCGAGTTCAGGCGTAAACCCAGGAAGAGTATAGTCTGCGCGGGGCACAACATGCTCTTCTCTGTGTTTATTATGAAACCCAGGTTGAGCAGGTGCTTTACGAGGACATTTGTCTGCGTAACAGCCTCCTGCTCCGACTGTGCGAGAAGCAGCCAGTCGTCCAGGTAGGTCGCCAGGCGAATACCCTGTTGTCTTAACGGGGTTATCGCGGCTTCCGTACATCGTACAAACACCCTTGGACTGAGAGACAGACCGAAGGGGAGTACTCTGTATTCATAACAGATCCCCTGAAATGCGAATCTCAGATATTTCCTGTGTGGGTAATATACTAGGATGTGAAAATACGCATCTTTCAGGTCGACTGATGTAAACCAGTCGTCTTGTCGCACGAGCCGCAGCAGAGATGTGTGAGTGAGCATTCTGAACTTATATCTTTTTAGATATTTGTTCAGAGCCCTCAAATCAAGTATTGGCCGAATTCCATTCCCTCCCCGTTTGGGAACGAGGAAGTACTTGGAATAGAAGCCGCCCTGAGAGCTCGGCGGGTACAATAGATATAGCCCTCTTTTCTAGGAGTGAGAGAATCTCTCTCTCCAGAATATGGGCTGACTCTCCTCGGGCCTGCGAATGCAGAATGCCTGAGAAGCGAGGGGGGGGTGACGGTGACTTGGAGTCTGTAGCTCCGTGTAACTGTCTTGAGAAACCCAAGCAGATGTCGTGAGCATCTCCCGCTGTATGCTCCTTAGAGCCAGCTGAGATGTCACGTATCTTCCCCTCTGAGTCTCTATTTGTTGTGTTATGGGGCCCTCCAGTGTCTGAGCACTGTGGTGCCCCATTTCGACAATCCCCACCGACACAGCGCATGCGTGTGGCGGTGGTGCCCTTACGGCTCCAGCCTGCACTGCGCATGCGCGTGACGGTGGTGCCTTCACAACCCCAGCCGGCACTGCGCATGCGCGTGACGGTGGTGCCTTTACAGCCCCAGCCGGCACTGCGCATGCGCGTGACGGTGGTGCCTTTACAGCCCCAGCCGGCACTGCGCATGCGCGTGACAGTGGTGCCGTCACAGCCCCAGCCGGCACTGCGCATGCGCGTGACGGTGGTGCCTTTACAGCGCCAGCCGGCACTGCGCATGCGCGTGACGGTGGTGCCGTCACAGACCCGTCAATTGTCCGCCCTTTGAGAGAGGCCGTAGCTGCTCTCAGAAGGGGAACAGTTGAAGGACTGTTTATTGTTTTTATTGTTTTTCTTTTCATTTTTTCGAGCTGCGCCCTTGGCTCGAAGCCTGGATGCATCAGCGGAAAATGTTTTATGACAGAAAAATCAATAAGTGTGTGACACTTGAGGATGGTGTTGAGGCATCTCTCGAGGCGGCGGGAACACATTTAGAGCTGGGGAACCGTAGACTTCCAGCTCTGTCACAGAGGGGAGAAGGAGGGGCTGTTACGCCGCTCGCTTCTTCTTCCTCGACTGCTGGCTGAAATTCTGGGTTGGCTGAGCCTGGGCTGCAGCCGGAACCGGAGATTTTCTAGGCCAGCTCGCCCTCGTCCCCTGCCTGGGCTGGGGACTCGGGGCGGACTGCGACCTCTGCGTTTTCGGTATTTTGAACCGAGCAGGGTTCGGGGCAGCTTGGACGAAGGGCTGCCGCTGCGAAGGCAGCGGCTGGGCCCTTCGAGGGAGTTTTTCGACTCGCATCTCCTCTGCATGGAGGCAAGAGCGGAGCCGAAAATCCCCTCGGGAACGATGGGCATGTCAAGCACATCCTCTTTTTCCCGGTCTGGGAGGTTGGTGAGGTTGAGCCATCTAGCTCTTTCCTGCACCACCATGATCCCCATTGTTTTGCCCGTGGCCTGGACGGCGCAGCGTTGGACACGGAGACAAATGTCTGTGACCGCGGCCAACTCATCCAGAACGGCCAGTCCAGGATTACTCAACATATCCTCACAGAGCTCCGCTTGGTATGCGGTTAGCAGTGAGGAAACGTTCAGAGCCCTGGCGGACAACGCTGCGGCTCTGTAGGACCGTTCAGTCATGGTCGACTGGAAACGGTCCACCTTCGCTGGCAGCGTGGGGTTCCTGCTTGGTGACGGGCCCATCCTCGGTAGGAGGTGGGCTGCCACCAGCAGTTCCATCGGCGGTATGCGGAGCAGGCCGAGCCTCTGCGGGCGAGACCATGGTGAGGTCTCGCTGGGAGCTCCCGCCTGGTGAGGCGTGGGGCTCCGTTCCCGCGTCTCTTGCCGCCACCGGGTCCCGGCCTGACACGGCGTGGGATCCCGGTTCCGCAGCTGCCGCTGTTAGTGAGCCCCAGACCGACACAGTGAGGGGCTCAGTCTCTGCGGCGGACGCCCCCGTGTCTTGATTGCCAAACGGCGAATCAGTGGACATGAGGGGGTCCTGTTCCAATAAGCTAGCTTGGTGTGCTAGCCGTCGGTGGAGGCTCTTTCGGCTGAAACGGGCACAATGCCCGCACGAGCCGGGGTTGTCGATAGCCTCCTGGGCGTGTTCCAGCCCGAGGCAGGACGAGCAGACCTGGTGTGAGTCTGTGCCTGCTATCTTCAACCCGCAGCCGCATGACCGAGCCTCCGAGTCCCTGACTCCTCTGGTGTGAGGGGGAGAGGCGTCCATCTTGTTCGCCTCGTGGCGTGGAGAGGACCCGCTCGTAACAGGTACGTCGTTGAGAGAAAAAGTGTTACCAACCCGTCCTTAATCCGGAGAAAAAGGGACGGTGTGGGTCCTTTGTTCTCAAAGAATATTGACTGGTGTGTCAATATACTTCTAATCCTTTTCTCCTCCGTGAGAGAGAAAAAGAAAAGCGTCCTCGCTACCGTGGTGTCGGTAGTAAGGGGAAGCTAGCTAGCAACAGGTGCGTAGCTAGCTTGAGAAAAATCAAAACCTTACCTTACTTTCCGGGGAAAGAAACGGCGAGGTCGATTTTAATACTAACTGGCGTTAGTATTACCGTCTTCTTGCGAAGCAGAAGGAGTAGCCGGCGAGCGCCCGTCGACCGAAATGGTTATATTTGGGTTCAGTCTGTGGACCGTTAAGCTTGTCCGGCTACTATAGAGATGTGCTCTGAAGCGAGAAGAGGTGTTTGAATGACGCATGCGTCGTGGCGCAAGCTACTTACGGCCCCTACACATGGCGGCGTGCGTTGCCGCTTCAAAGCTTCTGCCCATTCACTTTGAATGGGGTGACGTCACGATTCGCCGAACTGCATTGTGGGAGCAAAGCGTAGCTTCTCTCGCGGTGCTCGCTGCAAAAGTAGAGCAATGTTCTACTTTTGCCGCCTCTACGGAGGCGTCAGCCAATCAAATCCCGCGTATGCAAATCTGACAGTACAAGCGCTAGCCAATCAAACCGTGTGTATGTTTGGAGAGCCAGACTGCAGTTATTTCCCATATGTCAAAAAAATGGAGGAGAAAATTATCGTGGCGATAGGGAATCACCCGGTACTATATGACCAGTCCCTCTTTACATACAGGGATACAAACCGGAGGAGCCAGGCATGGGGGGAGGTGGCAGAGACAGTGGGTGAAACTGGTAGGTTTTCGTCTGTTTGGGGAGTTTATATCCAGTGTACTTCGTTTGAATGGACAGCTAGCAAGCATAGCCAGTATATTTAGCCAGCATGGATGTGGCATGAATGCTTTGCTTTGTATGTCCGGGGCGGGACATTCATGTGATTGGTTGTTGGTCGCGTTGTTCGTAAAAAATCCCCAAGCTTCAGACACGCCCACCGCCAAGCGGTAACGCACGCCGCCGTGTGTAGGGGCCGTTATAGGGGGTGAATTCCCTGACGCTGACGTCAAGATCACCAGCCAATCAGGATTGGCGTAATGAGATTGATGCTTCTGTTTGCTCCGCGATGAGGCGCATCCCAGAGTGAGACATCGAACGGAGTGTTATGAATGAGAACAACGTATACAGTTGAAAACATGTTAGCAAAGAGTTGCCTCTGTTAACATCCAGCAGATACCGAGAACCATTAGTGCTAATTTAGAGGTGTTTCTGATCACCTCAGAACATCTCATTCCAATATGAACTCTCCTTTTAGCTCTGGTTTGCTAAATGCTTCGCTATGTTCATCAGCTTTTTGATAACTGTCTGTGTTTTTGTGCTGGGCGGTGTACAATGGGTTCATAGGAAGCTGCTAAAAGACAGATACATGCTGCTTAGTGTGCATAATGCACTTATTGTAAATCACTTTCGACAAAAACATTTGCAAATGCATGCAATGAAATACAATAAAAGTAATATATTGAGTAAAATATTCATAAACATGACTTTTTGTTTTTAGGCAGCTCCATCCACTGAAAGATGTAGCATTGATGCAGTTTGAATACATATCAATAGAGTTGTAAATTAACAAGTAATGTGCTGGTAATTTATTTCTGTCCTTTGTCCGTATATCATCTATCATCATTATTGTCTTTGAAAAGTCTTGGAGGCGGAAAAAAATCAATGACAAGCAAAGCAGGTCCATTTACGCTGCTCAAACACAAAACAGATCGTCTCTTTTCCGATTGTGTTTGTCTGCTTACCCTAGAGTAATGGTGTTATGTTGCTCTATCACATAAAAGTAATAGACCAGATTGTAAAGTAAACTATTAAAGTTATGGCTCTGAACTGGCAATAAAATGAATGTGCTGCAATCATCCAGGTGTTCAAATCCTATCGAGGCGTATTATTCAAATGAAATCACACAGCTGAGGAGGTCAGAGTGCTCTTGGTTTCTAAAGAGGTGAACAGGAGCTGCGAGGGAAATCGTCGCTGGTCGTCGTCTCATCTACGACCCGCTATTAATAGCTGCTGGTCTGCTCTCGTCACTCCTCAGCAGTGCAGGAGGGGGAAAGTGAGCAGAAGAAAAAGGGGGAACAAGGGGGGTGAAAGGGAGGAGGTACAGACGTAGAGAATCATGGGAATACGTTAAGCAGGTGAAGAGAGGGACGAATGACGCGCCTGTTAATTTGTTCTTGACGTCAAAGCATGACGTCTGCAGCATTGCGTGCGTTTAAGACCTGCTGTGAATTTCCACAAATGCCTCTCGTCTTTTGTGCAACAATAGATAGTGCTCACCACTGGTATGTGATAACTCACCTTGAGGTCCCTGTGCACAATGTCATGCTGGTGGATGTGGCTGACGCTCTCCAGGATCTGATTGATGCAGTGGCTGCAGGAGACAGAGAAGGACGGGAAACAGAGGAGAGACACATCTGTCAGTCCACAGCAGCTACATGACAATGGAGAGCTGACAAATATGAGGATATTCAAACATTTTAAATCGATTCAATGCCGTAGTCATAGGCTTTTGTGAAAATGTTTTGGGGTAATACATGTAGGTAGAGCATTTGAGAGACTTTCTGAAATCCAAAATGCGAAACACATGTAATCCTATACGCTTTTTATGAACTGGGAAGAGGAAGACATGCAAGGAAAGAAGAAATACTGTAGACAGATTGTGGGGGCTGTTTCTGACCATTTCTGTAACTTTCTAAAAAAGACAAAACGATAATCACACCCACATCCCACTCTTATTGGCTGGGTGTGTAGAGGTGAGAAAACACAATTTCATAATTCTCTCTCTAGCACTCTTACTTGTCTTCAAGGAGAGGCCTTTGAGACATTTCCTCCAAATCTAAAAGACATCCTATCTCCCCCCCTCTCTTTGACGATGATTTATGAAATGTCATGACCATTCCTTCGTAGGCACTAGTTCTGTACCAGCGTTACTTCACTCAAATTGTGTGTGGTTGAATGTGAACGAATCCCTGCAACACTGTGTTTTGCATTTAGTTGCACAGGAGAATAAGTGGTGTATGTGGGAGAAGTTTGGTGCATTTGATTGAGATAAGGATGTGTGTGAAGTGGAGCAGCGTGTGTTGTTGAGGCAGGGGGGGGGGGGGGGGGGGGGGGTATCTTATGTAAGGTTGTCCAAAGCTCAGCAATTTTGCTGGTCTGATGCACGGTACAATTTAGCGTTATTCCTTTAAAGTGAATTGAGTTTGACACTACTAAAGGTGAAGTGAGGGTCAGGAGGGTAAACAGAGACAGATGTAAAGAGAGCGGTGTTCTCTCTGCCAGACAGAATCAAAATAAAAGCTACTGACGTGTACAAAAATAATATAAATGTGGATTGCACACATTGGTTCTTCTCCTTGTTTCTCAGACTGTGTTGCTGCTGTCCTTACTCCCTTAAGGATAGAAATACTTTTACCTTATGTAATTGTATTTTGGTGCTTAAGTCAATACTGAACACATAACCGACCAAAATGCTTATGCTTTGCTCTTGGCTCGCTTGTTTTACACTGATTTTATGTCTTATTTTTTACTGATGTAAAGCACTTTGAACTGCAATCCCCTGTATGAAAGGTGCTATACAAATAAAGTTATTATTATTATTATTATTATCATTCAAATCTGCGAGAGAATTTGCCTGCTTTAATTCCAGGCAAGTAATGTGCTGCAGTGCAAAAACCAAACTGCAACGTCTGACAACATGCCCAAAATAATGTTTCAACTTGAGTCACACTGTGGAAAATAAACAACCTTTAGGGAACTGACAGAAACCAAAAGCATGTCTCCTGCAACCAAAGCACAAAGTACTTTAACGCAGATTCAAATGGCAGAAGAATTTGATCCTTTCATAACGCAACTCTGCTACTGTGGCAGCCGCGGATTTTTCTTCAGCAGCCACTTAAGGCTTCATTTGCAAGAAACAAATAACATGCACTATCTAACATGTTCACACGTTAGCATGATGAGATACTTTACCTGGCATCTGCCTCGCTGTAATACTCTCTGGCAACAATGTCCTCAAACAGCTCTCCTCCAGTGACCCTGCACACAGACAAAAAATACATTTGATTTCTCTCTTTCGCCCACATTAAGAGAATACTGTCTTTCTTCCTGTTTTGTCTTTGTCTACACTTTTGCTATAGGTTATTTTCCTTTTGTAAGTGAGGACACGTTCTCATATGTCCGTTATGTTCAGTGTTCATGGGAACATGTTCTCTCTCTGCTGCTCTAAGAGGCGACTTGACTGGTTGCTGATAAAACAAGCCTCCACATGACTTGCATGCTTGTTTATGTGTACCTCAGATACAATACTGATGGACTGCTACACCAACATAAACTAGAGTTGAACTCAAATATTTTAGCAATAGCATTAGCTTTTTAAACTTTATTCATTATTGCTGTATTCTACCCTACTCTCTGCACACGATATTATACTTACGTGAAACACGTAAGTGAATGTGCAGTTAGGTGGATGCAACTGTAAGAAACATTTTATTTTAGTAAAACTTGAATTTAACCCACTTGTTTTCATGGGAAAGATCTAACATTTTCATCAGATGATAAAGTAAATGTTACACAATAGAGCATATTGATTTTTTTTTAAAACAGTATTTCTCTTATATTGTTCCCTTAAGCTATTTATATTATAAAAGGAAACTTGTCCCTCACAATTCTTCCCTTTACATTAATTTCTAAATGAAAAACATTTTAGCTACTGTTGTGAAGTTGCAAATATAATCGAACACCTTTGAGCGATCACTTTTAAAATAGGAGATAAGGGTAAGAGTATACTAAACATTTCCATCATGGCAGCACAGTGGAAAAGCTGATACACTGTACTGCTGTAGAGGGTGACATTTGTGAGCTCGTTGCTCGGGTGAAGCAATTCATCCTGGAGCAATACTCTGGCTTTAACCTGTGTGTGTGTGTGTGTGTGTGTGTGTGTGTGTGTGTGTGTGTGTGTGTGTGTGTGTGTGTGTGTGTGTGTGTGTGTGTGTGCGTGCTTGCGTGCGTGCGTGAGAATGTGATTTACTTACAGGTCAAAGACAAGGTAATGGAAGCCTTCCTCTGAGATGCTGTCGTGGAGTCGTACTAGTGAGGACGAAAACAAACTTGAAATCAATTTAAGACAACCTTGACATTGGAACTTGTCAAACAGTTTAATAACAACTTTGTGGGTCCAGCTTTATTTAAAATGATCTGCATGTTTAGTTTAGTCATTTATGTAAGTCTGTAAAGGGTGCAGAGTTATTATGCTTTATCTTTTTAATTGAGTTCCACCATTTCAGCTGCTATTATATTTGATGGGGTTAAGACATTTACTTTTTGTTTACGTAAATCAACATATCTACTTGTATTGTGCTGCAAAAACGGACTGTGTCATTTGTTTAAAAGTAGCTTTTAGCCTTCGTTTGTTTTTTTACAAGCTCTTAATGGTTATTTCTCTTTAGTTTAGCAGACAATAAATGCATCATTGATCATCATCCAGAGGGGGATACAGAAGAATAAACACACTCAACACAAGTCTGCACATTGTTATTATTGTACATCCATTCACAATCACAACAAACACACACAAGGTCAAGTGATACACGAGTGAGGCGTGTGGTGCAGTATTGAGTATGTAAGTCGCTTTGGATAAAAGCGTCTAACAAGTAACATGTAATGTAATGTAATACACAGTCCTCTATAGGTTACATGGCTTCCAGGAGCACAGCCTTTATCCCCTTTTATCTGAAAGTATCCACTCCAGGGCTGGACAGCATGTTTCTGAAGAGTGCCACCTGGCCTGTTGGCAACCATGAATCAGCCCTTGGATCATAAAGTTGACTGAGTGTTTGCCATATTGTAATCATTTATAATTAATGTGATACCAGTCATTTTCTTTTAGGTTTTCTCTCTGTTGAAGGAGCACAAAGGCAGGCAGGAAACATCACAACCAACAGTGTGTACACAGAGGGGTGAAAGCCTCCTTTTTCTTCACACAGGATGAGTTTTTGCCGACAAAGACACATTTAACCAACAGATTTCTTTCCCAGCAGCTCATCTTTAAATGCTATCAGGGTTCATACACTTTTTCACCAATGATTTTCCATGACTTCTCCATGACCTTTACTGAATTTTCCATGACCAAAACAATTACTCTTTCTCAGCGGTACCACTGGAAATGGTTTATTTTAACATGGAACAGGAAAATAAGGTCTGCATATGAAACATGTTGGTCCTATCTAAAACAAATCAAATAGTAGGCTTACTAGCTTCTACACGCTATTCAACTAAAATCTCTCACCAGCAAAATACCTCGACAGTTAAATGCCATTTTATGTTTCATACGATACAGTATTTATTATCATTATAGTATTACTATTTCGACGATTAGATAAAATATAAATTATATATGACTTTTCCAAAACTTTGGGAAAAATATTGTTTTCCATAACTTTTCCAGGGCCTGGAATTAGCATTTTGAATTTCCATGACTTTTCCAGGTTTTTATAAGAACCCTGTGCTATACTGTTCACAGATATGTTAAAAACCTGCCTGTGCCAAGGTGGGTGAAGGACGGTGTTTAAAATTAGACCTGAAAACGTTGGATATTACTCTCTTCTTGCTTCAGAGGGCTTACATTTAGAGAATAGAAAACTTGACAGGCTCTCCCCTTGAGAATAGGATAAGAAAAGAGCAGCTGAGGTTGAAAAAGAAAGGGAAGAATAGGACGATGACGAAGCAGGAATCAGGTGGGATGAAGAAGAAAGCGAGAGTGAAACCATACCTATTATGCTTTTAAGATAGGCTAGGTTGCACAGGGCACATGACTATGATAAGATACTTGGCGGCTCTGCCACAAAGACGCCTTGTCATTTCCTTCCTTCCTCAAGAGGCTATTGTCTGGGTTTCACACACACACACACACACACACACACACACACACAACACACACACAACACACACAACACACACACACACACACACACACACACACACACACACACAACACACACACACAACACACACACAACACACACACACACACACACACACACACACACACACACACACACACACACACACACACACACACACACACACACACACACACACACACACACACACACACACACACACACATCAACACACACACACACATCACACACATCACACACACACACCACACACACACACACACACACACACACACACACACACACACACACACACACACACACACACACACACACACGCACACACACGCGCACACCACACACACACACACACGTACGTGTTTTTGCATTTGGTGAATCCAATTAAAAAGTATGAAACTTAAGCCTAACACAGATGTACAACGTTCAATGACATTAACATCCTAAAGTGTGTCTTTGGCTACACGGACATTTTTGGCAAATTAAACTATTAGAATTGGTTGATAGCACGACTAGTTTGCAATATAACAGATGTATAGACACAAATCACTGGATAACTTTATTACTGAAGATGATATGATGATTATTAAGCCAGTTCTGGAGTTATAAATACATTTCAGTTCAGATTGGACTTGATGAGTAGAAGGAATGAGCAAATGGTGGCAATAAGGCTTTAATGGTTTGAAAAGTACCTTCACCATAAACTGTGTGTCACAGCTGGAGATCCCTGACTTTCTATAACCGCTACTTAACATTGTTTCATCAGCTTTATGAGAGTCCACCACCATGAGATTATTATGGTAATGGAAACGACTTATTAAGAGACCACAGTCGTTAAATAAGGTCAAATGCAATGATTGTTCCCGTGCTTTATGTCTGCCATTTGGGTTTAAAGCAGCACATAACCAACAAGATCCTAAATTAGAGAAATACAATCCATGTTTTTCAGTTATCACTTCAAATCCTATACACATATTTGGGTTTATCGTGGTCAGAGGTAAATCAAACATATTTTTTTTAATTGTTCTGAACTAACAAAGCCCTTCGTCTCATTGGGAAATGACTTACCTATGTTTGGATGTTTCAGCAGACGACAAATCCGTGCCTCCCGGTCCAGTTTCTGGTGATCTGAGGACAGAAAAGATAGAGAGGAAACATTAAGGACAAGATTTCAGTAACAAAAGAGAAACAAAACATTCTGTTTTTGTCCAGCATTTTAGCTACAGTTAACAAAACACTAGCGAAAACTCACTGAGGAGGTATACACAATAACACAAAGCCAACACAAAGGCAATAAAAAAGTGCTGCATTACATAACTAAATCTGACAGCAGTTAATGTGGTTCAATAGCACTTTTGCAACTTCTGGAAACACCGTATTCTACACAACTTGTAACAGATGTGGTACTAATAAATAATAAATACTACAACGTTTTTGGAAATCCTTGCACAAGCAACTATGAATTTATTAAATATTTTCTTTTAAACTGTCCCACTGTATGATGCATAACACACACTCTATCCTTTTCTCTTCGACCATATCCACGATAGTTTTCGTTTAAACCATTTTAAGACCAACATCAAATAGACTTGAGCTAAAGGAGCGACAGGAGAGATACAACGTCAAAAAGGTTCGACACACAGCAAGTAGCACAAGCTTAGAAGCCAAAACTGTGGACGAACATTTATATACTACACACACACAAATACACACACACACAAACTCTAGCACAAGCTTTTTGCACTTAGTGGAATTAGTCTTGTGGGTCCGGCCTTAATATAATCAGTGTCCAGTTAATGAATCTAATGGCAAGGGGAGGATTTGTGTGTGTGTGCGCACGTGTGCATGTGCGTGTAGATACAGTAGATATCTGCAGCGGATGGCAGGTTGCCGGGTGTAAGAGGTGAGGTTCGTACTGGACACACTCCCACCCACCAGCAGCTGGTCTCAGGGGACAGATGGGACGCTTACGTGGGTGCACTGTTTTTGTTTTTGTTTGTTTCCGTGCGTGACCTAGCGGGAAAGACACTGGACATCCATAGTCGCTCATGACAGATATCAATTGGTACGGTGACTAGAAATAATCTTCAACATGGCAATAGTCATTTCTGACAATCGGTCCCTTTCTAGAGCAAACGATGAAGAGTTTTACAGAACATTCAATAATGAAGCAATGAGACCTTTTGCAGGGTTGCCAACTCTCACGCATCTGGCGTGTGACACACGCTTTCACTCTCAATCTCACGCTCTCACGCTGCCCAAACTATTCTCACGCCAAAAACAAAAATACCGAAGACTAGAAACGGGTTTGAAAACTTTTGTCACGTAGTGATCGTCTTCTCAATAGAACATCTTTGATAATGTCTTCTGGCCAATCAGAATCAAGATAACGGCGTGGTGTTGTTGCAGGAAGTCCCGACGGAGAATACTTTTGCTGTAGTAGGCTACATCTACATCGATACATCATTACGTGTTGATTTCTATCTATAGTAATGAAATAAGACCCCACGGTTTGATGATTGATAGGTGTGTGGGCTGTCTTTCATCTTGACACACAGAACAATGGGGGCTATCCACCCTTATCCACAATGTAAAGTAATTCACAGCCTCTTCCCTCTTCTCTCTGTGAGGAGCAGCTGGTTCAGCTTTCAGAACAAAGTAACACAAAACTAAAATGGCATTCATTTTTTTAAATATGCCGTGTAGTAATAGATGTATTTATTTTTCTTCTCAAGAGAGTACCAGAATGTGTATTTCAAAAAATTCCTGGGGGAGAATCCCCCCAGACCCCCCTGCAGGGGTTGGGTTTTCAGCATGTCAACTCTTTCACCTGTGGGGAAATTGCAGTATTGGCTCCAGGTCGCCCTTTTTATTTACTACAAGACAAATGTGCCTTTTTATTTCATACAGTTCAATTTGGATTGAGACAGGGAAATAATCTAAACCTCACGCGTGGCGTTTCACTGTCAAGGGGAGCGTGTATGTAATTACATTGCAAATACTGACTTGAGCCCCACCACTGTATGGGTTAGCCCTACCATAGATTACCCAACACAAATACTCTTATTGCGCATGCGCATATCTAAGATCCAGTAGAAATGATAAAAAAGTAAAAGTCTGCTGCTTATTGTTCTACTAGGCCACCATAGAGTCAAAGAGTATATGAGAGTGAGAGTGTGTTAATTAATATGTTTGGCAGTTTGGAGTAAGTCTGTAGATTTCTCTGTGTGTGTGTTTCATGGGCCTCTCACGATAATGAATTTTGTTGGATACATTTTCCCGGAAATTATTGCGATAAACGATAATATTGTCGGCACCGTTGTATCATTTTAGACCCCTGACATAATGATAATATATAATAATAATTCAAGTACATCCTTTCAAACTGCTAGTCACATCCTCATGTAAATGGAAATGTATCGAGTTCATTTTTATTTATCGTACGATAAGTCAATTAATTGCTTATCGCGACAGGCAGACAATAAAACAGTAGAAACAAACATGTGTTTGACTTTCATTAGTGAATGAAACGTTGTGCCCTTTATACTCTGTGTCCAATATTGTGTATTTGTATATATTGTATATATATACTAAGGTCCCGCTGCTGACACGATAGCAGTCATTTTGTGCGCCTATGTGTAATTAAACCCATGATATCAAAATCTCACTCCAGCCAGGTGCCCAAAGTTGGCAACCCTGCCTTTTGGGAAAGGGAAAAAGAAGAGAAAGTGGTTGTCTTGTTGAAACTCGTTATGGGAACATATTTTTACTGGCAAAGTTCAACCCTGGTGAGTCACCAAGACTCACCAGGGTTGAACTTTGCCAGTAAAAATATTTTCCCATAACGAGTTTCAACAAGACAACCACTTTCTCTTCTTTTTCAACTGCAGTGATGTTTGTTGATTCATTGAGGGAGTTAGCAAAATAAAGTTTAAAGAAATCCAGTTGAGGTGATATACACATGTTTTGCTGTTCTGGAGGCAGAGCCATCAATCACTTGGTGGTACACACAGTACGCAGGTCAAAACCAGAAATCCTTCACAAAGACAACTAACAACTAACTTGGACTAATGAAATCAAAGAAACCAGCTAATACGTTGGAGGTAACCCGAAGGTTAGAGAAGGCTTCAGTTTGTTCTAATCCCCAGACTGCTGCAACAACAGGAACTGGAAGGAAAAGTGAAGAGGAAATACTTCCTTCCTTAACAGCAAATGCAGTCTTTTGCACGAACACTGACTATAGTGATACGGCTGACCTTATCCAGAGTGAGGGACCTTTTCTACTATTTATCTAGTATGCTCACCTTAAAGGTGGGGTAGGTAATTTCGGAGAAACCAGCTTGAGATCGCTAGAATTTGAAAATACACAACCGGAGAAAATCTGCCACTTCCTTACAGAGCCCCTCCTCCAACACACACGAACGCGCACATGACCAATGAGGGCACGAGATAAGTTTGTGCACAGATGGAAGGCTGACAGGCAGGTAGGCCATCCAGTTACTTTAGCCGAGCCGGCTAAAATGATTGGTCGTGCTTTTTCTTATTATACATCCATGGCTTTTTACAGTACTACGGCTTCCACAGATGACGTTTTTTTATGGATTTTTTGTCAAAGCACTTAAGATATTCATTGCTATCGGGATGTTAAGAGCATTCCATGGAATATAACAAAAAGTGTATCTCGAGCCGGTTTCTCAAACTTACCTACCCCACCTGTAAAAGCAAGCATATTACATTACATGTCATTTGTTAGACGCTTTTATCCAAAGCGACTTGCATACATTCAGTACTGTGGACAATCCCCACAGGAGCAATTTGGGGTGGAGTGTCTTGCCCAGGAACACAACGCTTTCCGCTGATTCGAAGTCCAGCACACTACCCACTGAGCCACAGCCTCACGCATATATTACAAGCATATAAACAATATGTGCATCCTTATTTGACAAACCAATCTCGATCTGCTGGTTCACAACTGCTGTGTTCAGGGCTGTTTTTAGAAGACTCAGGCATTGACAGATTTATATTAGCTTTAAAATAGTTAGCGGCATAAAGGTTTGTGCATTGACTTCCTATCGAATCCTTCACCGCCAACAAGTTCCTGCAGGAAAACACAGGGAGGCTTACGACTGCTATCCTCAGTGTGACCCACAGGAACCTCTGACCCTCAGCTGTAAGTCAATCAGCTGCAGCTTGTATCCTGCATGTCTCTGAAAACATAGGTCTATCCTGTTTAGTTCAATATTCTACTTTTGCTTAGACATTACACACACGCTTTAATCTGACCAGCTTGTTCACAGAATGAGAAATCAAAGCATCCTGCAGACATTCTTCAACCTTCTTCTCAGAGCCATAATGGGCTATTTTGCCTGCATGTATTCTTAGAAGTTAGATCATCCTGCAAAAATAGGCCTATTTTTCAAAGCTGGCCCGAGATGACGGCTTTATTATGCTTGACATGGCAGACAGTTTTGGCAGCCGGCTGCTTAGAGAAACTTGAAACTGAATGAGGAGTTTCAATAGAAAGATGAGAGAATAAGAACAGGCTTCAAAATAACAATTCGTATAGAAAAGAATAAAAACAAGAGAAAATGACTGCAGCTTAACAGGAGCTGATCGGTGTCAAACACAGAAGTTAACACCGTTAAAAATAGCAGTGTTTATCGTTCTAAAATATAATGTTCTTCTCTATACAGATCAACAGAAAGGGTACGTTTATTATCAAGCCCAGACATCACACATCACATACTATTAGGCTTTTAAGGACCTCAAAGTACAGGAAATAAAATGAAATGAAGGCTGAGCTTCAACAAACCAAAATAAATCGAGCAAAAATGCAATGAGTTAATAATCTAAAACTATTTAAAAAAATCCGAAACTAGGTACTAGTACTGTAACAGGTAACCAGTTTTATCAAACTTTATTATGCAACATCTTGCACCGTCCCCCAATTTGTTGATAACCAGGCCAAATGACTTAAACATCTCTCATTGTAATGCAATACAATAGCTGAACAAAAACTGAACATCAACTTTATGAAAGTAGGACTGTTGCATCATGACTTATATTACTTTGAGCTATGTGTACCTAATACACTGTTACATTTCCCATTGTTAAGAGCTTAATAACGT